GAAAAAAATAAAAATTCTTCCAAAGTCTGACTAACATTCTTTCTCTCTACAATAAAAAATTGCAGTAAAACAAATGCAGAAATGTTGCAAATTGTACATGTTTCGGGTGTCTGATTCAATATTAAGACATCTAGAATGTCACAAATTATTTAGCACTTTATCAAGTCCGAAGACTCCAACGCGCTTCACACTACGTTCAGTTATTCACCAATTCTTTCACACGCTGATGGTGATAAGTTAGATTGTAGCCGCAGCTGCCCTGGGGGCAGACTGACCACAGCAGTTTCAGACCAGCAACCCACCAGTTACAGGACAAATCCCAACTTCCTGCCCTGATGCTGAATGAACTCCATCCTCTGTCACTGATAATGTGGTATTAAAGTATTTTTTTTTCTGACAAAATCAAGGGAGTGTGCTCTTACAGATTCGACATGTGAAGTTAAGCAAGTTTCAACTTTAAAGTCCTTTGAAAAAAAGAGACCATTGACTCCTACCTTTGGACACAAGAGTGCAAAGTATCATTTTAAAATGTGACCAGTGTATTTGACGTTTTTGTTGATCAGTGGGTGAAACCTGTACAGTTCTTTGGTGTGACGCACCAAAGAAGAAAACAATAAATATGACCTTGGGTTATGATAGATCGCAAAAGAAAACAACTTCATAGCAGCTAAGGGGATTTCAGAGGCCCGTTTAGAGTTTAATAATTGTGCCTCACATACCTGCTTTCAGAGCAATCTCACAAAACTGCAAAATATATAGTGGAATGATTGGATTAACACATTTCTAAGCTGCCGATGAAAGAATGAGTCATTCTCTGATATCTCTCTGACTGTCACGCTTTCTATCTCTTTCAAAACACGTCCGTGCACATGCATACACACATTATTGTACTTCTGTACAGACTTCCACTCATTTTAGTAACTGCATTTATGACTAACCACCCAAATATTTTCCTCAACCCTAATTACCAGTCTATTCATAACCCTATCAAAGCTTAATTCATCCTTTACCTCTAACAGAATTGCAGAGGACTGGGAAAAAGTCCTCACTTTACACAAATGACCTCCCTTTGTTGGTAAATGTTGTGAAAGTGGTTCCCTATACATAGTCTATACAAGTACACACACTCACATGAAAACCTACACACTTCCCCAAAAACTTGTTTTAAAAAATATATTCTCTGACGTGCCCCTCCTTCACTCTGGAATCTTTGAGAAAATATTTAAAGACTTGGTCAATGTGCCTGCATCCCGACACTGCTGACACTGCTGCTCTGAAAAGATTCAGTCTTACAGTGCACACCAGTCAGCCTGACGTGAGCACTGACGCATAACTTGGCACTAATAGGCTCTTTTAAAATAATCACCTTACTGTGGCTGACACTAAATGCATGACAAAAGCCTAAATAAAGTGACACACAGTACAGACAATGGCAGTAAGACATCATTAGAGTTAATTTAATTTATCTAAGAGTCTTATAATCCACCCCCCATCTTTGTGAGTCTTACAAAGAGTCACTTTATTGGAAGTGCATTAACAATGTTTCTTCTGACATCTCATGTTTATCTTAAAAAATGTTTCCTAAAGTAAATGTATTTTGATGAAAAATTAAGACCATATTTCTTGACCCAACCTTATTTTTTGTTTTTTACAATACAAAAGAAAATGGCCGGTCTTGCACTAAAATCCAGTTTGTGTAGTCTGGTTTGTGTGGGGACATCCGGCATTAGTTGCAGCTCTCTTCCTCGCATTACGTGGTGGAACTCTCTCCGTTTGCCTGTGCCGAGCTGCGACTCAAAATTGTATTTTTTTTTTTTCAAATTTGAAAGTGTTTTTGAAGTCAGGTAGGAAAAGAGAGCACAAAATGTTCAGCAAACGTTAATATGATCAACTTCAGCTGACACAAACTCAAAACAGTGATGGCATGTCCAGCTAAAAGTGAGATCTCTTTCCTCCCCCTGTTGCTGGGTGCTTCATACAAATTTTACAGAATGGAGGTGGGATGCAGTGCGAACTTAGCGTGCAAATCGGGGTTTACCCCTAATTTTACACAGCTTGCGCCTGCGCTTCACCACAGAACGGACTGCATAGTAACAACCTGTTATGGTCAATGAGAGCATTCAGTGAGTTATGCTGATAATGTGAGCGGCGGCATTTGTGACGCCACTCAACACGACGCAAGAAAATATCAGTTTACAAAGAAAGATGAGAAAAATAGAAATGCACAGTGACTTGTTTAAGTAACTTTAATTTGATTTCTGGTTTGGAAATAGTAGCGCGTTAGGTTGCAAGTTGCTGAAAGAAGTGGCCATATTAGAGAATCGTGTTGCCAGCATCGCTGATCCTCAACGTCTGATCCCATCTTGAACTCTTAGTTTTATGGGAACGTGAATGCTCAAGTAGATATATTCGCTCCAGTTTTTCAGAGCCGAGTGTGACGACACCCAAAAAAACAAGTCCGATTCGTATTAATGAGTGAAGCAAACAGGTCTTAGAGGGCTTAGTGTCTTGATTTGATTAGAAATATAATCTCTTTTGTATGGCACTCTCTTATTCTGCACTGCGGTTTTAAAAACTCTAATCTTGTCAGTCGGTGACAAGATGGGTTTTCCGCTGGGTAAAAACAGATCCAGTCTTGAAAAGTCAGAATAGATTGTAAAATGTTGAGCGAAAACTGTTTTCTGAGCATGTTGTTTTTTTTTTAACCTTTGGGCAACGAAGGCTCAGGATGTATGTGTTCGTTTGGTTAGTAAAAAAAAAAAAAAAAAAAATATATATATATATATATATATATATATATATATATATATATATATATATATATAATATATACAGAGAGAGGGAATCAGTTCCCTTATAAAACAAGGATCAGTGGGAGCCCATGTTGACCCTATTTTAAAGATTCCCAGAGGCAAACAGAAATCTGCTGAAAGTGATGCCGTGTGATGTTGATGCTCATTTGTTGCAACTTATCCACATTTGAGTTGGACAGATATTAAGAAGTCATGTCTCTTATTCTGCATTTCTCTCTTATAAGCTGAACATCTCTCTACTACATCCTGTAAAGCAGTGGAGTATTTAGACCACAGCCAGTTTCAACTGGACATTTTCCTGGACATGTGGAAAACCTGAGCGGCAATTTACACACTGTTGCTGTTCAGACAATGTTTTACTGCATCTTAAGCTGTAACACTGTCCAGACTGGGGAAGAACAGATTCTTAGTGTGTCCTAACAATGAACTAAGACTTGGTGCAATTCTCCAAGTAAACGGCGTGTAATTGTTTGAGAACAATCAAACGATTGTTCATCTGAAGTATACAAGAATGAATACTTGGTTATAAATGAAAATGATAATTCTAATAATCATAGTGATAGTAAAAGCCTTACTAGACAATATTATATATTGCTTCCATAAGCAATTTGTTTCTAAATGTTTAGATTAAGACTGGGACGACTTTCCTGATCCCAACTTGGTTTTTACTACATTGCTGAATTTACAAGCTGACCAATCTCTGAATTTTGGTCATCATTTGACAAACATTATATATTTTGAAGACGGTTAAAGACGTTAAGAAAGTTTTGGATAAAAAAAGGAGTATGACTTTTAAAAGTAGAGGCTTATTTTAATATTTATATTTTAGTGAACAATTTGACTTTCATATGTAGATATAAAAAAACACCATAGTATGGAAGATTGTATATATGTTGTTCTGTCATTTAGTTGAGATTAAATTAGATTCAATGTAATTCAACTTTGTTATTACATATGTATAAGTACAGAGCAACAAAATGCAGTGCAAGTATCTAAACCAAAAATGTTTTTACCTGTACATGAAATGCTTACAGCAGTTATTTAACAGGTTATAAACGCCTAAATGACTTGACTTAAATGTTAATCTCATATCGTTCCTGCCATGTTGAGCCAAGCGGAAGGAAAAAGGGAAGAAAAAGAAAAACATCTGAAAAAAGAACGGATTGTAAAAAAGCACAACAGGGCCGCAGAGAGCGGTTGCTGACACCTTCACACGCCTCTTTGGTACTGAGAGGGAAGAACTGATCTGGAATGACAACAAAGACACTAAAGCTAACACAAATTTCAGCAGCAGTCGTCTAGGTGAGGGGAAAAAAAGGCTACATGGCAAGACAGCGGTCAAGTGTCAGACACCTCTCCATCAACAACGGCCACACAAACAGGGACGAAGACAAAATGAGAAAGACACAAACCTAAGGCCTGAATTCAGCAGAGCGGTACACATGGAAAGAGGAATGAACATACAGTTTGAGAATCGCTGCAGGGAAGCTCAGCCTTCACAGGAACTGGTCTCAACGTTAGTACACACTAACTAAAGCTGAATTATGTTCACTGTTTTGAGTTTGTGTCAGCTTTAAGGTTCCCTACGTAAAGGTTCACATGTTCCAACATGAACATTTTGATGAAACATCATTTCTTGCAGTCAGAAGAGAGCTACTGCTTGATCTCAGATGTTTGGCTGTCATGGCCAGTAGTTACAGTCTCTGTCTTTTCAAACTCCACCTGAAGGTAGTCGCCTTCTCTAACAGGCAACATGTATCAAACAGACCCACAGCTTGGCACACGTAACACATTTATTGAGGAACGACTTTACATATTCTGTCGGCTTTAAAGGACATTTAAAGCTGCTGGCTCTTTTCAGGAGGAATGTTGTAAAGTTTGAAATTTTACCCAATTGCTAACATTTGGAGGGTTTAGAGCCACTTCTACACTATGATTCTTGCTGGAAATTGCCTTCATTGTAATTTTTATTTAAAAAATGATAAAATTTGAGTGAAAGTAAAGAGGAAAGTTAAACCGAAATGTGTCTGTTTTAATAATAATAATAACAATATAAATAAATAAATAAAAGGAACATTTATTAAGATAAAGAAACTTATTTTGACATTTATCAGTCATTACTCGGTTGCTGAGTAAAGTGTAAAGGGTGTGGATTTGTAGAGAAAGCAGGCGTTGCAGCTTACGTACGTCAAAAAGTCTCTCGACGTAAATCTCCTCGTTGACTTTCTCTCGCAACATGTCCTGGGAATGACGGACAAAGGTAACATAGCAGTCTGCAACATCCATCCCTGGTTTCTGCAGCAAATGAAGACAGATGGAGATTAAGATGCACTTAAAGCTCCGTGTTCTTTTAATTTTTTAAAACAGACACACATCCGATATTTGATTAACACTCCCTTTATTTCAATCTAATTAATGTATCCTTAGGGATGTGGATATGTACCTGATACTTTCAAAGGTAGTTTAATTAAAATGCTATTTTAAAAAAACTGTCATTAAACAGAAATTACATCTTTACATCAGACATCTTTGCAACAAACTTCCCTGGTTAGACATAAATTTTCTACTATCTCTTGACCAGACCAAGAGATAGTAAATATGTCGATGTGAACGCCTCCAGCGTCTCCACAAGTTTCACATATCTTCAGATGTTTTTTTGTTTCTCTGTTCTTCTTTGTAACTTGTCATTTACAAAGAAGAATGGCCAGGAGGGGGAAAGCAGGGGGCAAACAAAGTCCTGCCTTACAGTGGCCTGGTGGTACCAAGACATGGTGAGGCAAACACCATGTGAAGGAAAACAGATTATGGAACATCTAAACAGTAAAAAAAAATGCATTGACTTGCCTTGAAAATATACTATTTCAGGTTTAATGGAGAGTATTAGTGAAAATCAATTTTTTAGTGCTGCCCCGGATTCCCAATTGAAAACAGGTATGGACTGAAAAAGAACCATATTGACACATGGAATTGCTCAAATCAAACCCATGCTCATTCAGGAGGAGTGAACACTGCAAAATAAGTCGATGCAATCTGGTGAGTTTTTCTTGGATAAAAACTTTTCACCAATTTAACCTCCCTGGAACTGTCACCAACTCATCGTCACATTATAGAAGCCAAAGACGACGCATTGATGGAAGGAAGGATGGTCAGCAAGACGTCCTGGTCTTGCTGACCAAGACATGAACCCTATTAACAAAAAAAACAAACTATGAGTATTTGTTCTCCTGTGATGGTTTTCTGCAACACACTCAGACTGTCAGATTATTCCCCAACATTTAACTCTAACTTCTGTTCCAAATCAGTTCTTGTTTCTTAAACCCTGAGCTTCAACAAGTCAAAAAATCTGCACAGAATCTATTTGCTTTTGCAGACCACAAGTTCAGGATACTGTATTGACTTCTCTTTGTCTAGAGAAAGGCTTTAGCTATTTCCTGTACATGCCTAAAACTACGCATGAACCTAAATTCAATTTGCACAATATCCGGAACCCTAAATCCTGACAAAAGACAATATCTAAATTGGGTTTGGTTTTCCCCAGAACAGTGGTGTTTAAAGTCGGTCTTCTGTTTTAGTTCCCTCCCTGGTGGTAGTAACAATCTTTTCAGCATGTCATTGTTCATTTCAGGCCTTCTAGAGAGCCATCATTTGATAAACCAGGGAGAGAACTAAAATACCACTTCCCTAGACCACGAAGGCCGAATTCATCTTTGAACTCCTCACTACAATAGACCATATAACTCCATGTAAATCTTGGATTTCTCTTATGAAAAGCCTTTGCTAATCAAACCTGTGCAGACACATCAAAATAAATCATTTTGCCAGCGAAACTCTCTTTCCATGCATCAGGGGTACAACTGTAACACAATTTGCATGCGAGGCCAGAAACTGTGAAGCCCCTGCTAGCATACACAGTGCCTATTTGCAAGGCATTAAATTTTAAATTTTGTTGCAATGGCCGAAGCGTTGGCAGCGAATGGAAATCTGATGTGAACACAGTCAAATGCACAAATCCTCAGCGCCAACCTGACAGCAGAAGTGGCATGTGTTGTCAAACACTGACTCGTGATGCATGTTGCACTGAAAGAGCAAAGCACGCGTCATGGCTGCCTGCCAGTGTCTGGCCACATGCAAATGAATTGTCATTTTGGGAGGAAACATGGGGACGTTTGACAAAAAAGAAACATGACAAAAGCTACCATCTGGATTCTGGTTTTCCATGTGAAATTATGGTCAAATATTTACACATGCACAATGAAAAAAAAACACAAACATGCAATGAGAACTGCTTAGTAGAAAATTCCCTTCAATCACTGAGATTTTCAGTTTTGCAGAAGTTTTCAATACATCACTGTAGGACTGGATTTACTAAACTGCAACGTTCTTAAGGAGAGTCTGAGTTGCATGTGTGAATTTCATAAAAAAGAACCCCCTCCCCCACAAAAATCAACAATAAATACAAAGTGCTTTATTTTATTTCTCTTTACATTTTTATAGTTCTCATCTGAGAAGCTATAAAATGACTCTTTGGTAATTAAAATGTAATATAGTACAACAACAAAAAATGATAAATTAAAAAAAGACGTTGAGGTTTGGATTACATAAGCAACTAATTATTATAAACACGTTCTGCAGTAAAATGTGTTTAGTGACACAAAAATCTGGTGGCTATGCTTCCTTCAAGGAAAGATAAGTATTGTCATCCCAACCATACAAACTAGCAACCAACTAGTTTTCTTGCCAAAATGAGGAAAATGTGAGGCATTGAGACATTAAATTAAACTTAAACGCCGATTCAGATGTAATGTTCAACATATTTTCCTATTTGGTGTCATAAGCTGGAGATTTTATTTCAAGTCAGATTGAATTTTAGTGGAAGGTCTCAGTAATTTGGGGACGTAATTGCACCACAAACGTCTCTGAACAAGACGTTCAGGAACAATGCTGGCGAAGTAAAAGTATTTTGAAACACTGCAAAGAAAAAAAACCCAACAAAAACAAAACAAATTGTTTTGTAACTTTTTGTAATATTACATAATAAAGAAATATAAAAAAAATTGTGATCAAATTTCTGTGGAGAATATTTTCATCTAGTACAATGTAATAATTCTTCATAAGTAAAATTGATTCTACCCAAAATAAGACTTTTTGATCTTATCTTGAATGTTACTGTAGAACCTGATCTCTTTGGAACATTTTGGTTCAGCTGAGCTTTCTGAGTTATCAAATAAAAATATTCGCTTCAAGTACCTCCATGCTGGATCAAAGTCCAGCCAAAAGAAATTTTCCCTTCATACGTTTTTCCCCCAGACCGCCTCCAGTCTGATTCATTTTCCATTAGCAGATCCGGAGCGGGTACAACAAGCTGGACCAAGCCAGGAGCGGCACCAAAACGATTTGATTGCCAGCTGACCGCATTCATCGACAGACTTGAGATTTACTGAAAACTGTTTCGCGATACATATTGTATTTATATGTATCGCGAAACAATCAGCCGATCTGAGTCTTTATCATTGTGTTCAAGTTGCTTGCCCAACTTCATTGCAAGCAGACTAAATGAAATGTCTGGGTTTATCAGAACCAGAAGCTGAAGGTTCTCCCAGGGAGAGTTGACCACAGCCGCTGCTGCTCATTGAAGGTGCAGCAGCCTGAGGAAGACCAGCTGGCGGGAGACAGAAAAACTCTGGCTAAGATAAAATAAAAATGAGACAATATCTCCCATCCCAGGCAGGGCGAAGAGTCTTGCCCAAGGACACAACAACGCAGCAGGGGTTCGAACCGGGAACCTGTCTTGCAGGACAAACTCCTTCTTCTAAAGTCATAGTTGCCAACATATGTATAGCAGTCAAAGCTGCCATTATTACTCTTGTCCCGTGACCAGTTTATTAAGGCATCGCAGCTTCACATTGCGTGTGTTCAGTTGCTTGTTAAAAGACATGATGCCAGGTTACCACAAAAAGCAAAGACAAGTATTAATACTTACAGGTACATCCACATACTTTGAGGCAGCTTTTACCTTGAAAAGAAAGGCATAGAAAAGGGTTAGCATCATTACTCTAACTGTGAAACCACTTTTAGGAGGAAGGGCTACTATGGTGACACTACATAGCACAGTGGTTAGTGCCTGCTGAACTAGCAGCCATAGCTTGTGCTGCATTTAACAACAAATGTGCACTCACTAATTCAATATCCTTTTTTCCCCCACAATACTGCAGATATCCAGCTGAGATGTTAAGCTATTTCATGGTGAGAGTGCCTTCATAAAAGGTCAAACTGTATTACAAGAAACCCCAAACAGCTCTGAATCCAAAGTGACTGATTATCAAATTACAATGTTTCAGTTAATCAGGAAGGTGATGTGCGATCAAGAGTCTGATTATTAAATTCACTGCAACTGATAAGCTTGCAAGAAATATGTGAATGATGGAACTTTAGATGGTGAATACTATCAGAAGGAACGAATAAAGGATGTTGCACTTACTGTGAAAGATAAGAAGGAAGAGAAGAGGGTTCCTTCGTCATATCGAGAGAGTTTAGATAACACACTCTCCAGAATGACCACAAACTAAAAGCAAAACAGGAGAAATGTTAAACCATGATTCACAAAGGACTTGAAAAGCACAAAAAATGTTAAATGTTAATTGATTTGAAGTTAATTCACAGACATAAAAATGTCTGTGAATAATTGCTTTCCATCAGAAAGAGACGTCCAACACAGAGGCATCTTTGGAGTACAAGATGGCCCATTGCCTTTTCGTGAGTTGTATTCCTGAGCTCCAGCTGTGCATGAAGGTGAAACCAGGCACCTTTGACAACTAGCCTCTTATTCCATGGCCACCGTCGATTGTCTGCCACCGAACTTGTAACACCTGCACTTGATGGGTTCAGAGGAAGAGAGTCCACTCAATTGGTGAACTCCCCAGCCCTGGTCTCTCTTGTCCAAATTTACAAGTTTGTCTCTTTTTTGTGTTCTGCAATTCACAGACACTGAGTCAAGCTTTGAGTGACCCCCTCCGTTCAGAACAATTTGCCATTGAAGATGCTAACCACAAAGCAATGCCCCAACAGCGACAAGGATACTCAAACCTCTTGTCAACGTGGCGATTCACCAAAAGGAAACATCTGTGGGATTGCTTTGAATCTCAACAAATTTGTCTTTCCTTTCACTTTATCATGTTATGCTGAGGTCTAAAAGGATGCTCAGTGGTGTTGTACCTTTGCTACCAAAAGAGTAATCATTTCCTTCACCGTCTCCTCAATCAGATGGTCGATTTGGGAATGGTATTGCCTCTGCAGACGAAAACAACACATTATATGTATATATTATAAACATTTCTGAGAGAAAAGTGACATCTATCCATGTGTCATGTTTTATTTGCTCAGCCATTTTCTAAACAATAGGTCTCCAGCTATCCAGCCTTTGCTGATTTTATGTTTTCATATTAAAATTTTTAGCTATATTTGAGTGTCTAAGAAAGAAGTGCTTATGTTTTTTTGCAAAAATTGTTTTTGATTTTATACTAAATAAAAATTATATGCAATGAAACTAAATAGGTATAAACTAGAGGTAACCATTAATGAATTCGCCACAAAGACGGTAGTGATACAAATTTGTAAGAGGATATGACAGGATAAGAGGCAACTTTTATGAATTCCTTCGGTAAAATCATTGTGTTTTAAGTTATGCAAATGAGAAAGGGGTAAAGTGAATTACTCACCTCTTTTGGTACTTTTACTTTAGTCATTCATTATAGAAATAATGAATGACTCACCTAAATATACAAATTTAGGTGAGGCATGTAAATTAATTAAATGCTTGGCGGATATTTATTTCACATGTAGGGAACGAGAACAGAAAAGAACTTAAAACATTCAATCAGCAAAAATAATCTGCTTTGATGGAGACTGATGGGAACACTGTAAGGGGACTTCTTTCCTCCGACAAAACTGTGAAGGACTTAGGAATAATGAATTCATCGTCAGTAATTAGTATCAGTCTGGAGACTGTGCAAAACATGAGATCTCTCACATTCATCCCATGTATATTCAATGCTATCTACACATATGGTAATGAAATCCAAACAATTCAAGTGAAGGAAGAGAGACAGTGAAAACTGATGACTAATTATTCAAGTGGGAATTAATGGGGGGCCTGGGTGTGGGGAGGAGGGTGGTGTGACTCGGGAGATTCATTTAGATTTTGGTCACACTTACCCATTGTCTGACAAACTCCATACGGTAGACGGGGACGGTAAACAGGAAAAGTCGCAAAGGAAAATGGCATGGCACGAGCAAAATTACACAAAAAGCAGACGCAAATGTTCATCTTGCATCAAAAAAAAGTTTGGAAAAAAAAAGCATTTACACCTTGTAGGCGTTTGCCTTTAAAAGTGCTCCAGCCACCAGAGCAGCGGTTTTAAACTGGGGTGAGAATATTAAAGAAGATGAAAAAGAATAGAAAGGGAAACCTTTACCTCTTGACCGAGGTCCACGGCACACAGTTTGGCTGACTGGGACTTGGCATCCACCATGACATTGAACATGGTGCAGATGGACTGAGGGACGCGGAAATCTGTGGTCCGGCTGCTTCTCTGCAGCTTGGCCTCAAATGCTACCCGTGTCCTTTAAAAAGCGGTATGATCGGTCAACATCATAGCCATATATAACTATATAAAGACATGCGTGACTAGATATATATATGCATATATAGATATGTATACACACTCTCTGGCCAAACAAAAAAAAGTCACCACCTTATTTTAAATTAGTAAATATGTCTGAGTCTCCAACTGGACAGTTGGGAACCGTCTTTCTTTCATGATGGTAAAAGGTTTTCTGACCCACATGCACAGACTCTATCAGGAGACAAGTAAAAATCAAAGAATGTCATAAAAATGAGAAACAAATGTTGAAAAATCTAGGCACTTTTCAACCAGGGATCCAGGATTTTTTTTTTCCAAGTTCTGGATTGGAAAAAGAGCCAAGGAATCTGTAACACTGCAAGGAAACAGAACGGATAAGGTCGAGCTGACGGTCGAATGTCTAGAAAATTGTGTGCAGCGGTTACTTGAACTTGTTGTGGACGGGGACGCCATGGAGAGGTGAGTGGAACGTGGCTGTTGGTTCTTGTGCGGATTTCCAGGAAGCAATTAAAGATCTCAAAGCCGAGGAGGAGGAGGAACGCCAAGGAACAAGGATCGTCGCAGGAAATAAATCTTGTGGCATTGCAGAAGTTTCTCAAAACAATGCCACAACAAATAATCAAAGCTTAAGGTGATCCAACAAAATACTAGAGCGTGGGACCCTTTCTTTTGGCCAGGTGGTGGATTGATAAAAAGAAAAGAAACTCTTACCTAAAACATTAATCTAATGCAAAGTCACATTCTAAGAAAAAACTGTTATTTTTACTGTTCTAGCAAAGTGAATACCCCATGTCCAAAAAGTAGTTACCGTTTTATACAAGATTCTATCATGTCACTGGACATCAGCTTCAGTCTGGTTTCTAGGTGCTTGCCGAACTCTTCCTCCGGCCAGTGGAGATCTCTGATGAACGTCTGCAGAGCGTCCAGCTTCCAGAACAGGTCCTCTGAAGTTGCTGAACCATGGCTACAGAACCACAGATCAGAGTCATGTAAACCCAAACTAATAACATATCCTGCTTATGTTAAAAACTTAAGGCTTATTCAATTGTTCTATTCGTACAGTGATATTTGTACTAATATTCATAGTAAGTGCAAGAAAAAAGGCAAGTGAAATGCAATCAAGGTTGTGTAACTACAATTTTCAGTGTCAAAAATAAATACAAATGTCATAGCCGATAATATTATCTGAATAAGATATCTGCATGATGAAGCACCCACAAAACCATAGTTTGACAAATTAAAACAGGAGCTAGAGCTAAACTGTAGCAGCCACCGTATATGCAAGGTAATTTTAGGAAATGTCTGAGAATGACTTTTTTTCCAATAACTTTTCACATAAAAGAACAAAACGGAAAAAAGAAATGAAACACTCTTAAACACCTACATTTACAAAAGATTTGGAAGACTCAGGAAGGAACTCAGGGAAAGACAAATAAATGTACATGACAACACTGATGACTACACAGGTCCAAAGTTTCCACTTTCTTTTAAAATCAGGTTTTGATGTTAAAAGAAAACCTTTCTTTGTTAAGACATTAGAAATTCAAGTGTCAGATAAAACAAGAGTGCCAAAACAATCACCGACAGCATTATATGTAGTGGTGAGGAAGACACAGCGCACCCAGGTTATGGTTGAAGAGTGATTGAAAATGAATTAAATGACAAATAAACACAATAATCCAAAATCCAGGCAGGAAGGCTAACAGCTCAGAAATTGGTTGGTACTCAACAAAGACATAGACGGAAGACAAGACGAGGACCCGACAAGGGACACAGGTTGGATTAAATACGCAGAGGCATTACCAAAAGAATTTCAACTTCCTAAATGTGACAAAAATATGTTTAAATAATTTGTCATTAATTTGGCACGCTTCAACCTCCATAGCCAAGAACACGTGTGCATGCTAAGGCACTGCAAGAATAATACACACTCCAAATCCTAATGAGCTGTTATCCAACTGGGTGGAGAAAAGTTGGGTATTTGTGGGAGGCTAACACTTGGTCCTGTTACATTTGGTAGTTTGGGCATTTGGATGTTGACACTCAGCAGAGTGCTTGCTGTGCTCCTGTGGAGAGAATGACAGAAGACGTGGCTCTGCAACGCAAAGCAATGCGACCAAGAGAATGGTGAAGGCCTACATAACGAACACAATTAAGACATTTTTAGAAACATATTAGGAGCCATAAAACAATGGCACAAATTTTTCAATATTAGAGTAAAACCAGGCTACTGAACGCTATCATTTCACTGGTTGTGCTCCAGTAAGTCAATCCATACTGTATTCGTAGGGTTATGCTATCAGTTACAGTTTTATTTAGCCAAAATAAAATATTTGATCATGAAATAATTCTCAATAGACATTTTATGATGAATATATCAAACAAACTACACAACCATCTGTTTTTAGAATTTAATAAAGTATTAATTGTTTGTGTAGACCAACAAAGGGGTAGGTTAATGTGAAGCTCAGTGTATTTCAACCAGGCTGGACCAAAAGAAGGTTTCTCTTCTAGCTTTAGCTGGACACCATTTTCAAGTGATATAATGACAGCCTGCAAAGATACACTAGAGATTTTTGTTAGAAATGCAACAGTACCAAATTTGACCATTCTACAAAAAAATTTATAAAGTTACCACATTCTCCACATTTTTTTATGCACATACAACTATACAATATTTTGTTTCACATATAATGGGGTAAAATTAATATAGATAACAGATTTAAAGTGGGATTGCAGCAGGGAACCAAAAAATGCTATGAATAAAATGTAATAATAGGAGTGTAATGCAGAAATGGGACTCATCCTGTAAAGCGGTATAAGCATAAATGTCATATTTGTGCTGTATTTGCTTGATGCATATATTATTTTTCATAATTCTCAGATGTTCATAGATGTTTCGCATTGACCACACACAAAATAATTGCTTTGGTACTTTTTTTTTTTTTCGGTCTACAACAGTAAATTAATTTTGCAGTTCCTGTCTGTGTCCTCTCGGCTGTGAGTGGCGCACAGTAAAGGTGGACGGGAGGGAAATGAAACAAGTGAGGCAAATAATCCTAATAGAACAGGGGTTTGTGTGTCGATTGCACACAAAAAAATGTGTGTGCTGTTGAAAGAAATTTTAGTTAATCATGTTCATTTTAAGCAAAAAAAAAAAAAAAAGCTATAGAACTGATTTTGGACTCAACTGTATGAAATAAGCCACATGTAGGTCATTCTACAGAGAGCCTCCTTAGTGTAAGAGCAGAAATGCTTACTTTACTGGTTCCCAGCACTCTCTTTCAAAGCCTCTGTGGATGGACTGAGCGATGGACGACTCCATCAGGTCCACGTATCGCACCACCAGAGGGGCGTACAGGTCCTGGAGGTGTTTATGGAACTTTCCGTTGCACAGGTTGTCTGGAAGACCGAACCGGAGAAGAGACACAACGTGTCAAGCATGTTTCTACTTGCGCAAATTACATCAAGCACAATATAATCACCAGAACTACTTTGAAGGAACATATCTTCACTGGTTGCCCATAAAACACAGCAGTGACTTCAAAATTCTCCTTCTCACTTTCAAAGCGCTCCACAACTTCTGAGCGTCTCCTCTAAGGCTCACCTGTGATTCTGATTCTGATTCTTAATTTAAATCAAAGCTTAAACCTCACTTCTCCAAACTTGCATATTCTATTTAGAGTCATTTCTTTCTGTATTCAGTTCTTCTGTATTTGATGTTCAGTGACCTTGAGGGCTTTGACAGACACCTTCAAAATGTATTAGTATCATTATCATTATCTACAGCATCTGTTTTCTTTTGGAGTAAAAGTAAGATTTATTCATGATTTCCAGTTATTTATTTTAGATGCATCAGTCAAAAGAAACACGTTTCATCTCACGTGTAATTCACAGCTACATTTTGGGGAAAACTGATTTTTTTATTTTTTTATTCCATTACTACAAATGAATCATTTCTTCTCCCTCCCTGAGCCCCCCCCCATTCTTGACAAACAAAAGGTCAGAGTCTTGGGGTGTTTCTAAATCCAACACATCACAAACATTTCCCCCAGTCTCAGCTGACTCCCAACTGGTAAAAAGGCAACACTGACAAAGACCACAGGAGATAAAATGGAGGCCAGTGTGTGCTAATGTGATGCCTCACGGCTCCATGCAGCGTGTCTGCTTTTTCTCTCCTTCTCCCTCTTTGTTTTTCTCTCTCCCTCTGAGCATGTGTTTGTGCGTTTGTGTGTTGGCATTTGAGTCAAGGTCGATGATACACAGTAGGTGCAATGTTTGTTGTGTTCTCTGATTGCCACACTCCAAATTAGCCACTTGAGCGGCTGCTGTCCACTTTGATGTGTTGTATCCAGGAGTGTGCTTGCAGGGTTCGCCACGGCGAAGCTACCACTGCTTTAGACCTCATTAACTCCTCGAATGGCAGCCCGACTTTGGCGCCTGTCTAGTTCTATGGCTATTTACTACTGCATAAGTGCACCGCTGTGGGGCAACAGAACAGATGACCTTCTGTGGTAAAGATGTCCCTATATTTTACTCATGCGTCTAGTTACTCTGGGCAGTTAGAGCTTCTGCTGGGATTTATACCGATACAGTGCTCTGGTATAATATGTACTGATAATGTTTCAAGGGTCTATGACAACTCATAATGATGTAATCGCCAATAACTTATTCATTCTAGCATTTTAAATGTTATGAAGCCAATAACTTTTAAACCTGTCAATGGTGTAACCAGGTATTACTTTATTGATTAAGCAATAACCTAAATTCTTTATCAATGTGGGTGACACCAGAATTTCATATGCATCCACTAAAAAGACCCATAAACCTTTTTATCCTCACTGACTCTGACCAAACTTCTCCTGTTCCAGGTCGGTCGGAATCAGTTATTTCTATTCGATAAATGCCACAATATTTACAGAGAGAACATATCAATGATGGATTTATTATTGTCATCTAGATTAGAAGTTTGTACGTCTTTCCTCAGTATTTCATCCCATCACCTTTGAACTGTATGACTTGGGTCAAACATTTTGGATTTTCTACCACAAGCTTCTCACAATAATCTTCCTTGAAAAACTGTTCCACTTCTGTCAGGTTGGTGGGGATTGGCTGTGCACCCCGCTCTTTAAGTCCTGCTTCAAGTTTCTTATTGGACTGAAGTCTGGGCTTTGAGTACACCACTCCAGAACATCCACCTTCTCATCTTGAAGTCTGCGTGGCTTCAGCTGGATGCATCAGGTTGTCATCTCGCTAGAAAATAAATGTCCTCTGAAGCTGTAGTAGACAAATTGCGCTCTAGGATTTCTCTAGATTTTGGAGCATTTATTTTGTCACCCATGATCACAAACCTTCCTGGACCTTCTGCAGAGAAGAATCACCAAAAAGCACGAATCTTCCACCACCATGCTTCACAGGTCTGATCTGTGGAAGAAGAACGTTCTTCCACTTGGCCATGGGATTTCTGCCAAAATGGGGTTTAGTTGAAGACGTATTGTTTGTTGCTCTGATTAAGTAACAATCAGAGGATTAACTAAACTTACTTCCTGCTTTTGAACCTACCAGCCTTGTCTGTAGTGTGTGCATGTTTGTGTGTTTTTAGGGGGATGTGGTCAAAACTTGATTCTGGTTGCTGCAGGTCAGCCATCTCTTTAATGAACTGCATGCTCTTGCCTGCAGGAACACTGAGGAGCAGTCTGCAGCCCTGTAAAGGATACACTTCAGTGTTCACAATGTGGACTCAATCTAGAAGGTGCTAATTGTCCCTTGGGAATGTGTCCCCTTTTTAGTTTGCCAGTCGGGAGTCAAGGAGAAGGCGAAGCATCGTCCACTTATTCGCCGTAACTGAAAAGACGACAAATAGCTTGTTATGCTCACTTGTTAGTGTTATTAAATTGGCCTCCTCCCGATTTTCCACATTTTCAGCTGTGTGAAAGTAGCAACTGCAGTGCATAGCAATGGACGTGGTTACACAAGGCAGCATAAAACAAGGACATTGCTCGGTGCTGGTTAGAGTACTGAAGAAAAAGATCACAAACAGAGACAAGCAGGCTGCTATAACTAAAAAAGTTAACGTTTAAGAAATAAGGCAGCCCAAGACTCTGGGCATTGTGTGTAAAGGTTTCGTACAATCTATGAAAACATTCGTTCTTTTTAAAGGCCTTTCAATGTTTACGTTGAAAAAAAAAAAGATGCTCCTTTTTTTTTTTTTAAAGCGCACTAGAACACAGTCTGCAGTCCCCCTCTTGAGATGGGAGTACCTTTGCAGACACATCAGCCAACACAGCCCCACAAAATCCAGAGCATTAAAGCGGAGGTAAACTACTGATATGTTATTCCCTCATCAAAAACATACATGGAGTGTTGCTTTGATTCTTTCGTCCATATTTGAGTAATCCTTCAATCTCCCGTGGCAACCGTTCAGGGATGTCTAAGCGCTCGCTCATACAAAGCCCCGCATATTTACTCAAGGCTTGGAGGTAAAGTCTCCCTCCTTTCAGTCCTGCCCCGACCCCGCCTTCTCTATTCAGGTCCTCCAAACTAGTGGCAGCACCGATTAGCAAACACCTGGTGGAACTTTAGTGAAACATGTGATCTATTAATAAGTATTGAAATCCAATGCATGAGCAATACTGAGAGGTCTCAGCATTCGATCTAGTTCTATCAAAGGTTACATTCACACTGTAGCCTGAAGTGACCCGAAGCTGATTTTTTTTCTTTTTGTTTTTTTTTTGCTTGTATCTGATCTTTTCCTGACAGATTTTTTCCACTGTGATCCAAGCTAATGTGACATGAAGGGCCAGGTTTCATTAATCTGACCTGAGCGGCACTCAACAAACGTCACCATTCTGCCTCCTGATATGCGGAAAAACAGCAACCACACCGAACAGTAATGAGGATGAAGTTGCTACAGTGGTGCCTCCAGTTGGGAAATCGTAAGATACGCTCCACCGTAACCATCCACGTTTTTTGTGGCGGTTGTATGTGTGACGTTATTGCGCCCCCTACTGCGCATGCAGAACAGTTCCAGGTCACTTGCAGTTCTCAGAGGAGATCGCAGAGAAGTTACATATATTTGGAAATGAATGACAAAAAAAAGATACGATTTCACAAAAAAACAAAAATTTGGAATTGAGCATTAAGGCCTTCAGTGTGAACATAACCTAACATTATTATGCGTCCTATTCGACTAAAGCAGAAAGTAAAATAACTATGATTTGACAAAGAATCGACTGTTTTGTTATCGAACCTTATATAAGTTTACAGTAACAACGAGGCTCGAAAAAAAGATTTCAGAAGTAATATAGATGATGTTTTGCATTTATAAAACCTCAATTAAATAACATGCTCAGAGAATCAAAGTAACTCTACATGTAGTTAACGCCTCTGTAAAACAAAATGTCAGTCTGCTTCTTACATGTGTTGACTTAACGGTGAAGGACTTAGTGTTACAACCAGCAGCCTCCATATTGCGCACACACAGTCCAGAGTTTACTAAAACTCAGACCCATCTGTCTCTGCAATCTGGCAACGCAAAGCATGATTCAAGTGGCATCTGTGCAGTCGCTCCCTCTACATACAAACAAGTTAATTGCTTGAATGAAGTAGCTCACTTATGGGCTCAATATCCTGTCTACTCCCCTCCCCTCCAAACTACATCTACAGAACACAAACAAAAATGTGTAACTACACAGGTTCATCTGACAGTTCGACCTTAATTAGAAATACATTTCACTGTGTCCGCATGGGATTGTTATTCATTTCTAAGACACTCACAATCCACTCTCAGGAAGTCGTTGAGCAGTTGGAAAAGCGGGAAACTGTCCCAGCTGTCAGGCGGCTGGATTTCGAGGGCTGCATCCATGTCGGCCGAGTAAAGACACAGGAAGGTCTCGGCATGCTCCACCATCAGGTCCGACCACCAGGCAAAGGCCTTCACACGGACCGCACATTAACAGACAAGAGTCCAAAAAGCAAAGGGAAATCAAAATGTTGACAATGAGGAAAACATGTTCAAGTAAAGTGAGTCTCTATTAATATATTTGCTAAAATCTTACATAAAAAAAACTAAGGATAAAATGTGACCTCACTGATCTGCTGGAATGACTCTCTTTTACTTATCGCTGTGTGGAATTAAGTTGCTGAAAATAAAGAATTCATCATGGGCTCTCAAGAGGAGGCTTCTTCACAACTTGGGGCACAAACAACAGTTTTTTTGGCACAGAGTTCGACATGCTTTCCTCAAGGCCTGCTGGGAGAACAGCAGAAGCTCCTTGACAAGCATGGTAGGGAGCTACTTAAACACTTACCCACAGCTCCTTCACTTAGTCGGTCGGAAGAAAGGAGCCAGCGAGGTGTGCCGCACACACATCTCTTAATCAAATAGATGCAGTGGAGCAGGTGTTGGCAGCCCCGCTACTCTCATGCACATCGAAAATACAATATTCTCCATGCACCGCTGCTCTTGCTGAGCCTCTTAGGACAGGCTTCTGAGGATCCGTGGTGTTCACATCAAGCTGTTAGCACTGTAATGTGAATGTACCCACTAGTTTCTATGGCACTCATTGTGGTGGGAGAGGTAGAGGGGGATAAGGGGCTCATGCACTTGCCACAGCAGCTCCTAGCAGCGAATACTTGATGTGGGAAGAGTTGGGAAGAGAGGGACAAGTCGTTGCCACTCATGTAACAGCGTCAGATGATGACTTGCTCTGACTTGAATGAGCTTCGTGTGCTGTATATTCAGTTACTTAAACATACAAAGATGGCAATTATAAAAAAAAAAAAAAAAAAAAAGAACATCTGGATGAAATGCTCAACTGGGATGTGAAAAGTGCAGTTTTTAAAATGATGTTTTCTCCACATGCTCTGTATTACACATGCATTGTTGCATAAATGTAGAGCTTTGGCTATATTCACTATGAAGGTGCAGAATAAGAGCCAAAATTTAGACTCCTTGCTCAAAAAATACATTTATTAGCATGGAAATCTGTTCTGTTCTTGTTCAATGATTAAAATTATATGAAAAGAAGGACGGTTTGCCTTTGCCTTTAGGTTATATGCATAAATATGATGATCAAATCAGAGATAAATACAATACAGATGATCTAGGGTATGTTGTTTACAAATTCTAGTTTATCATTTTTCTTGTCAATAAAGTTTTCTTTGAAAATAGGTTTGTGTCCAAACATTCAGGTGAATAGTCTATGTAGCTTCCTGCAGCAAAGACATGGCAACTGCTGGATCCACAATACACCAGTCTTAACTTTGGCCTCAATAAAGCATCATAAACATGATAGATAAATGAGATGTGGATGAATTGGACTTGCAGAAAAAGATTTCTTAAAATAGAAAACCTTAAAACTTCTTCATGGCGATTAAATAAAAGTTTTGAGTCCGTTGAGAGGTTTTTGTTTCAAAATTGTAAAAACTTGCTGAATATTAGATACGTGACAAATTTGTGCCTAAATACTTTTACAAGATATCCAAACATATGTAAATGCTGATTTGAGATATTGTGGATTGAAGAACTATTACATGGTGCTGGTTTTTGATTTGGAGTATCTGTTGACGCCACCTTTGTTTGTCCACAGATGTCTGAACTGAAAAGCCTTCCTTTTTCTTTTTTTTTATATCCAGTTTCACCAAAACGTTCAGGAAAAGATTTAGCCTTCTGTTTGCGGGTTTCGAGTTTTACTAGACACCGTTTGAAAGACAATTTTATTTCAGTCCACTGATGATAATTAAACAAATGGTTACATAAGTGGCAAGGAGGACAGGGGTTGTAAACATGAGAAAAACTGAAGACGGATATCAAAAAAAATGAGCGAAACTGGAAGTGTGGAGTCAGGCAATGGAAAGCAGGCCTCACATTCATCGTCTCGTTCAACGACAGAAACTTTATTCGTGTGCCTTTTTCTTTATAGTTAGCTTGCTGGGAAACAGGTCAGCACATTAAGGAATGATTTAGGGTAAATTCTTGAAAACAAATAACAGCAACCCTGAAATTTTTCTTTTTTTGGGGGGGAGGGTCTTTCTCAGGTCAAAGGTCTGTTTTCAACACTGCTGAAGTGCTTGTCAGTCCTTCTGTATGCAGCTTGGCACATTTATCATACAAAGCACCGGTACAAGCACTTGGCTAGCAGTGGATATGTGGTAGCATAAAGGATCCTCTACAACAACAGCTGCATCATTATGTGCATGCGGAGGGCCTGGAGGGATCAGGATAGAGGGTCAGAGAGAAGACGCTGAATTACATACCTCTTTTCCCTGCTTAATATATGCAATGTGCAGACCAAATAAACAGTTGAAATAAAAAGCAGAAAGGAAGTAAATACATTTTCTTTCAGAGCACGCAATAAAGCCAAAAATAAATAGAATTAAAGAGACAGGCATATGAAGCTAACATGCTGCTCCTTTCAGCTCCAAGGTCAGTGACCGCAAATGTAGTTATTATTCACCTTATACTATTATGACTCCATTGTTTAAGTTTTTGCTTTGAATATCTCCTTGGCTTAGACACCTTCATTATTAATGTTAATCGTTCTTGCGGGCATTACACAAATCAGTGGCTAAAAGACATATTTTAATATACACTGAGTGTGTGTGTGTGTGTGTGTGTGTGTGTGTGTGTGTGTGTGTGTGTGTGTGTGTGTGTGTGTGTGTGTGTGTGTGGGTAGGTGAAGATGCTGAATAGCACACTGACCTCAGCATGGTGTTCCTCATTCTGCTGTAGCACCTCGATAACCAGCTCAGACAAACGGATCGTGTCCTCCAGCTTTTTGGCAGGGGTGACTAAACGGCCAACGTTTTCTGAAGCACAGAGGTTAAAAATCAACAATCACTCCCCCCCCCGAGGCACGGCTTTTTGGATAATGTTTGCATGCAGCCTAAGTGTCCTGATGAACAAAAGGAAGTACCATGCATGCTGTTAAATTGATTACGCATTAGATCTGTAAGTTTCAGTCACTCAAGAATTTGGATTTAACTGGTTCATATTTGGCCTTGAATCGTTTCGAAACATGCATGTACGCTAAAAAGCTTTTAGTGTACATATATGTTTTACAACAGGTCGAGTAAAAGAAAGAATAAAATATCCTCTTACTATAACTGGAATCAGAGCACAACACTGAACATCGACTTCCATCTCAGAGATCAGGCATTTAAGTACAATTTAAAACCAATTCATATTTGCCTTGGTTAAAGGTCATCGTGCAAAATCACATACAATGTAAAAGAAAGCTGTCTCTCTGTTTGTCTGACTCGCTGGCTAGTTAAATGTCTGTCTGTCTGTCTGTCTGTCTGTTTATCTATCTATCTACATCAATCTCTCTGTAGATACGTAGATATATATGAGGGGTTGTTCCTTTGCAGAACAGGGATGACATCATCTAGTAAAAGCACGGACATGACGAGGGACATAAGCAGCAACACTGAACACTCATCATGCAGCGATGTTGTCGTCTTTTGATTTTATCCAGAGGTTTTAGGTTACAATGTGTCTGTTGAACTGACATTTCACAATAAATGTATAAATACATGAGCCAACACATTGTGACCATTCGGAGAAAGACGATGATGACCATCTCAGAACGCTGGAGGAACGCTGCTTAATCCTAATTTATTTCCAAAATCAGCTTGCTGGCAGTTTCATTTTTGACACGGTTTCCAAAATCCTGACAGGAAAGTGTGTTACTCCGCAATGGTCGTAATATGTGGGCTCATCACTGCAGGCTACGCTAAATGAAAGCTTGACCTCCACACCTTCATGGTGTTCAGCGAGAGGTGTATTTATACTATGGCCAGAAAATAATCTAACTTCTTGTTTGACAGAGCCTTGTGGAATCAACTTATGACACGTTCCACTAACCGCTGTTTGTAAGTCAGAGTAGATTTACAAATCTGTACGTAAAAGGCCATGGTATAAGGATGAGAATGGGTTTAAAAGTGTTCAAATGCAGATGATTTTTGAAAAGGTATATAAGGCAGATAATGGAATTTGAGGCAGAAACACCGTAATACAAGTCAAAGTGCTTCCGCTTCATCCATTATGCTCATATATCAGAAGAGCAAGTTAAGTTTTATCACTTACAACGGGACAGTGCAGTTAGCAGGCATAAAAGGCAGGCCGGGACTCTAAAAGTAAAAATTGAATTATTTGAGACTGGAGTAATTTGGTTGGATGATCATTCAGAGGAAGAATACACAATAACCAGGCGGCTCAGCCGACTTTCAGACGAAGAGTGCATGGAGAAACATTTAACGGGAGATCATCAGTTTCAAGTCAAACGGTGGGTCTCATCCATTTACCTTCGGCTTCCAAAGTCACTTTATATCAATTAACCCACTGAAATACAATTTTGAGGCTGATTCACAAGTTTTCTCTAAAAAGAAAAACATTTGATAGCAGTACCACCATCGAGTGACAGTGACCTTGCTGTTATAAACAGTCATGTATGAAAAGTCCAGCAGCAGACAGGAAGCTGGCTGCAAAGATAGCTTATTATTGGTCAGGTGTGTGAGGATTGTCTGTCAACCTGTTTCACAAACAGGTTAAATCATTTCAGACGTATCAGTTGAGATTTATCTGCTAGGTGTGAGGTGAATTAAAAGAGCAGGATGGAGAAGAGGAGGAATGAGAATGGGGGGTTATCAGGATCAGGGTAAGAGAGAAGACATGAACATTAAGTACATGTAGCAAAGGCAAAATACAGAGGAAGACACACATCAATAAATGCCAATTTTACACAGACCTTCACAAATGTTTGACCTCCTACCCGCAGGTTTATTCTTAAGGTGTCATTCTAAATATTGACCACAGAAAAATGAAACAGATGATTTTTTTATTATTATTATTTCAGGTATGTGCAGGTATGTGTAATTTCAGGTATTTGCAACTATCATCCGGATCTAATGTCTAGTTGAAGTTCTACACATAAACATAGTTGTTTGTGTCAACAAAATGAAACCTAAAAATGTCCAAAACCATCGCTTCGATGTGCTGTTGCTATGGCTTTAACACTTGAAACAATTTACACGAAAGCAAAGTAAAAATGCATTCAAGTCGCAGACAGACAGAAAATGGGAGGCGAAAGCGGGACAAGCGACACAGATAAGCAAGTAAGTAAAATCTACAAAGCACTTTTGACAGTTGTGGAAAAGTTGCTGTAGGACACTTGGAACATAATCTAGAGAATATCACAAGTTAGTCTAAATAAACGGCGTACAATCAAACCAAAAGACGCTAGTCAGCATAAAAAAACAAAGAAACGTTTGAGACGGCTGGCACAGACTGTCTAAAACGAGAACAATACAAGAATCCATAGGAAGGCGAAACCAAGTGGGGAAGAGGCGAAAGATACTCACGAATAGTTAAATCCATCACTTGAGATGCCAAGCAGAAGACAGGATGCTCATACATCTCTCTTTTTTTCCCTACAAACAGAGGAAGGATACCAAGGCATGCAGGAGGCCAAGGTCAGAGAGGACGAGCATAGGAAAGACCGGTGGCTCAGGGGAATACTGTGTGATGTTAAAATACCAGAATGATAGAAGTGGAATACGGTTCGACTTACTAGGTAATGTAGTTAGTAAAGCAAACAAATGTTATTCATATAATGCCCTTCTATTTGAGTACGAGAATACATAGCTATTAACGCGGATCTGTATAACAATGCAAAATTAATCTCGTATAAAACTGTGAAGTAGGGGACAAAAAAAAGAAAAACTCACCTTGTAATTCAGAGGGTCTGGTCTCTGAATATCAAACTTTTATTACTTTAATTTGGCTAAATATACTGTAGCCAGGGAGACATTCTCAGTAACATGCACTGCATCCAGCTTGTGTCACTTTACAGTCTTATTCCAAAATGTCTTCCTTTCCTCAAATTAAATAATGAAACATGTTCATACCGGCGATTAGACACTTACTTCAAAAATGTGATTTCATTTTAATGAGTGACTGAATGTTGGTCTAAACATGGCAAGAGCAACTAAATCAAAAAGAAAAACCTCAGGATTAAGATTTCTGTGTTTTGCCATCGCAATCATCTAGTGAAAATAAGGGTGCATTCAGACCGGAGAGTCCGGTAGACTCGGTTCGATTGGGGAGTGAAATCGCAACATTTTAAGAACTGTAGTTCGCATTCACACTGAGTCTGTCCAATAAATCAGGCTGTTCCAATGCGGGATGAGCAGGAATCTGTCACAAAATGATTGCAAAGCCTTTATTTCTTATGCAATTTCTATAAATGTGGCTTCAATTAAAGCTGAGAAAGTTGCTGATGTTTGTAAGTTTTCTCCTTTGATATAAATCTATAAACAGTTTGTTTTGTATTAAGATGCAAGAGAGGACTAAGCAAATTGCTCTTTTATATTGGTGAATAATTACATGATTGCTGCTGTTAATTTGATCAGTAACCATGACTCATGCTTTATATATGGGACATGTGAAATATGTCATCCTACTTAATGATTAAATGTTGAAACAAATGAGGCAATTAGTCCCATTTTTGTAATTTATTAAAGGTTTAAACTTGATAGCATTGTTCACTTTTTGATAAAAAGAAAACAAAATAGAAAAGAAAAGAAAAAAAGAGAGTAAAATCAAGCAAATGAAAATTATGGAGTTACTATTTATCAAGGAATAAAGGGATTTCTTGTGACAGGCCTAAGGAAGCCAAATGGCAAATTTTATATAAATAAATAAATAAATAAATAAATAAATAAATAAACAGTCAAGTTGCTATATAAGCCTTAGAAGTTATTTCGCTGTTTGGGTCTAAAAAGACAAAAAAAAAAAAAAAACGGTATGTGAGGGATACAAACAAGGAAAGAGGAAGCAGAGAAAACTAGCAGGACTACGACTTTATGTACAAGAACGAACAAGCTGGGACACGTCGGCAGAATGCAATTCTGCTGAAAGAGGCAGAAATACAGTTAGCAAAGAAACGGCACTGAATGCATTTTTACTTCAATGCAGACCTTTGTATAAAATAGCAAGCATATTTCGATTTATTGGCCTCAAAAAGAGGAGCTTTGTCTGTTAATGAAACTAACTAAAGAAGCGCGACCGGCTCTAGTGGATCAGTGTACTGACCCAGTGGACCAGAACCAGCATCATCACTGGAGTTCAGTCAACTCGTCCTCTGCGATCGAGAAGAACTTGGACTCTGAACGCTTATTTTAAACCGCTACAACAACAGTTGGAGCATTTTCATGTTGTTTTGTCACTTCAGCACAAACAGTGACGGCATCTCAACGTACCTTCCAGTTTTGCGTACTCTGACAGGCGTTGGTAGTTGATTATGGCCGCCTGTTCCAGACATTTCCTGATCACAGCTTTGACATCTTCTTGTGGGACCGGTGTCGCCACATCTCTCATCAGAACCTTCCCAAAATAAAGATTGCAACACAGTTACATGTCTTCATTTCTTTCCTCATAAATACAAAGCAAATGCATGTTAATAAAGTTGAATTATTGCTCTTTAAAGTAAGGACATTTTCCCCTGCTAAGAAAGTTTGACTGCATTAAAGTTTATTATTTTTATTATTTTTTCCCCTATCTAACAGGACATGATAAAACTATCTACCCAGATCCAAATGTCTACAATAATAGTGGAACATTTTACACACAGAAGCACAAAACTAAAACTCTGAACACAGAAAATATGTTCTGATAAAAATAAAAAAACAGTTCAACGGATGTTTTGTTTGTAGTTTGTGTTTGTCTGTGTAGCTCTCGTCTTCCAGAAAAAAACAAATATTTTACTCTCAACATCATTTCGGCTTTTAACAGCTGTGGATGAAAATGTGCCAGAACTCTGTGTAAAGAGAACCAGAGACACTCCAGAACTGGAGAACTAAGAGAAAAAGCTGGAATTTCAAGAAGAATCAGAAATAAGCACAATAAAACTATTAGAGCAATGTGGCCAAAATATACAAACAATTAGAGAACAAAGAACTTTCATATGAGGACCAAATGCAAATTCTCCAGATCAGTACCAGTTTTAGTGTTTGTAAAATATGACGTACCCTTTCAAGCAAGGAGAGAGTTGCTTTTAATGCTCCCTCTGGTCGTCCAAATGGAAAACAGTATCTAACAAAAGAATGAATTTATTTCATTAAATTTTTTTTATTTTCAAAATCTCAAACATTCTCAACGTTTTCAAAGTCCTGACATGTTGTCTGTGATCCGATTTCTACCTGAAATGTGTAATCTGGTTCTCCAGAAGCACTCGTAGTCTCTCTTTGATTTCTTCAAAACGCTCCTTTTCCTCCACGGTCACAGTGCCGATCCCATCGGGTCTGAAAAGGCGATTAGTACCAACAAGGCTTAGACCTCATACACTGCACAATGAAGGAAGCATAAATATAACAGCACAGGCTTCATGTGCTATTAGCAGAATGCAAAAACTCTAAAGATGTTATCTAAAACCAGACAAGCAGGATTATCTACCAAACAAGCACAGGTAAAAATAAAAATAAAAAAAAGAAACAGTTGCATTGATTTCTCTTTGTAACTTGACAGTCAAAGCAGAGGAAAGGTGAGAACATTTCAGAGTGACAGGATAAGCGAAGTGTCACAGGATCAGCAGTAATTCGGTCTGACTCCCACTAGCATGTGGATGGCGTGAGACCAGAGGGGGAGGCTCATGCTGAGCCGCTTCAGAAATGTGGAGCAGCGTGCAAGAAGCTCCGACACATTACGTTAGATGATTGGTTATGTTGAGTTGTTGGTCGATACAAATGCAGTATTGGAAAGGGAGGCGTGTGTGGGAGGGGTGATGGCTTTCTGAAACGATAACAATAAAAAGGAAAACCCAAGAGGTGAAAAGTCTGTGATGGGATGAATGTTTAGTTTTAGGTTTTTCATTAATTACCGAGGCCATTGCTGGTGTTTGCTAAGCTTCTTTTGTAACTGGACTTCAGCTGAGATTGACCAAATGCTTTTGGGAGAAGCTTTTTCCAAAGGGAATACAGTTTGGATCATATAATGCATAACCTGTGGTACAAAATCCGATCTGCTTGCTTTATTCCTCTCTGCTTAAGAGTGGCTGCAGAAAACAATCTTTACAGTCTTCTTCCTTCCAGCTTCTAGACCATTAAAACAGATAGTTGTAAAGACACAGTAAAACTGAGTCTTTTTCTTCTGAATAAAAGAAACATTCCTAGAAATGATCAGGTTATAAACATCTGTCCACAAAATACTTGTCTACTCAGCTGTCTGGCACATAGTGTGTGAAGACGAGCACTGCAAAAACACATCTTAGCAAGTGGATGTTGTCTAGTTTTTAGTACAAATATCTTAGTGCACTTAAAGAAAAACTAACTTAGACATAAATTTTCAGCAATATACAGCAGCTTGGTTTAAGTCAATAATTTATTAATATTCATAAAAAAAAAAGGTGCTAGTTCTATTGGCAAATTATTTCACTTGCAAGACATTTTGCCCATGTTATAAGTGACATAATCTGACAGTGGAACTAAAATATTTTTTTTAATCAATTAACTTAAAACAAGCTCCTATAGCTCACTGACAAGTAAGTTTTTTGTACCAAAATATTTGCACCAGAAACTACTTGGTAAGATTTGATATTTTTGCAGTGCACACACATATCTGCGAAGCATTGTGTTTTGGATGGTATTCCGCTCATTTATGAGTTTTTTTTAACACAGATCAGTTGGCGCAGCATAATCTAAAGTTTCCATGAGTCTTCCAGCATGTTTATCGTTTGTGACACGGTTGTGTCTGAGTGGGCTGTGAGCAGAGTGCATGTGACAGAGAAGGCGTCGGACTGTTGGCAATGACAGTATGATGAGAAGCAGAGGACATGACACCCCCCTTCCCTCACATGTCATTTCAGTGGACAATGGGGACACGTCCACTGCAAGGGAGCTGCGCTGAGACTCTGAGAGGTGCCACTTTTTGGTCCGCTCCTTAAAACCTTTCGGATTGTTGGGTCGGCTCGTTTTCGACGCTGGGCTTTGTTTTAGAGTCTGGTAATAATGTTGCCTCAACATGAATGAGAATCAGTCAAAACAAGGGGACCTTATTAGCAAAATAAAAATGTCTTCAGGATCAGGATAAAAAAAATAATAATCTTTTTTGTCACTATAAAAGAAAGAAGGAGATTTCACACTAATTAAACTCCTGCAGGGCTCTGGGGTTTTTTTCCACCTTGTGTTTTGTCTGACCTGTTGACCTCACCACTCAAACGATGACAGCGAGAAAGTGAGCCATCAGTGGTAAAGATAAAGCTAGCTTTTTACTGCTCTGTAGGCAACATCACGTTTTATCATTGTGATGTCGTCGTAGCAGCCTTCCAGTTCTCTCGGGTCGCCTGGTCTGCATTCCCTAGAACCAGAGCCAAACATGGAGAAGAAGCAACACAAATCTGGAACAAGCTACTGAAGAACTGCAAAACAGCCGAAACACCGACTTCCTTTAAATGTAAACTAAAAGCTCGCCTGTTAAGAGTTGCTTTTGAAACATAATAAATGAAACATTCTGATGTTTACCGATGGAATTTGACAAAATGTCAATGTTTCAATTCTATGACTTTGTATTTTTGTGTATTGATGATGTAAAGCACACGTGTCAAACTCAAGGCCCCAGGGCCAAATCCAGCCCAACATCGCCTTTTATGTTATAATCCGTGATGATAAGACAAGTGATTAAAAACTCAAATTTACCATCACACGTAAGCGCAAATATTTCTAAATTACTGCCACAAAGTTTTTTTTACTGCAAAAAAACAAAACAAAAAAAACCAGAAAGACAATTGCGAAATCCTGGAGTGACTGAAAAAATCTAAGAGTTTATTCATATTTTACCTGTTAAACGTGGTTTATTAATGCATCCTGGCACAACCGGCCCTTTAAGAACATTCACAATCTTGTCTCGGCCCAAAATGACCATGAGTTTGTCAGCCCTGAGAGAACTCTCTTTGAACTGCCCTGTTGCAGAAATGGACTTCACAAATAAACTCAACCGATTGATCATTGACTCCCCATCCATCTACCTGTTCATACTTATGGATAACGTAAATGACGGAAATGTTATGACATAACTGTTGAGTTCAAATTCATACGCCACATACTGAAGTCCACTTCTACACGCATCAAGTAGAGACCTGCTCTGCCAAGTCCAGCGACGATGCCTGGAGGTCGGGTCGTGACAGGTTGACAAGCTGTCATGTGTGACGGGCCAGCGTCCCAGCTGCCAGCGCTGCTATGTGTGCTACTGTGCACACACCTCATCCATTTCACCATCGCTACTCATTCACCCGAGCCTGGAGGTGCTGGCGCGCACCGAGATGAACTCGGCCGGCCCCCGGCCCCCGCTAAAGTGTCAGGATTTGACTTTTGTCCAGCTGAATATTGATTCTATTTAGATACGCCGCTGAGCTCGGAAGTTTTCCCCAAACGGGGTTTGGGTTTGTCTTTGTTAATTAAAGATAAATAAATAAAATTAGACATCAAAGACGATTTATGTCTTCAATGTCGAAACAACAGCGCGAGGTTTGCGAAAAAATCGGGACTGGGTTGATCGACTGTCTAATGCAACGACTGTGAGGTAGAAACATTTTTTTGAAACATGATGGTTGTCAATGTTTTTTCCAAAAGAAAAAGAAAATAAATCTGAAGTGTCACATGCATAAGTCTTTAACCCTTTCAGTTTAACACCCCCAAAATGAAAGCTGGTGGAAGTCTTCACTGTCAGAAGAAACTCAAGGACCGTTCAGGGAGACCAGCCTGCTCTCCAAGAATCTTTCTTTATCTGGGATGGGAAAGGTTAAACAATTTATACTGTAAAGTCTACTGAGTTTGCTTGAAAGTTAGCATTATGTTAAAATGGCTCAGTCAAAGTTCAGACCTAAATACAACTGGGAACCCATGGCAAGGGTTAAAAACTGATGCTCTCCATCCAGTTAGACTGAATATTAGTTTGGAAAGAACAACAGAGAGTTTCTAAAAGCTGAAGGAGCGACACGACAACGACCCAGAATCTGAAAGAAGTTCTGGGGATGTGAATACATTTGCCAGTCATGTCTACCTCTTCCCATTTGTTTGAGCTTGAACTGGTTAATATTTACTCCTCTCAATATTGAGTTTGTACATTTGCCTTGTATGCTGTCTATGTTAAATTACAGAAACAAAACAACATTTGGGACTCGACTTCAGTTGTACAAAGTAGCCTCTGCGTGATGAAGCCGCTAAACTTCCGGGTCCTGAGAGAACCGCCGCTCTGAAGTCCTTTTTCTTTATGAACTCCGTCATTTTGAGCTCGCTTTTCATGGTTTGAGTGGGGGCGTCGGGGCAGGAAGGGATCAGAGCATGTTTGAGTTCAGCCTGACATATCGGCCGGTTTATCAATTCAGATACATGTTGACTAAGTGTGGTTAAGACGAAGTGATTGAGGGTTTAGGGAACGGTGAAAGGGAAGTCATTTTGTAAATGTGGTAAGAGGTCAAGTAGGAGAGAAGAGATGAGATAAAACAGAGAGGTGAGCAAACAGGCAAAACAGAACACCAAAATGTAAAAAACAAAGACTTAAAACTAAAATATGAAAGCAGATGAAACCAGATGCAAGAAATGACATAATATGGATGTTGTGTTCAAAATAGGAATGGTGTGTTTTAAAAAGAATCAAAACTCAAAACCCTCATTAACTAGCAATTTTTCTAATTAAAAAAAAATATATATATATATCAAATTTGTTCTCATGATTTTGAACAGAAATTATAAGATTGCTTAATAAAGCATTCAGTTTTTACTCCAGATTTTTTTGATGTGGTCAAGCACTTTTTTTTTTTTAAAGATACCACGAGGATAATTCATTTGTCCAGAATCAATTTGTGGCACTAGGGGGAAAAAAAACCTGCCTGCAGGCAGTTTGATCTTTACCTGTTTCCATGTACGTGGGAAGCACAGAAAGCATAGCTGTAGTGAAGCAGCGTGGGGTCAATCATGGCTCCATTCTCGGCCCTCTCCAACAGATCACTAAGGTAACATAAGTGCCTGTGACAGCCTCTGACGCCGTAGCGGGCACAATATTCATCCAAGACAAACACCTGGCCGGGACTGAACCAACCCTGTGGGAAACACACACACACACACACCCACACACACACACACGCACACACACACACACACACACACACACACACACACACACACACACACACACACCCACACACACACACACACACACACACACACACACACACACACACACACACACACACACACACACACAGGTCTCCTTTATGACCTCTGGGGGGTCAAGCGGGCCTGAAAATGTCCAAGCTTCTGCTTTTAGGAAACCACTCACCACATGTGATGATATTCCATTGAAATGTAGGAAATTAAGCAAATTGAAGAAAACATGTTTGCATTTTGAGAAAAAAAAACAAATATGATGATAAACTGGGCAGAGCTAATCTTCTAAACTTTGGTAACTTCTAATGTTTGGTAAAAGAACAGGGGAAAAAAACAACTCTGTGTTGGTATAGCAGCTCCTGAGCAGCTTTATGCAAGTATGAGCTGGTATTTATATTTTGCAAAGTGTGTTTGAGATTGTAAAACCTGCTGTCACCCTAATATTCATCTCTCGGCACAAGTTCAAGTCAGGGCCTTTCAATATGTTACTTTGTCTTTCAATTGTCAGTAGAATAGAAAGAGCCTTTAGTGTCCCAAGAAGGGACGTTAAAGCTGCAACATAATGAATATTCACACAAACAGTTCACACAAAAGTACATAAAAAAGTATGTAAAAACCATATGTAGGTGAAGTTAACAGATTATTCTAAAAAAGCAATTTACAAGGGGTTTGAATAATTTTGAGAATATGTGTTAAAACGGGGGTTTCTCAAAATATGATGAAAATAAAGAGTGTTTCTTAAGCAGTTGGAATCATGAGCCAATATGAACACTAGTCAGTTTTCTGCAAGAAAACCTTCACATGTCTCATCTCAGTGAATCCAAGAATTCCAGCAGACAAAACGCTTCAGTTGGAAAAAAACACAGAAGATGGTATTAAGATCCGACAGTGAAATTCATAAAGTCAAATTTAGCACACCGCCAGCCTCCTACCAAATGAGAGTTGGTTTAAATTGCTGGTTTAAAAAAGTGGAGACTTAAACCACATGGTTATTTCTGCTTATGTATTCTTACGTTTCCCTCTAATGGATTTTTTGTGTTTTCTGTCTAAAAAGGGTGGATAGTCGTCATATTTAAAAAAAAAAAGAAACTTGTATTTTGGCATGAATATTTTGAAACATGAGAAGTAAATTGTGAATTTAATTGAATAATTAATTGAATTATTATTGTCTCCTCCCCCCCACATACAACCTCTCTTTAATCGAATCCAATCTTCAGGTTCAATCTTAAAATTTAATAATGAGACCTGATTTACTCCATCCTGCTTTGGTTTACTGCCTTTGTTTTGTCCATTCAACTGAATCCAAAAGCAACAAAAGAAACAGTTTTCCTTACCAGGCAGGAGTAGGAGTCATTTAGTCTGTGGTCCAAGGTGAGGCGTTGCACTAACTCAAACAGGGAGGCGTGGTCAAAGTTACATGGGTTGGCCGAGATGAACTCATCCATGCCGTGCTTTTGGGCTCGGTCAGCGTCTGAGTGCAATTTCACAATGAAACGGTCCGATGAACAAATGGACAGGAAGAAAGAATCAGAAAGAGATGACAAATGTCAGAAGCTGGCAAAACAAAGCACCATCACCTTAGATTATCATCCTTCAATACAATCATCAATTATCTCAGGAACCATAGTTTCATAAATAGATCCAAAATAACAATAATAAAAGCTGTTTATGCATTTATTGTGAAAGATCAGGTTATTTACACTGGGTGAAATAGAAGCACACCAATTGCAGTTTTCCAGCTGGTTACCGATCTTTAAAAGAAAACCTGGCCTGCTGATTCAAATTTTGACTGATCTTTTTTTCTGTTTTTGTCTGAAATGTCGCTAAATGGAGCAAGAAAGTTGCAGAGTTGCCAACAGTGGGGTGACTATCGCTGACTACAAATGCGCAGACATGACCTGATGGGCGGGGCTAACAGTCAAAAACCTCGCACAGGAAAACAGAAGATTCATTTTTAGACCTCTGCTGAGGTACATAAGATCAGGGGATAAGATCGGCTTCAAAAGTAAGCCGATCACCGATCTCCCAATATTAAGCAAATGGGCACCAATACATTGACTGACCGATAAATGTGTGCGCTCGTGGAGTAAAAGCTTTTGTATATATGAAGGACTAATCAGGGCCATCAGTTCTAAAGTCTAATTTTCTGACTCATTTAAAGCGAAACAGACCAAAGTTATCCTAATCTAGCTTTATTTACATATCAAACACAGTCTCAGTATTAATCTGGATCGCTCAGAGGATGACATCTTTAAGTTTCAATCATTTATGCTACCCATATTGATTCTACTGTAGGTTTTTTATGAACCTACAGTAGTTTGGACTAATCAGGCAGCAAGATATTCAAGATTTCAAGAGGAAACAGTCATTTTGAAATCTCCACATATTCAGTTTCAATGCAAAACAACGGTTCTGACTCCGCATTGGACAAATCCTCTGCATCAGCAGAACGCATTCCAAGTGCTGGATGCAGCGGGCGGCGGGCAGCGGGCGGGAGGGAACCACAGCTGCTGCAGCTGTGCTGCTGACATGCTGCTTCACTGCATGGCTGGTGTCAACAACGCACAAGTCCGCAAGACCAATAAGACCGGACCTGCAAGAACCTAAAGGATTACAGGCACTGACAGCCAGCTGTGCAACAGCAGCTCAGTGAAACTACCAACTGGACTTTTCAATCCAGAGCAGAGCGGTTTTGTTTCTGGGCTTCCAACTGTTGACCTGTACGGACAATGCAGTGCCTGGATACGTTCATATCACCTTAAATCAACTACAAAACAATCTGAAATGTAAAAAAAATTCTTCATCTTAAAATTGTCACATCATTTGCTTTTCTTTTTGTCCCGGACAGTTACTCTGTTCTGACACATTGCTGTAAATGTTCCAGATGGATCAACACAGACGATCCACCACATGCAAATACAGCAGAGCCTCGAAGTCCTATGAAACTGTCGTTTGTGCAAAATGCTGGGATATTTTTTTCAGACTCAACTTATCTGAAACAGTGAAAATGAGTGAAAAATACATTTTGCTGTATTTTTTATTTTATTTTGATTTCGAACATGATAGAAGTGTAGAATCACACATGAACAAGGAGAGCAAAAGAGATATTTTTGCTCCACAATAATCTTAACACGCTCGAAAAGCAAAAGGAAGAAGAAACTTATGAATTCCTACGCCATAAACTCATTCAATATTTTCAGATGGACCCTCATCACTAAATCAAAAAATATAGACAAAATTTTCCATCTTATGTGGGTTTACATAGGTCTAAACATATACGTCCATACCCACATCAATCACAATCAAAAATAGTTTGATTTACAGTTAAAAAAAATGTTTGACTGTAAATCAAACTATTTTTTTTTATCCAATTGATCCTGATTGTCAAACAACACAGTCAGGATCAGTTCATTATTGAAATTCCTCGGAATCTATGAAGCATTTTTTTTTATTATTGTCATCGGTTCTCTGTTGGACGCTTTCCTGTTTGTGCAAAGTGACAGTGATAAAGTTTTAGTGGGTTTCAATTCAGTCCTGAATGGATAGCTCTCTCCCATCAGTTAGCGCACACCGAGGGTCGATGTGAGCAGAGGTTATACTTAGCTACACAGCAATCAGGAGATTTGTCAGCCAACGTCCTCTTCACTGCCTATCGAAAACACCCCAGCTGTCAGTCAACAAGCAAAACAATGAGCTGGAAGCTGATTTTGTCCCCTAAACAAGTCGCTGCACCCCGTTGCCCTCCCCACCCCCTAAAAATCAAAAAAGGTGACATTGTGGTGCCCCTTTGGTTTGTAGCTGGTGGGCTGTCAGGTCTATTTGATGTGAGTGAGAGGGAGTGGAGGCGGGAGGGCTGGACAGTAACATGCAGTGACATTAGTCACCCCCGTCCGTCTGGGCTGGAGAAGGATGGCCCTGGCAATGATTGATGGATGATATTCATTTATAGATCCGACGAAGACGAACTGAGGGGCTGTGTCCCGGACTTGGCTTTGGTCAATCACAAACATCCTGCGCTATTTAAAGTCTGGCATGCTTTCTTGCTTCTGATGGACCACTCATTTCACGGAAAAGTAAAAGAAATTCCAAGTTGTTCAGTCATTGCGCTAGAAAATGTCCATTTAACTGGTCAAAATGAATCTGGTTAACATTCCACAAGCTTCTCACAAAACCTCCAACAACTTCAAAGTGTGAACAAATGTTTAGGTTTCTGCTTAGATTCCTTCAAAAAAAGCTCTAAGGACAGGCTGACGTTTCACTAAGACCGAAAGCTTCACCATCTGACCGGTGCAGCAGCGCCTGAATCCTCATCGGTGGACCGTCTCAACCTGCATGGCTTTGATGTCGTTCAGTCCGGTTTCAGTGCTCACTGCAATACTTCAGACTGAACTCAGACCTGAACATTCAAAGACACAGAAAGGCAGTTACAAAGCCAGCCTTCTGGTCCGTCCTTCACCTCAAGAACAATTCTGGGGTTAAAGGACTAATGTCCCACAGCAAGATTCAGACAAACATAGATGGACATAGATTGATTGAAATCCCACTACTTCTCTTTATTTTGCCACTTCAAAGTAATGTTTTTGTTTGTCTGTTTATTCTGTTATATTTATGTCATGCAAAGCGTTTTGAGCTGCCTTGTTGTTGAAATGTGCCGTATAAATTGACTGACTTGACAATATATTCCCTGGTCAATCATTCAGCTTCTCTGAGATTAAAGTCTGTCCCTCAGATTTTACTCTTGTTACGTAAATGTGCTCATATCGAGTGACATCTATCTGTACATTCTGAAAGTGAATATTGGATTTTTATTACTCAAAATTTCAAAAGCCAACAAGATGTGATTCTTTCCACAATCTTGACATAAATCAAGAAAACACTGCGGCAGAAAGAATTCGTTCCTTAGTGTCACGAACGCTACAGTACAGCTGTAATCTTCTTCCGACGTGTAAAAGCAAAACTGTCAACATAGGAAATGGAAACTGTAAACCTCAATTGCACATGCTCACAGCAAAGCTTTCAGCGTTGTGTCTTTATTGTTGCAATGTTTTAGTGTTGGTGGGGAAGTCGGCGGCCGGGTGTCAGAGGCGACGTGATCTTATATTATTGCACTGATACATGTGCGAACTGACACGCAGTTATTTGGTAACATTGAGCGAATGCTGCCCAATTTAATTGTGTGGCAACCACACTGTATTATTCATGACCCGCCACTTTTAACTTAGTAATTACCAGCTGCTGGGTCTCAGTGGGACTCCAGCGGTTGTGTCAAAAACAGCTCTCTCAATAAATTCACTTACGCAAATGAAGGAGCATTTCTCCATAAGCCGACCTGCTTTTATTTGTCTTTTATGTGTAAACTCTTTGGACCATTACTAAAAAATAATAAAAATCCCTTCTGCCCGCCCTCCCCCCTCACGGTATTTGCTGAGTCCTGTTTCCTGTTTGACATTGATAAAGCATCTACCACGGAGCACAAACAGGTACCAATAAAAAGGTGAGAACAGGGGCACATGAAGCCATATTCACTCTGACTCAACGCTGGATGTTTTTTACTCTATAGACTATATGTAGGGCATCAAAGCACAGAGAGAAAACGGAAGGAAGTACTTACAATTGAATCCAGCTACAAGAGAGAAGCAAAGCCACTGGCTAATACCATGAAAATAACGAATGAGGGGAAAAAAATCAATTAGGTGCTAAAACTGAAAGTGCTGAAAACATTTCAGGATGGACTGAAAACCTCACAACAACCAAAAGGCTTTCAACATAAACTTGCTTACCGATTGCTGTGAGTTTGGGTATGATACACATAATATTCATGAATGTTTAATACCCTGCCCAAACAAACAAACAAAAAAAAAGACTTACAGAACTGGGATATGGGCGCATCGAGTTGCGGGACAGTGCCGCTCCTGGAATTCAGCTTCTGGACCTGGGTAGGGGGCACCGGCTTGTGGGACTGACCAGTGGCCCGGTACATGGCCTGCACCCATAAGATGCGGTCCTGCTCGTCGTCGCTGGCAAATATCACAGTGTCGCCTTCTTTCACAGCGTTGAAGAATGTCCGGCCGCCTTCCAGACCTGAAAACCGGCCAGACTCAGCAACGTTATTCGCATAACAGTTGGTTTTGTCACTGCAAAAACATAGCATGGGCATGTGTTACACAAACATGAAATAAGACTTGTAAAGGTCATATTTATTTATATACGTTGTTCCAGACATTATTGTGATAAATGGTAATGTTGTTTTGAGACCACTGACATAACATCAGAGTACATGATAATAATGCAGGAACACATTGTCAGAGATTAATAAACTTTAAACTCTAATGAACATTTAACAACTGCAAAATATTTTAAATATCCATAATAACTAAACAAAGCAATGGAAACAACAAATAAAATAAATTTTGAAGTTTCTGTAAACAAAACTGTTCTTCAAAAAAAGTGGCTCAACCAAAAGACCAGATCGAAGAATTTTATCCTCCTGTTTTTGGTTGAAAGAGAGAAAAGAGAGAAAATCATCTAATGTAAATTATTAGGCTGAATTTAAATGATCATGTCATTGATTTATCAGTTGCTGTGACAGGCCTAGTCATATTTAACAGAAATCTGTTTCTGTTTCTGCTCGTCATCTCAGCTGTTCGGTCTCTTTCAACCGCGTACGGTGAACGGTGGAGGTCAGAGAAAATAGCGGCCCAGTATAAACCAATATCCATGAACACTTGAGTCCACCTCATAAAATGCTTTGACCTGCCAATTTAATAGCTCAAACATCAATTATACTTAAGTGAACTTTAATTTGCAACAGAAAACAGGAAATAGGACAGAATAATCTGATCAAAAAAGTGAAGTTCATGCTCTGTTAGGACAGGAGACAAGAAATGATGGTGCATAGAATCACATATCAAGTCTAAACTATGTTACAGAGAGTAAACACAATAAAAACATTGTTTATCTGTGGCATTGTTCATAAAAATGGCACATTTCTGATGTATTAAAATGAAATACAATAAATTAATAACATTGTATTAGTGATCAGGTAATGCATTCATCAAGTACTTTTACTTTTAATGCTTAAGTATTTTGAAAAGCCAGTACTTTTTTTATTTTTACTGTTAATATTAATGTGGTACTTTTACTAGAGTACATTTTTGTCTGTGTATTTGTACTTTCACTTAAGTAAATTGTTTGAGTGCTTTCTCCACCACTGCATTTAAGATTTGAGAAATAAAAGGAGGTTGGATCGCAGTTGTATAACAACATACACAGAAGCTGATGTTACATTATTTTTGCAACTTTGCTTTATTTTCACATAGCGAGCTGAAGACAATCAGACGCTGAGCACTGAATAAAAGCAGGGCTGCATCACGTGCCACATTGAAATAACACAAATAATCAGACAAAGAGGGAGATGATGGTCCTACCAAACAACATATAGAACAGCTGCTTTTCTTGCCAGAAATGATCCAAGGTCAACATTGGGGAATATTTAGTGCTGTTCAAATATCAGTGCAAACGGATTCAGGTGCAAAACATGACAGACGCAGTGAAACGGACCCATCCGAAACTACCAACCGGATTCTGCTTTCAGCTTGTACCGTCAACAAAGCTTTGTTAGAAGGCAAAACCACCGTCTATTCTCAGACGTTCTGTACCATGCAACTATCTTATTTCATGTATTGTTTTACTAGAAAACCTAATAATTATGTTCTTTTAACGCAGAGGTCCCCAAAGTGGGTCCTGGAGGGCCGGCATCATGCATGTGTCAATTCTCTACTTGGTGGTAGTGACAACCTTTTCAGAATGTCAATGTTCTTCTTAGGCCTCATTTGATCCAGATGCGTTAAATTAGGGAGAGAACTGAAACATGCAGGATGACGGCCCTCCAGGACCCACTTTGGGAACCCCTGTTTTAACCCTTTTAAAAGCGGCTTACTTCTACACCTCGGCAGACGGCTCCTGTTTTCAGACCGTTTAAGTTGAAAGAGCAGTGCATGCGCCGATACGTTGTTTTTTAATACAGAGCAATGCAGGGTTCCAGTTGGTGCTGCAGATTATTCCTTTAACCTTTTGATTTTTTTAACTATATGTATGTTTTATTATTATTAATTATTATTATTATTATTATTGTTATTACAGCAGCGCCCCGTCTAGCTGTTGATTGGTCTTGACTTGTCTCACCTGGCTGAGGGTCGGTGTAGTCCACAGTGTAGCCGTCCAGCTGCAGAAGCTCCACAGGCTCAGCCTTCTTCTCTCTATAGCTGCACATCGCAAACGTGTACTGGCTCACCTACAGCAGTTAGACGCACAGAGAACATGGTCTCTTAGCAGTTAGCCTAATTCACAGGTTAGAAAACCAGTGTGCCATATAATTTCACAATCACATATAACAATAGTGAAAGCAAAGGTCAAACAAGACAAAACTCACCAATACACATTTCATTTTTAAACAATGACCGTAACATACTCTTGTTAAATCCTACTGGGAAGATGCAAAGTCTTGCATATTTTTTCCTCCAATTCCTAATACAAATATCTCAGAACACTTGAAATGAGACTAAACTAACTTACAAGTAACAAGCTATCAGAACTTGTTTTAACGCAATAGTTCTTTAATATTGATGAAACAATACTACTACTATTGGCAGATTATTTCACTTATAACAAGACATTTTTCCCATAATAACCTTGGATCTATGATTTTGAAGTCTAAGCATTTCTGAATCTGCCTTAAAATGCAATCTATAATTATGATATTATTTTACAACACAGTTCCACATTTGTTTTTGGGATAGCGTCTTGCACGGTACTGTATGAATGACACAGATATGAAAACATGTATTCCTTGCAGTGTGAAAAATAATACACGTGTGAATGTATTCCTAGGGTGTGGCGGTGGCGTTAACAGGTTGGCACTTGTGACTTTTTTTTATTTATTTTTTTTAAATTAGGCATTGCCTGAAGTCTGAGGTGACAGATACGGGGTAAGGCTAACCATGCAGCAGTGTTAATGAAAACTTTGGAGGTTTGGAAGTGGAAGATCAGCAGCCCAAGCCTTTTTATTTTGAATGAAAGTGATAAAAACTTTGCAAAGCTGGTTTTACCAACTAAACAAGTTAACTTACCAACCTATTAAACATAGATGTGTAGGAATAGAAATAATTAGCCCCTTTAAATCCACCCATCCAGGTAGAGCAGGCATGCATTTTATATCAAGATAAATACTACAAAACACACTGAAATATTGGAACACAACGTTATTGCTTATTTAAAATGGAGAATTAATATTTCTGGTGACTTCTGCATGGAATGAAAAGAAACAGCAAAGATGTAACACATGTTAAGAAGTGATTTTTTTTCCTACCAAGTTGTTTTGCAGAGTCTACATCCAGTTTAGGGAAAGACTAATGTAAAACTCAATCCAGCGTTTTGTCTATAAACCACTGAAAATGACCACATAGACTTGTTGACTTGGGGTTTTTCCTGTAGTCTGCTGCTTGTGTTCAACATCAATATTTAAGCCACAACTAAAATATATTTACTGTAAAGTTGGTGAGACCTGAACACAGGGCCGGTCCAAGCATTTTTAAGACCCTATGCAGATTTTTATTTGTGGACCCCCATACGAACATGTCAACACCAGATGCTTCATCACAAGCTAAACTTTGCGTGTAACATACCTACTATCATCAACTTAATTAATAATTGACTAATCCCTTACCAGCGGTATCGTGGCAATCGATTTTAACTTTACATGAGTGACAAACTAAAACAATTTTGAAATGCAAAGTAGTATTTTTGGAGTGCCATATTATTTTAACTATTTTAAAGTAACACCAGTAAAAGTTAAGCTTGATATATTCTATTTTTCCAGCAGCAGGGATCAACCATTATTTGTGTAACAACTATAAAAAGAATATATAAATTGATTTTCCACCTGCAATTGCATTTAGTTTGTAAATTGTTAAATAATATCTTAGCTTTGTGCTCCTGGCGACCCCTAAACATACGTACACCTCAACCGCAAACCTCAACAACAAACTGATGTAAATCCATCCCTGAATATCCACACAGTCCCGACCTGAGCCCAAATATCGTGTAAAAGTCAGATGTTTCAATCCAAAACCTTTCAACGCTTATGCAGCCATATGGATTTTATCAAAGGGAAAATTTGATACTGTTCACTGGTTTTGTTAGAAAGGCACTGAACTGATATCTGACACTTGAACTGCATTTTAATTGGTCCAAACAAGATACAACGTTACACAAAGTCACTGCAATCTGCTGGCTGTAAACACAACGATGATGGTATTTTTTTTTCTTTCATTGAACCAGTTGACATTAGTGCAGCTTGCCAGTCACGCCAAACTATCGTCAAGAGAACCGGCGAGCGTGGCCAGTCGGCTGCTGTTGCCGTGACTACTGCCAGGAGTGGCAGCCCTCACTCTTGCTCCTGCCACACTCTGTCTGTGTATTTGCGTGGTGGCGAGTGTGTGTGCAAAGTTAGGTGGGGGACGGGGTGGCTGGTTATATGTTGGGTTTCCCTTGTGCTGGTGACAACTGAGATTCCCGAAGACAGTACTGATGACACCTAAGGCCATCATGGAAGAAGCTGGACTAACTCTGCAGCAGCTCCCTGGCCTCCAGGACCCCACAGAGGCAAATCTAAAGTACTCTGCCACCCTCTCCCCACACCTCTCCCACCACCTCCCACGCACGCACACACACACACACACACACCCTAAAACACACAGTTTCCTGTCAGTCTGCTTTTCCCCCTCACACTCGCTCAGCTGTCAGTCAGCTAAAATGAAGATGAAGAATCAGAACATAAGGAGGAATAATTCCTACGATACGTTTAAGGATATTTTGATGTTAACATAATTGTTTTATAAACTATCTCTTAATGTTCTACTGTAAAGTATAGAAAAAAGAAAAGATTTTCTTTATTGCAGCAACTAATTTTTTGTGAGAAATTTCAGGCAAAATGCTCCAATCTAAAGCACAGGTGCATCTCTAACACTGCTATCTATACCTGGGGAGTTGAAGAAGGTTCAAAACTATTGAAACCATAATGATAAGAATTAATTTTCACAGACAAAAAGATCAGATGTCAATCAACAGGTGAGTGACAAAAACAATTGTGTTTACTTCCTGAATGTGCTACAAAACTCCAAATAAGGACTTCCATGTATAAGAGCCAAGTCTTCTTTCTTAGGAAATGTACCACATCATCATCTCATCTTATGTATCTGGAAAGAATAGATTGAGATCTTGCACATAAATACACATATTCCACTACCTAGTAGAAGATATTTTTTAAGCATGTTGTTCTTTGACCAGTTTTCTCTTCTGTTGCATTTGTTGTTGTACTTACAGGAGAATTATAAAGGTCTCTAAATATATAAAACTTAAATTGTGGATTTATTAATTATCAGTGTGTGTGTGTGCGTGCACGTGTGTGTGTGGGGTGTGTGTGTGTGTGTGTGTGTGTGTGTGGGTGTGGGTGGTGTGTGTGTGTGTGTGTGTGTGTGTGTGTGTGTGTGTGTGTGTGTGTGTGTGTGTGTGTGTGTGTGTGTGTCATCATGTGACTGCAATACTGAGAACCAGTTTCAGCACTTTGGCTCAACCATGTTGAACAACTTAAAAGTTTGCATTGAACAACTACAACTCTTTCACTGTATTTAAACAGTTTTAGTCTTATGTCAAATAACATGAATTGATATTTATCGTAAACCTTTTTTACTGTCAATTGTATTTTTATTTTCTTTTTCTGCTGTTACGAATTCGACTAATGACAACTGCATAGAATATTTTAGTACTGCACTAATCTAGTAAGCCAACCAACATTGCAAGCTATCAAGCTCCACAATACTAAATCAAATTTGAAGAAACATTTTTAGTCGCAGTATGGCGCAGCCAAATGGTCAGACAGATAGAGCAAGCGTCACCAGGGGGTGCGAAGCAAAGACCTGCAACTAAAATGCAGGATGTCCCCAACCAACCAAACATTTGAAAAATGTTGGTTAGTCAAGATGAAGGAGAGGACATGCTGCCCTTAAATACAGTTGACTCCCCCTGGTGATCATTTCTATGTTGAGGTGGCCACCTACCTCTCCTGTTTTAAATTCGCTATACAACATCACGCAACAATTACATTTCTTCAGCAGGCAGAGAGAGACTTGAGGTCTTTGCACAACCCCATTCTTTGTGATTTGGGGTTGTAGGCTGGGATGAGAAGCAGGTCAGGTGATTTGGTGGGTGGGTGGAGGGGGTGGACTGCTCTGCGGTTTGGCATTGGGTCCAGTGGGTCTGCGGTTTGCCATTGGGTCCAGTGGGTCTGCGGTTTGGCATTGGGTCCAGTGGGTCTGCGGTTTGGCATTGGGTCCAGTGGGTCTGCGGTTTGGCATTGGGTCCAGTGGGTCTGTGGTTTGGCATTGGGTCCAGTGGGTCTGCGGTTTGGCATTGGGTCCAGTGGGTCTGCGGTTTGGTATTGGGTCCAATGGGTCTGCGGTTTGCCATTGGGTCCAGTGGGTCTGCGGTTTGGCATTGGGTCCAGTGGGTCAGTGGTTTGGCATTGGGTCCAGTGGGTCAGTGGTTTGGCATTGGGTCCAGTGGGTCAGTGGTTTGGCATTGGGTCCAGTGGGTCAGCGGTTTGGCATTGGGTCCAGTGGGTCTGCGGTTTGGCATTGGGTCCAGTGGGTCCGCGGTTTGGCATTGGGTCCAGTGGGTCAGCTGTGGCTGGGCCTGGCACTTCAGTTCTCGGGCGGCTGTTTGGATTTTGAGCATGGTTGGTGCGTTTGGGCGCCTGTGGGTCTGTGGTGTGGGATTGGTGGCATACCAGGTGTTTGGTTGGCTACGCTGGCATTCCTTCACTGTTTCTCCTGCTGCTCTGGCCCCCAGCCCAGAGCCACCTGTGGTCACAGTGAGGTACGGTGGAGAGTGCACCTTGTGACAGTGCTTGTATAAGCTGCTAGAAGAACAGTATGGGCTGTGGCTGCAATGCGGTTCCCCAGGAGTTCTCCTTTGCTCCCTTTTGTGTGGGGTTGGCAGCTGTCCCTGCAGCGATCCTCCAGGGACTCCCGTTCTCCAGGGGGACCTCTGGATGTCTGTGACTCCAATTTTCCCAATGCCTTCCTTGGGTCTAGCCTGACATTGTCTTCCTGCGCTACTCCATTCGATTACAGCACAGTCTAGGCTTTCTCTGATCGACTTGAATTCCTCCAGTAGAATTTCAACCAGGGTCATCAGTGAGCAGAAGGAGAAATTCTGAAAGGTGACATTACATTTCTGCTGTTTTACTGTAGGTTTAGCAATGGCAGAGGAAGAACGGAACAAAGTCATTCAGTGTGTGTTGGTCATTCTTCCAAATATTGAGTTAACATTGACAGACGCCTCGTTCAAATGGGCCCTTCTCTCTTCACAGTGGAGGATGATTGCCAACAGAGCAGGCAACTTCTGGTAAGATTCAAACTGTTGAACAGAGGCATTACCTACGTCATGGGTGAATGTTAGCAATTGGGAAAAATGTAAAACTTAAACACAATCCACAACTCCGGGAAGCAATTGTTTCTCAGCAGCCAAAAGTCCAAACCTTCTGTACGAAGCAAAGCGTAGAAACTGAGCTGGTTTTTACCAGGATACCTTGATGAGTCCGAGGGGCCAGTTTGTGACTTATTTATTTATCTTTCTTTGTTTTTTATTCAAATTTAGTTTGGCTACACCTCTCTTTCTGCAGGTGTAGAAACATACTTCCACAGTGTTACTTTCTACTCTTTAAATCCTTCTTTCTTTTCTCTCTTCTTATCTTCTTATCTCTTTTTCATTAAAACATTTTCTCCATTTTATTTTTCACCCCTGTTCTTTTCTGCCTCCTTGTCCATTTAATTTGAAATACACCCAATGCAATTTCTAATAAACGTTTTAGTAAATGTATCAAGAGAAGAACTGTAACGGAGGCCGTAATGCTCCACTTGTGAAAGCAAGTCAGTTTGGCTTCACCTTGTTTTTGTCTTTTTTTGTTTTTTTTACACTGAACATGTAAAAAAGATCAAAAATAAATTAACAATAACATGTGCAACAGACGACATCATGAACCTTATCACTGCTGGAAATACTTCAGAAGAAAAAAGAAATTAAGAAAATTACCTGTGACCTCTTATTGATGACTATTGTCATCAGAGTTGAAAGTTTTTATAAAGTAACTCGTTTGAATCAAACAAACTGCGCAATCAATAAAGCTCTGAAATTTTGGTGGCCAAAAGAATATCCGCTGAGTCGTTAGCTCTGTAACACAGCAACCCAACAAACACACGGCGTTCTTTGTGCCGCCATTCAAACTTCATGCACATCGGAAGACAGACATAAAAACAAACACATACACATGAGTGTGCAGTCTATTGACCAGTATTTGTCACTTGCTATATATTTAGCTGCGAGCAAGTGAGAGGCTTCAAGTTGGCGGTGCTCAGGCTTTTGTAGCTCCAAGTGTTAGACCAGCTAGTGTTCACTCGACTTTGTCAATCCCCTGTCAACTTGTAGCTCTGAGACATATCCTTCCTAACGCATAGGAGACAGGCCTACTGCCGCCCACCCCCTTCTCTGCTGCCTGCTGCCCACCTCCCAACGCGGAGCCACCAGGAAATGGCCTCCACCACCTCATCGCCCACACCCATCCACCCCCTCCACCCCCCAACAACTATCTCCTGACAAAAGCCTGCTTGACCTCTCCATCATTCATCTGACAACCAAAAGAAGACAGCTTGGCTGCATCTCTCTTTCTCACAGCGCGCCACAACATGTGGTTGGCAAAAAATTTCCTTTGCATAAAGCGGCACTCATGTCAAAAGCATCCCTGCTTCTTTGTCTTTTTCTTCTTCTTTTTTTCTTTTTTTAAAGATATTGCCGGAGGACAAATTATGGTTATTTTCTTCACCTATGAAACAATTTTTAAAAAGCATCACCTATTTTAAACAAACACTTGCTTTCAGTTTTTCTTAAACGTTTTGTCCGTCACAGCCGATTGAAGGGTATGATCAGACTACAGTGTGGTTGCAATTAAAATTGAGCAAAAACGTCTGTGCTAATCAGTCAGTTGTAATCAGGACGCAGCAAATTGCCTCAACGGCCCCCGCGACAACAAGCAGAAGAAATCTTCATATGTCGTCAGTTTTTATCAGTATCAAATAGCATTTCTATCAGGTCCTAGACAGATTTGGAGATGTTGCTTTCTGAACCATCTTTCAAACATTTTGAGTACAATAATAATAATGATGATGATAATAATAATGATTTTTGTTTTCATATTTTATTTTCTAAAAAATAAATATGCCTACCTGTACCAAGACAAAGAACCTCTTCTTCCATCTTTTCCACACATTTTTGCCAATAGCCCAAAGATACCTGTGGGGAGAAAAACATTGATGTATTTTTTATTTTTTAACAAAGAAGGAATTTAACAGAATCCTTTGCAGTGATTTTTTTGTGATGCTGTTTTGGCTTTAGTTTTGGCTGCTGTCAACATGACAAAGATTCAACTACCAATGTGAAAATACTAGTGCAATCACTGACCTCTTCTGGCGAAACACCGCCACTGCAAGGAGATGCAGGGTCTCTTACAAACCCAACATTTTTCTAACAGTAGATTATACATTTTTTTTTACAAAAGATTTGATATATAGTAAAACTAGAAGTTAATTTTTTATACATCTGCTGCCACCAAAGGAGACTAGAGAGGAATAATTATCCTTCTGAAGAGACCTGTTCAAAAATCATGTCAGACTAATCAATATGAGAGATTAAAAGGGAGCAAAAAAATAAATAAATTCAAAGCAAAATTCTTTAAAAATCCTTATATAAACTAGAGTAAAGTGAAACAACCAAACTGTGAGAGGTCAGTCAAATGAAATTGGGTTTACATCCAAAGACAAAGAACATCCACCATCAGCTAAACAGGAAGAAAACAGGTTTCAACAGATTAAGTAAATAGATTATGAAATGGCAATCTGCACCACCAAGAAGATGATGCTTCGGTTCCTGTTTGTTCGGCAAAACAAATAAGAATGACTAAGAGAGTAAATCTGTTTGAAGAAAGGCTGGGAAGTTGGTTGAACATGCGCTAACTCAGTGGCCCCCTTCTGGGCCCCCCTATGGATCACAATAAATTCCCACCCCCCATCGTCTAACCCCCACCCCCCCAAAAAACAGAAAATAGATCAACTGGGCACACACATCGTTCAACTAGTCATAAACCTTATCACGTATTTTGTTTTCAAACTCCACTGAAGTTGATTTCACACTTCAGGTTGCAACAAAACACACTACAAATCATCTTTACAGAGAAACACTATTGTGTAACTTTTTTTTTTTTCATTCATTCATCCTGCCCCCCACACTTTGGGAACCCCTGAGCTATCTAAACATGACAGCTCTGTATCTTTGTGTTCTGGTTCCAAACAGACAAACAGTTTGGAAAATGGCTGTAAATCTCACAAGAATCATAAAAGGGTCCTGAAATAATTACATAACAACTGTGGCAAACAATATATATAAAAAACAAAAATTCCCTTCTCACCCACCGCGGGTGGTTCTTATCCTCTGAGCTCGGGTCCTCTACCAGAGGCCTGGGAGCTTGAGGGTCCTGCAGTATCTTGGCTGTGCCAAGGGCTGCACATTTCTGGACTGAGATGTCTGATGTTGTTCCTGGGATCTGTTGTAGCCACTGCTCCAGTTTGGGGGTTACTGCCCGAGGGCCCCGATGACCACAGCCACCACTGTGGTCTTCACCTTCCAGGCCCTCTCCAGTTCCTCCCTGAGGCCCTGGTATTTCTCCAGTTTCTCGTGCTCCTTTTTCCTGATGTTGCAATCACTTGGTATTGCTACATCTACCACAACGGCTTTCCTCTGTTGTTTATCCACTATGACAATGTCTGGTTGGTTCGCCATTACCATTCTGTCTGTCTGGATCTGGAAGTCCCACAGGATCTTAGCTCTGGCGTTCTCCACCACCTTTGGGGGTGTTTCCCACTTTGATCTCGGGGTTTCCAGTCCATATTCTGCACAGATGTTTCTGTACACTATGCCTGCCACTGGGTTATGTCGTTCCATGTACGCTTTCCCTGCCAGTATCTTGCACTGCTGTGATGTGCTGGACTGTCTCAGGGGCCTCCTTGCACAACCTACACCTTGGGTCTTGTCTGGTGTGGTAAATCTGGGCCTCTATTGCTCTGGTGTTTAGGGCCTGTTCCTGGGCGGCCAGGATGAGGGCCTCTGTGCTGTCCTTGAGTCCAGCTTTTTCCAGCCATTGGTAGGATTTACTGATATCAGCCACTTGGGTTATTTGCTGGTGGTACATCCCATGTAGGGGTTTGTCCTCCCATGATGGTATCTCTGGCACCTCAACCTCCACTCCCTGTTGTCTGAGACATTCACTGAGCACATTGTCTGTTGAGGCTTTGTCCCTGATGTATTTATGGATCTTAGTTGTTTCGTCCTGGACAGTGGTTCTCACACTCACTAGTCCTCTGCCTCCTTCCTTGCGGCTCGTGTACAGTCTCAGGGTGCTGGATTTGGGATGGAACCCTTCATGCATGGTTAGTAGCTTTCTAGTCTTAATATCTGTGGCTTTTATCTCCTCCTTTGGCCTGCTAATTATTCCAGCAGGGTATCTGATTACTGGCAGGGCATAGCTGTTTATCGCACAGATTTTGTTCTTGCCATTGAGCTGGCTTCTCAGGACTTGCCTTATTCGTTGGAGGTATTTAGCTGTGGCTCCTTTCCTTGTGACCTCATCGAGGTTGTCATTTGCTTGTGGTCTACCTAGGTACTTGTATCTTTTTAATATACCAACTATCATCCTCATAGCAATTGTGACCACAAGAGGGAAGCAAACCTCATCTTTTGGAAACATGTAGAAGCTGCTCAGCAATTACAAAAATTGCTTGATTGTCATATCAGTGTAAGGGTTTCTATGATTTATTGAGAAGCGCATGAATCATTTTTAATAAGCACTTTTTTTTCTCAAAACTGTTCCCTTCTTAAACATTGTTCATCGTTGGAGAGATGTCTCCCTCACTTCCTATCAGAAACAAGTTTCATTTAAAACCTGAGTGTTTTTACTCATTTTTGGGGGCACAGATATAATTCACACTTATCTAAACATGTTTATCATTGCAGAGTTGTGGGGGGTTACTGTGTGTTGATTCAAGACAATTTTCTGTTTAAATGGGTTAAAGAAACACGTATGTAATAAACATCACCTCTTATGTGACTGTCAATAAATTGATATTAATTATCATCCATGTGAAAGGTAAATGACGAATCGAAGATCTTTTACTATGACCTTTATTGCAATAAATTGAAGTTTTTGTGATATGAGCTCACAGCTAAATATTTTAAAATATTATCAGACACAAAAGCGGGGGGAAAATTACCCAAATATTTTTTGTCTATACTGAACACTCCTACTGACTACTCTGGAATGACATCTATCATATCAGCGAATGAGTGAAACAGCACATGAAAAGTCTGAACAAGACATGAGAACTGGTTTCCAAAATCTTCTTTTTCAAATGAAAGGGACAGAAAGTCCAGAACTCAAATCACAGAGCAGTTCTTTTAACTATTTAGATGGAAATCTGACAGACATGACAAATGCTTTAAATTGATCGCACTGATAAAGGGCATCAACATGACGAACCCGACTGCCACTTACCCACAATGCTTCATGTTCTGTGGCTTGTCCATGCGGATGGCTAGTTTTATCTTGAGCTCGTCCGGGCAGCCTTTGGACACTGTCATCTTATGGAGCTCACACTGCTTGGGACTGTTGGGCGTCGGGTGAAGAACAACCTGGAAACAGCCACAAGCAAATGCTGTGAGTCAGACGCACTGTGTGAGAGGAAATAAAAATGAACGCAGTGCTGGAGATGTTCTCCCACCCTTCCGAGCTCCTTGTCCTCCAAAGCCAGCACGCCTGTGCTCTCAGTGAACAGCTTCACCTTCACAGCAGGGAGAGGCTGGGTGGTGGTGAAGTCGCCTTGAGTTCCCCAACTACGAACAAGAACAGATTTATTAAGTTAAGTCTGCGCGATAAATGGTGTACCTCAGGGTTAGTGATGCCAACTTACCCCATAGGCTTTTCTCTATTCATCTGGTTTTAATAATAATAACATGAACAGATTTAGTCATAGTAAACTCCTCCTAATGAGCCTTTAATATACAGGCCAGTTTCTTCTATAAAGTCAAAACCTTTTGTTGTTTTTACAGGTTTGCATCAAACAAATAAAGACATAAAAAAAGTTATCCTTATTCTTATTCTAACAACCTTTCATAGAATGGATCTGTGTTTATTAACTATACTTTGTCTCCTTGTTGTAATTACACTTTTTGGTCTTAGATTTAGGCAACATCTTATGTGGGAGTGTATGCATAAAAGTACTTAGGAAAATAATTGAATTCTGTCCAGTCTTAGCGTGATGAGGTAACTTTTGATGTTCCCTCATCAAAAGTTTTTACTTCCTTGGATGTTTTATCCTTTTTATTGCTCTGACAAATCCATAGTGACTTTGAATGCAATCTTAATGAATTAAGTGTCCTTCCAGCTGTGATTGTCATCTTTCTTTAGTTGCCTAACTCCACGCTGTGCATTGCACATACATTGGTTTGGAGGCTTCAGCTTGGTCCGTCTGCAGCTTGTGTCCTCCTTCCACCTCCATGGTGCAGTAAACTATTCTGTTTGAAGCCAAGGACTTCAGACCCTGAACCTCCATTATCACCACCTGAAAAATAATGTCAGTTATCCAAAGAGATGAAATACCACATGACAAACTACAAGTTATAGACACGTCACGACTTTATTACTTAGTTACATTATTTTCTCATACATCCTTTGTTCCATTTTGGTGAGTGCATGTATACCTGCACTGCGCTCAACAAGTACTTAGGATTTCTAAGCCTTTTTTCTGGAAATAGTTGATTTAATCTGTTGGAAGCTGGCTGCTCGGGTTTGGGGAAATAATTTGTTTAGTGGCACTTGCAGCTTCTGTGGAGGGATCATTTTAAAAGCTGAAAGCTTTGAAGAACAAATTCAGAAGTCTGTGTGGCGAAGAACGACTCGCTTGCCGTAGAGAAAAAATGTTCAGGTCAAGCAGTGAGGTTATCACAATCTCTAAAGTCAAGGCTAAGGAGGAAGCTCCTCTAAAGCAGGAGGAAAGGAAATGATAAAGCTCTCTTAAGACTTTAAGCAAAAAGAAACTGTTTAATTCAAGTCTATGGTCTCTGAACTTGTCTATTTTTTCCCAAGTTGTTTAATTTGTATAGTCATTGACAAAGAAATGCTGATAATCGAGTACTGCCAGACCTTCAGTTTAATTTTTATTAATATAACCAATTATTAACCGTCATTCATAGCCAATTGTTGCACAACACTTTTGTTTCTTACAGGTTTTTGAAAAAAACAAAGTCATCATGTGTAACTGGACATCATGTGCAAGTTGGTTTGTAGAGTTTGGTGTTTTTTTGTTTTCATTTTGCCCAGCCTGACTGTAACAGGCTGAAGAATGAAGCATTTTCTACCGCAGATGCTTTACCTCCAGAGTGAATGAGAGGACCACGTCTGACTTGGACAGCAGATTTTCATCCTCCTGACCCATTTCCATAATGGACGCGTTGTGTCCTCGTTTCAGCTTCTGCAGCTTGAACTCGCCGCCCTTGGAGACCGGCATGCTCTCCAGGTTTGCCATCAGCAAGTTGACAGACGAGCGCAGCTCCTCGATGTACATGGCCTCCATCTCTCTGGAAACGAACCTTGGAAACCTTCCCCCGAGCTTGGAATACAGGAGATTGTGAATTTAATCACCAAGTGGCATCCTGTATCGATTCTTGTAAAACGATCCAAGTCTGCATTCATTTCAGGGACCTTCCTGTCTCTATGTCCATCCTGTTCTGTCAATGTTGGTTTTGTATTACATGTCAGTTTTTAAAGGGGCAGTATTATGTGTTTTCCAGTCACATCGTATCATTTTGCAACACAATCAAGTAACTGTTACCTTCGGTTCTAAAAATGCTATATTTCAAGTATGACTGAAAAGACACTTGACATTTGGGTTTCTGTCTCTTTAAAGAACTCCTGCTCATTCTGAAACTCCGCCCTCAGGAAGCGATCACAACATCGCTTCTCCATTAACCCTTCAACAACATTTTTAGTAGCATGAACTCATATAATGAGCTCAGCAGATGCCCAGTTCCACCAGGTTTTTGCTAATTGCTGTTAGCTAGTCTTAAGGAGCTGAGAGGTGGAGTCAGGAGGGCAGGGAGCTCTGTGAGGTCAAGGCTTATAAGCTTGGTAATTGCAGCTCTATTAAAGAATCAAGCTAACACTCCAGGTGGTTTTTTGATGAGGGAATAAACCTGTGACATGTAAAATTTAAAAAAAAGTGAATCTGACATAATATTTTCCCTTTAAAAACATCTACGTAAAATATTGCGACATATTTTTCATGAAGGACCTAACATTGATGTCTTTGAGAAATAATAAGGCCAATTAGCTGATTTTATTAAGTGTTTACACTGCTACCTTATGTAACAGGAGACAGTATTTTCAAATGCAAATTGCATTTAATCATACAAATGAATTCCAATAACTTTACCATACATGTAAAACTAAGGTTCACTCCTCCAGTTGCCACTTATCATTTTACAGGTTAATCTTCCTGAACAAGCCTCATCCGTTTTTTCCTTTTACCCGAGCGATCTGATCCGCCATCTGCAGCCGTCCGTCCAGTTCCCGTCTGATCTGAGCCGCCTGCTCATCAGGATTGTCCAGCTGGGAAAACACAGACATGCAGCAGTTTGTTTAGACATCCACTAAAAATCACATTCATGTCCGTGAATTAAGAAAAGAAAAACACTGTTTTAATCACACTGTACTAAAAGTAAATTACACTCAACAACAGCAAATGTCACTTATTACCGGGCTACACCAAAAATTATTTAAAAAAAATAAAACAACATCATCTATTACTTCATCTATTAGCCAACTAAGAGGATACACTAGCCTTTGGATACAGTTGCCATGGTAACGAGTGTGAGGAGTAGGTACAGCCGTTATCAAGTTGTGAATCTCTTTTACACATACATGTAGCCTCCACAAGAAGCTACATTTCAGACATGACTCGACGCATCAGAAACCAAACGTTTTCCATCCAGACGCGCGCAGCTGAATGGAAGCAGAAAGACTGACTTCAAACTGTTCAAGGTCTCTGTTTGACCAGGACGCCATCTGTTCCTTAATGAATTGCAGTCAAAGCTTATTTGGTCTTTTAATGTGTTATCAGAACAAATATGACCATAGTCAGAGCAATGGCGACTGCATGTTCTGGACAGTACATGGTCTGCATTATCACCGACTAAGGAAAACATGAAAAACAGATCAAAGATGACAGCATCACATCAACTGGATAAACAGTAATGACAGGAGTGAAGCCCTGACTGTAGTTGGATTAGTGAAAGCTTATACTGCTGTAGCTAGCAGTCATGCTACGTTGGGTGCATTTCACTACCAACAAGCTTGATGAAGGGGTTGATCAAAAAGACATATGTGGCATATCAATATACGATGACAGTGGTTGATGGACTGAATTAAGAAAACTTTTACAAGTTACCTGGAGGTGATTCCTGACTGAATGCCACTGCCTTAGTAAGGCAGAGCCTAATTGGAGAACCAGTTCACAGCCTTTACAGATAAACTGATCTTTTAAAGTTGATTCATCAAGAAGATGTGATCTACAGTGTCAGATACTTTTGGACATGTGTGATTGTCTCGTCCACCTTAAGAATCACCAAATCTAAACCGTTCGGGGGAATGGGCGACTTTCATGGCTTCAGGTTTGCATATATTTACGTTTCATTTTGAAACACTGCACTGCGACAATCTTTGTGTGTACACTTGATTCACATGAGCCCCCTGGTGGATGGCAGTGTCAGCCACATTCCCAGTCAATTGTGACAAATGTATTGTTTTTATGCCATATAAGTGAGTGCATTGTGCAGCCATGTTGGCATTACCACTGATACAGAAGACCAGACAATACCTGAGATAACTGTGATTTTAAAGACTGAAATCTCTGTTTGAAATCGCAGCAGGGTTGACCACTGGACAGTGCATGTATCTTTCCATAAGCCTAGTCTTCGTAAACAATGGTACCAAAAGCTGAGATACAAATTAAATGACAGAACATTGTTATTGTTTTCTTTTTCTCAGATGCATTTTAACATTTAGCCAGTTCAAATCCTCAATAGACTTAAAGGCATTCATTGAATGCAAAGTCATTAAGAGAGAGCAGTCTTGTCAATAGACAAAGGTTATTTCAGTAACCAAGATAAAAAAGACATTCATATTACAAAAAAACAAAAAAAAACTGCATGCAGTTTTAACATTGAGGTTTTTTTGGGGGGGTTTTTTTGCAAACATTGTTTGGAAATAAAGAGGTGGTGATTTTTTTTTTCCTTTCCCCAAAATCATTATTGGCAAAAAATAACTTCATCCATTATTTTAGGAAGTATACAATGATAGTAAAACACTATGGAATGCATAACATCAATCATAACGTCTAGTATGAAATCTTTATTTTACAAAACAAAGATGAACAGACAAATTATTAGCTGTTGGAGCCCAGATGAGTTTAGGAACGTCCAGGTGGTAAACAGGGAACGTGAATTTATTCATTTTGGACCGGGTCTGATGTAAAATCAGAAGTCGTTTAGAGCGAACGTGCAAAACACTGGAGCAGTAAAACACTCCCTCTTATACTAGTCGATGGAGTAGTCTGCGTAAAACAGATCCTGCTGTGCGACGTTGCTCTGTTCAGCGATAAAGAGGAAACGGGGGGGAAGCCAGCGTAGACACCTTAGCAGATTTTTCTCCCTCTGGGGCTCGACTATGAAGACATTCACCATCTGGCATATTGTACAGAGGCAAGACAGCAGTCACTCCTCTAATGAGAGCAGGGACATGCTGGGGAAGGCCTCGGAGGGGGAGAAAGCTTAACTGGCTCTTCTTCAAACACATCCACACCAAATCACATTTGGAACCTGACAGAGGGACACAAATACCATCCTCTCGGCTCCTACCTGCCTGAGCTCTGAACACGCTGCAGCCACAGTCATGTATCCAGTCTCTATTTGTGGTCAAATTCTTCTTTTAAGAAGACAGTCGTTTTACATATTGCTTGATATTAATAGGCAGAATCAAGTTCTTTTTTCTGTGGATCTTAAATGCCAGTCCTTTTTTCCCCCCATGTGCACTAATGACTGGAAAGCAAACATCTCATTAATGTACTTGGAACTTTATTGTTTCCTATAATTGCTGCAGTTTCCTTCCTGCCAGCCCTCTGGAAATCACCACCCTGGCTTAAACAGGACAGCCGACTCATCATCCACCCTGTTATTTTGTGCTGGGAACCGAAACAGAGCGGCCCCTCGGCAAACAAGACGAGGTGAATTCAGAGGGATGCTTACATCAGTTGAGTCACACTTGCTAATAATAATAAAAAAAATATTCTAATAATAATAAAAGGGAAAAAATGTGCTATCCACATTTGCTTTCCCTCTCATTTGTGTCAAGCTATTTAACAGACAGATTTCACCAGGTGCCGATGTTGACCATTTTTAAGATATCAAAAAAAGGTTTAAACACGTTCATCTGTCAACATCCCAATGTCTTTAAAGCTGCAGTATGTCACTTTTACATATTCATTGAAACTGTCACTATGTCATGACGGTGTAGTTTGACACAAATAATTTGTGAAAATAAATCTAGCTCCTGTGCCGTCTAATCAATATCTACTTAGTAACGCATTACTCTCACATGATCACTTTCTTTAGTAAAGAGTAAATCCAATTCCACTTACTCATCCGATTCACTGTGCGTTTCTATTTTCCTCATTTTCTTTTCTTAAAAAGATACACTGGTAATCAAGTAAATCCTTTCTCAGCTGCAGTTTGTAACTCACACACCGGCTTCATTTCACTCTTCATTGCACAAATCAAAAATTATCAGAGTCCAAGTCATGTCTCGAGTCTTTTCCTCCAGACTTTCAGATGCAATTGGAGTCAGCATCTTGAATGTGAGCCAAAACGTTTGGCAGGACGTCACACTTAATAAAGACGAACCTCTGAGAGGACAACAATCCGTGAGGTCAATTTTTTGTATGTTGTACTATTTTGAAAAAAATAACAATCCTAAAGTGAATAGCACTGATTTTATATAATGGCAATTACACCAGTAGTTTTTATTATTATTATTATTTTTGTCTTTTAGAGAATAGAAATGACAGTGATACGGAACAAATATTCCCCCACCTTTTTTTTTTTTTTTTAACCCGGCCCAGTATGAAGGGTGAGAAACAAACAGGCGTGTTGATGCACTAACCTGACAGGCATTGTAGAGCAGCTGGTGCTCGAACTTCTTGACCCCCAGGATCTGCTGGAACATCTCATACAGCTGGTCCTTGCTGAGGATGAGCTCGGAGGCGGCGCTTGCGGTCATCCGCTGCTGGTGCTTCCGGGGGTCTTCTTCCCCCCGGTAGATGGTGTCGAACTTGGCGATCCAGGAGCTCAGCACGGTCTCTTTGCTCAGGCCGTCGATCTCGGGCAAGCTGCGCACGCGCTTTTCGATGTGCTTTTTAAACACCTCACGAGAGTCGCTCGCCGAAAAGCCGCCACTCTGCACCATCCGGGACACGCGGTCACTTTTCAGGAAGATCTGAAACCAAGTGGCAAAAACAAGAACATCATGTGCTTCCTTATTTTATGCATCACTAAAATATGCATCACTGGCTGTTGCACGTCAACCTTCTTTCTTAACCTTAATTTCTTTCTACAGCTGTTACTCTCATTCTATTCCTCTCGGTTTTACAATGAGCTGAAACTGTACGCTTGAGATTTAAAGTGATTTGATACAGATCAGCCCTACGCTGCATTAAAGATAAGTCCTGAGCAGAAAGAAGTTTAAAAGCTTTTTTAGGAGCTTTCTTTGCTACAAATGATCACGCATTAATTAAAGGAATGCTGTCGCTGAATTTTATTCAATAAAGGCTCTGTTTACCTGTTTAAAAAGGGAATTTAATTATTTTTTGTTCATTTGCATTTTTTTAAATGCATTTCCAACAACAGTACAATACAGCACTGTACAATTGTGTACTACATACAAAAAGGCTCTGCAGAATGTTCCAGTGTTTTTTAAACTGAATAAATGATTTATTGTCAGAATAACTGAGAGAATGATTGACTAGTAAAATCACTAAACACTGCGCGTAATTCGATTTGAATCCAAGTCGAACGTCTTTGGACAAAACTGCATTTATGTCGAATGAGACGGCCGGATTGCAAACAGTTTGAAATCAATATAATTTGTTTACTGTTTTTTGTGATGTGCACCAAGAAAGTTCCAAATAAACATGAACTGGGTTTGTGTTTCACACCTGACCTGAACTGTACATTCTGTATATCTGTGTTCATATCTGTGCAGCTTATAGGTGTGGTATCCATTCTGAAACATAACCATGTTGAATTTGAGGGATGAGAAAGCCGGCTTGCTATAAAACTCACCTCGTAGTAGCTCTGAACAGCGTTGATGAAAGCCTCATCGGCCACAATCTGAGTGTCTCCACCGAGGAATGCCTGAAAGCGATCTTTGACGGTCTGAAGCTGCAGCTTGCTGATCTGAGGGACGCAGAAAGCCATTTTATGTTTCACAAAGAACAAAACGAATCATGACCCAAAAAATAGAAATTAAATATTGAACATACACCCAGTTTTACGTTTCGATTGTTCTGTCCAGAAACATTAAGGCTTCTCAGCCACTGTGAAGCTCAAACATTTCTGCCATGTCACCTATTTGGTTGTCTTTCTTCAGGGCTACAAAGGTCACAAAAAGTCAAATGTCTCTCCATTCGCTGGATGGTCATCAGAGGACAGTTCACTGAAATCCTCTATTTCCTCCATTTCTGTTCTGCTAATCTTGTTGAGAGATGAAGACGTTTCCAGGCAGTTCTTCACCATGAATAAGATTCCACACAAATTGGACAGTATAATATGAAGTTTTCATATTTGCAAGCATCGCGTTATATTACTTCTACTTCAAAAACATGGGTGACTTTACATGAGTTGGCCAGGGTATAGTGTTCAGCTAGCTTAACTGTTTCTTTTTACTGTTTCTTATCCTTGTTTTATTCTTTGTATAATTTAGAGTTGATTTGTTGGATTCGAGACAAGACTGACCTAATAATAATAAAGAAACTAATACATACAGACCAAACAAACCTCAAAACATCTCAGGATCTTAACAGATGTAATCAATGGCGAGTAGAGCTTGAGATCTAGATAGAGTTTACTCATCTGACAGTGACAGACATGGGATTAATCCAGAGATCTTTTCAGTCTGCCTGCCTCTTAATTCCTCTGCTCCCCAGACTCAGCCATGCTTTTGAAAATCAGATCTGCAGAGCAGACACGGCTCTCGTTTTTTTTTATATATATATATAAACAGAAGGAAACCTGCAATTTGAAATGGTTCTCTATGTACTTTCGGAAAAAGACAAAACAATTTTCACATTGTTCAGAGACATTTAGTGTGTTTGGTCTAAAAGTGAAATATTAGTTGATCTCTGTGCCTCGTGCTTCAAGATTTATCCGATGTGTCATTACAACGTTTCTGGATCTTTGGATCCATCTTAATTGTCTGTAAAGTTATTTTTATTGCAGTTTTCTTAAAAGTTACAATTTCAACCCCAATGATGTTTAGGCACAAAATTCAGATAAAGGAACTCTGTTGTGTGTCACACCAGCAGACGCGACTTTATAGTCGTGCGTTAAATTACACTTTACTTCTCATTCAGCTGCAGAATCGTAGGACACGGCTGAAGTCACATAAAGTTACATCAGAGGTGATCGAGGTGTTTCAAAACGAATGTCTTGATGGACGCTTCGTGATGCTGCGAAGACGGACGTCTCTCGCAAATTAGAGTCTGAATAGGTTCAATCAGCACGTCGACTCACCCCGGCTGTGATTGCAGAGCGCTCGCTCTGACTGCATTGTGTGAGTGAACATGTGTAAGAATCGGCATTCATGAAAACCGTACGGCGCCCGTTTGTGTGTGGTGCGAGTGTGTGTGTCTGTTGCTCTGTAGGAGTGTGTTTGCATACGAACACTACAGGCCAACAAAAAAGCCTTTCATCATTATTAGCAACCGACATGCTGTTCTCATGAATTATGCATATAATATTGAACCGCTGCTTTCAACAAGTGCAAACAAGGACCAGCATACACACACACACACACACACACACGCACACACACATGCACAGCATAATGATCACTGGCAGGTTAAGTGGCTAACTGTATTCATCCCTTCCCAATATAATGTTCTGGTGAAAAACTCAAATGCTGCTTTAAATGAAGGTTAGTTTCAGATTTGTGATTTAACGTATTTACACGTTGCAACACCTGCCTCCGGTTCAGCATGTTCATCCTCTATAATAATAGTTAAAAATTCTGTCTGGCCTCGTCGAAATTATGGCTTCATATTCAGTATTCACCCTACAAACCTGCTGAACTCTAGTAAGTTCATAACGCCAACATCACATAGTTCTCTCACTCATTCATCATATAAGTTTTAAAATATATTTGTATGTCATGAACCCCTTGGCACAACTAGATTTGATATTATTTTCTTCCTAAAAGAAGACGTTGGAGTGAGACAGGTCACTTCCAACAGAAAATGAAGAGATCAAACACTCATTAGAATAGCTGGCAAACATTTTGTGTTAGCAATAATCGACAAAAAATGTTTGCTGTCATGAAAATTCTGATTTATAACTAATTTACCATAATATTTTTAGGTGCATCTCTAATGGCTTATTTTGGGGAAGGAAAGCATCATAAACAGGCTTTTAGTTCAATATATTTACATAAATAAGCATTTATGTAACCTTTCAAATAAAATAACCTTTATTAATAGAAAATAAATAATACTGAAGTAAACAGTGGCACAGAAAACGTTGAGTAATTATGCAGAGATTAGCGTAAACATTCACTCATATGTAGCAGAAATCTATGAATTTAATGTTTCCAATCTCCAAAGTCCATTTCTTTCAATACAAAATCAACCTACTCAAGTAAGAGTAGCAGTAGTTCACAATATTCCTCAAGTAAAAGTAAAAACTAGGAAACAGTCCAGTTTCTCTGAGCATTGTGCTGGCATCATACGGTTAACTTTTTATGGCATGCAAGAATCTGCAAGTGTAACATTGGCTCTTAGTCATGAAAGAAAGGCTAATAAAAATAAGTAACACTTTTCCAGCTCAGTTGAAGTGTCTGTGTTAATGAAGTGTGTCCGTGAGCTGTCTTACCCAGCTGCACAATGTGCTCTGATTACGCAAAGCGTTGACACCTTGCTCACCGCTTCAGCACGCCACTAAAGTCATTTCCTAATGTGACGCCAATTAACAGACTGGTCTTTTGCGGCTGAATCAGAGATCAGCAAACAACTGCAAAAACAAACATCCAACAGTATAATATGTCAGATTCTTCTTCTTCTTTATGCTGCGAACCTATTGACTGCAGAAATAGAAATAAAGAAACTATTTCTTTATTCAATTTCTTGAAATAAAGAAATAGTTTTAGCTTGTTGTTCCTGGTCGTCTTGCAGTTTTTTTGACAGGCTAACTCTCTCTCTCTGAGTTGATCCAAGCTTCTTTAAGATGCCGATGTTTAAAAAACATAAGTTACCAATTTGTTTTCCACGTTTATGTCAACATGCCCAGAAATGTTATGTAAAAAAAGACAGAGATTTCTGCTGTCTGTTAAGCACTAAACCCAAAACATCACAAAACAGTCAGTGTAGACTTCAAATTATTTGAAATAACAATAGCATCATTTGACTTTGATATTTTTCATTCCTGTTCTCTGTAATCAACAAGAGCAGCAGACTAAAATCACTCTGCTCAATGTAATGTAATGGAGTTTTATGGTCACTAAACGTCTGACTTGTTTAATGAACATTTGTAATTGTTCTCTTTCCTTGTAAAACTTCTCAGACAGGATCAGAGCAAGCAGCCGCTTTTAAGCCGGAAAGATTTTTATCAAATGTTCAAAACATCCCGGGAGAAGATTTCTAAAACTGGTTGGAAAAAAAATGTATGTGGTAGAACCCAGCGTATTCAGTATTCACGGAAAAATGCACCTGTTTGTTGGTAGAGCATAACTAAAATAATCAAAAGACAGTGGGGTTTTCTTGGCATCAAGGTACTGACACCAATGCTTGGCACTTTGCAAGCAAGTCAAGAAAACTTGCTGTAGATATTAGCTTCTGCAGCATTGCTTGGAGGCTTCTGGTCCAGTCTGTTGTTCAAGTGAAGTTTGACATGCTTTGTCTCCTTTGTTTTGTTCACATTTAAGATGAGATGATTGTTCCCACATCATGCACAAATGGTCCACCAACGCTCTGCACTCGGCTTCTCGTCCGGTTCTAACAGGTGTAGAGTCATCTGTAGGTGACAGGAATCTGGAAGTCTGAGGTGTCCAGACCAGAAAGGAATGGTGAGAGTACACTGCCCTGTGGTGCTCCAGTGCTGGTCAGATACAAATTGTGGTCCGTTTGTCAGATTATTGATCCAAGTGACTTAGTTGTGTAGCAACAACACAATTGGTCCTGAAGCTAAGGAGCTGGTGATTTACTTCAGGAAGAATCAGCCCACATTCACTCTACTCTACATCAACAACGCGTTCAGCACACGAAACTCACTTGACGAAACACGTCCTGGTCTCTGGACGCCTCCTCCTTGTCATTCAAGATGGAAATTTTGGTTTAAGCTCAGGTGGTCATGCTGACCATCCTCAACTCTATCACCATACCAATCCCAAAAAAAATCAAGGTGTTGCACTTTTACCTTCAGTTGTGTTGAGATGTGACTGGTAAATTCGATTTGAATGCTGAATAATAGGACTTTGACCACGGCTCCCAGTACCCAGACTCTGGAACTTTCCCACCAAACTTAAAGTTTGTCGGCTGAGTTAACTCGTCTAAAGAGAAACTTTTTTTTTTTTCTTTTTTATTACTTTTGAGTTTTCTTTTGTTCCAAAGCACTCTGTGACGTTTATCTTTCTAGTCGTACGTTTTGGTGCTTGTTTGAACTTTCAAAGCCTCCAAAGCGCAGTCCATCCGAATATTGAAACATTTTGGGCCCAGAGTGTCTTGGTGTGGCAAAGAGCACTCTCTTGTCTTCTTCTCTTGCTGCTAATCCGTAGACAAAACGTTGACACAGCTGCAAGCGCACATGGTTTAGAGTGTAAAAAAATAAATAAATACATAATGAATGCAAATCCTCTGTCTGCCTTACTTTCTCTCTCCCTTTATTGCTGCGGCTTGTCCTTTTTGTCTTTCCCTTTACCAGCAAGACTTGCTCCTGGATACAATTTAGCTTTCTAAAAAAATAAAACATAAAAAAAAAGCCATGCCTTGCATTGTTTTGTATTCACTCAGCAAAAAAACAATAAAATAATAATCAATGAAGCTCCAGATTTTTATTGGTTGCAACTGCACAGTAAAAACGAAAGTGTTATTTTAACACCTATAGAGTTGAAATTAACTCCGTTTCGTATAACATTTGGTCCCACTCGAAAATAGTGTAAAATGTACTCTATAGCCAGTGTAAAATTTTCAGAGTTAATTTGACTCATTTTAGTGTCAAAATCAACAAGTCAGTGAGTCAAATTATTTAACACTGTAGCTTGTTTACACTCTTCAGAGTAATGCTATAATTTTTATGGAGTTGATTTTACACTAAATTTACTTAAAAATTTACACTTTATGGTGTTTTTTTTTTCCTTTCTCCACTTTTTTTTTTATTACACATATACCATTTAGCATTATATGGGTTTTTAAAAAATCTACTAATCACAATAATCACAAAGTTTTACGTTCACACTGACATTTATTCAACTTTATGATCCAGTGACATCATTACTGTAACAGTGTCAGTTTACACATCTTCAAAACAATGTTCACCAAAGATAGCAATATGGGACAACAAAAAGAGCAGTGTCAGTTGCTTCATATGAGATTTGTATGTCAAAGGGCTTCGGATAACATAGATGGTTGACATCAAACACACCAAAACCTTGCATCATTTTAGTAACTTCATAAGCATGAAAATGTTCATGAAAAGCTACTGTACATAAAGGTAATGTAAGCAACAACAATTTGTTTTTGAAAAGGAACACAGACTTTATCTGGTAAAAGACAGGCATTTCAGATTCAACTTTGCCACAAAAACCAGATGAGGACGGTAGATAAACCCACTGTGCTTTGCCCAGTTCACTTTCATAACTTGAACCTCAGGAGACACTTGCACTGCCTCAGAAATGTCAGAACCTCCTTTTATCATGTTTAAAGATTACTGAGAATAAACATTTTTGTAAGGTGAAACCCCACCATCTTCTACAGATTCAAAAGAATCACTAAGATGACATCTATTTAGATGTTTTCTAAAACCAGAAAAGCTACCAAAAAAACATGAGCATCCAACTTCACCACATTTAATATGGAGAGTCCTGCCAGAACAAAGACCATGGATTAGTTTAAGGTGCTTAACTAGGCTGTTTGGGGCATCACTGTCACATTTGCAGATGAAACACTTCATTGTTTTATGTGACACTAATGGAGCATTCTTGCTCTCAACTCTGCAACTCTGGGCGTTTCTTTTGTTTCTCCAACATCTATGTTGTAGACAGTTGTTTGGAGAAAGGTGAAGAAGTTGGTCAAGGGAGCACTGTATGATGTACCAAACACATAATGGGCCTTAAAGAGCTCATCAAGAGCTCCAACTGAACATGTTGCCTTACATGGAATAGCATAGTTGTCAATCACAATGAAGAATGCATGAATACTGCTTTGGATGGATCCCTGGGCAAGGAGGTAGGGCTGGGTACGTTGCGTTATCTTGTCAAGATGCTGCTGTACACTGGTTCCAACCTACATTAATGAAATAAATGAAAACATGAAAAAAGTATTTCGTAACACATTTCTGAATGACGATCAGACAGAATAAAATTTTAAATTGTAAAAATGAAGAGATTGAATTATGCATTTTTATCTTTAAACAACTGTCTAGCAGTACCTTTAGAAATCTGATGAGATGATCCACTGCTTGAGATGCAGACATCTTACCCGGCCTCTTTCGCCCTTGTGCAGATGGTGGTAGCAGATGCAGCAGAAGCAAAATAGCAGACATGTCACTATCCCAACCTACAGACCAACAGCTTCAGGTTACCATCATACCAACATATGAATTTGTCACAATTAGGTCCAACATACCATTGTCAGCTTCAGCAGCCAGCTCTGCATTGCGCAATAAAGCCAAGAGCTCTGTGGTGGGTACCAGACCATGGCTTTCCCTTATAGCCTTGGATTTGAGACTGGTGGGCCACTTCTCCAAAAATTTGTTGGCAGTGCCTTCGCCAAACAAGAGTTTGAAATCTTGTTCTATCTGAAATACAAAAATAAAAGCATTTCACAGTGAGAAAGAAGGTAAATGGCCTATACTTGTGCAGTGCTTCATGAAGTCCAGAGGACCCCAAAGTGATTTACACCACATTTAGTCATTCACATGCTGATGGTGGTAAGCTACATTGTAGCCACAGCTGCACAACGAAAGACTGCTGCCAATGCTGCCATGTCCTTGTGTCACCAGGCCTTCTGAACACCACTAGCAGACAAGGCAGGTGAAGTGTTTTTTCCCAAGGACATGACAATTTAGAAAGAGTTGTGGTTCAAACTGGTAAAACAAAGGTTACAGTACAAACTCATATGACTGATGCCATTGAATATTTTAGTAATGTCAGACATAAACCTGTCTTATCAGTCCTGGTGTGTCCAGAAATCGTGGAAAGACAGAGAAGACATTCGATGCTTTCTTTTCATCATTGACCATTGAATGACGGTAATGGAAGGTAGCCTTCATCTTCTCACGGACAGTGTCATCATCAGCAGAGTGTTTCAAAACAGCAATAGCTGCTTCCACTTCCTCATCTGACAGCACTTTATCAGCAGTGAAAATCCTGGATTGACCATGGCCTGGTCCACCACCTTAAAAACAAAAGTTTAGAACTCCCAGCCACAGATTTTACATTACTTTACCTATACTCACTGTTGAGAAAACTTACTTTTGGGAGATCTTCTACTTGAGGCAACCCTTTCCTCTGAGGTTTTTCTTTGAATGGTCCTTAAACGCCATGCAAGGTATCCTGAACCGCTCTCTGGATCATAGTAATGCTCCTATATAAATAAATACAAGCAGACTTATCATTCCATAAACATTTTTGAAGGTTAATATATTTACTTAATGTTGCTAAGACCCTTTTACTTACATATCCATGTTTTGAAAACGGGTCCTGTAGATAGGGAAATAGGGCAACAATGCCCTGAGCATACATCACTCTGATGCTTTTAGGAGGGGATGATCTGATACATGATCAAACAATGAGTCACTAAGCTGACGTTTGGAAAAAATAATGAAAAGCAATTCAAAACCAAAATGTTTCTTTATAAGTATGATTCTTACCCATGCGCTTCTGTCATTGCAGCTGTAAGGATGTTTATCATCTGTCTTCTGGTTGCATCTGTCAAGCATTTAGTTCTTGCATACTCTTGCATAATATGCTCACCACCAGGCTTTGTTGTCAAGATTTGTTCAATCAACTTCAATTTCAAAGAAAAAAATATTAAAAACTTGAACCACTAAACCTAGAAAGTACATAAACAATGCTAAATTAAATATAATAACTTGCCGCTTGCGCCTCATAATTTACGTGACATGGCCTTTTAGGTTGACTTCCTTCAGCAGTGGCTTCTTCTTCTGATTGGTCACACATTGTGAAATTCAGAATGACAGTGTCATCAGATGTAACTGAAGATGATGATGATGATAGAACGGCACCTGCAAAAAGTAAAGCAACAGCATATTTAGGAGAACTCTAATGCTCCCAAGCCAGCTTCCACATTAAATATAAATACATTGGTGAATTGACAGTGATTACCAGGATCTTCTTTGTTGCTCAACATAACTCGAAAGGTTCCAGGTGTCTCATTCACTATTTCTTCAAAAACATCTACATCAACTTCTGTATCAGACTGGTCATATACTTTCAGATCTTGTCTGCCTTCTGGAATGTTAAATTTCAGACAAACTAAAGCAGAAAGAAATATTAAACAAGTGAAAATGAAAACATTCACAGCTGATAAATGTTTTCAGTTGAAATAAGTAGAGTAACCCCACTAATTTCACAACATGTCAGTGAGTTCAATTTAATTATTTTACTAATGCACTAACCTTCTTTCAGGAATGCATCAAATGTTAGGTCAGAAAGTTTCACGTACTTCTGCTCCCCACCAAACAAAACACGCAGTAGCATGGTTTGTTCTATTTAAAAAAAGAAAAAAAGAGAAAAAATAAATAACCATGACAGAGATATTTAAATAGTTAATAAATGTGCTTCAAAGGTAATGCCATTTGAAAACTGAATTAATATTCCGATACAATTGAACATTATCTGTACAAGCAATATGGCGCCTGTTAGCTGCTACATCCATGGCGCTAACCATGCTAACGTGACTCGGTGGTGCTACGACCCCGAAGTACCCACAGAATGTGGTTCTGTGGCATAATGTACAGTGATTAACACTATTACAATTTATAACAGTTACGTATACTTACATTGACAGCCTTCAGAAAAACTTAGCAAATATTTCGCTAACATGTCTAGCATATAGGGCTATCCCTCGGCTGTCGCCCTAACACCATACAGCTTTCTTTCGCTACCCTGACTGTGAACAACGGAATAAAACGGGTATAGAAATTAGGAGACATGGAGGGGTTTTCACCACTAACAAACTGAGCCATGGTGCCAAAACCATTTGCTACGCGAATGGAGTATGCTAGTAGCATAATAGTTGCGAACATATTTAATGGATAACAGAAGCTATAATATCGTTCTTCATCACAATTAATATTAAAATAAATTACCGGATTGTTAAAAGTTACTTACCTTTCTTGTAGCACAACTCCGTTAAGAATCCCAAATGGAAATGACCGTTTCACGAACTTTAGAAAGCTGGTGCTTCCTCCTCCTCCTCTTCCTCTTCGCGGTTGGCAAAAATCTTTACTGGCGCGTTTTTGACACTTGACAGAGTCAAAAGTTTCACTGCGTGAATGTAGGATTTTACTCTGACTTTTAACTCCGACGTCAGAGCCGATTTACACTCCATATAGTTATAAATACTCTATTTCGATTAAATTAGGTTAACACTGAAATATTAACACCGCAGTTTTTACTGTGTGATGAAAGGATTCATTAGTGACTGGAACATTTTTATAACGGAAGTAAATCCCCCCTCTCCCTCTACCCCCCTTTGATGTAAAACCCAACATGGTTCGCCTCAGGAAGCAACAGTTGGTGTCATGTGATGTCTGTGCTTCAGCTCCCATCGAAATCACACAACTAAAGAAGCTTTATTCCCTCTCCTCCTGCCCGCCTCACCTTTTGCTGCCTCCTGGCCATGTCGGTGGGCTGCTTGGCGTTGAACGGATAAGCAATGCAGCGCATCACAAACACATACAGCTGGAGCCGCTTCTTCTTCTCCTCCTCCTCCCTCTGCATCTTCTCCAGGTCCTCCTTCTCCTTGTCGCTGCCCACCGACGGGCTGGGGCTGGAGGGCCGGCCACCGGCGCCGCCGCGGCCCCGGGGCTGGAGCCCTCCACCGCCATGATCGTCGGCGGTTCGGCCCGGTGGCCGTCGGGCTCCTCCGAGGTTCTTCGAGGCGGCCACCTCTTTGCGCTCCACCTCGACCACCTCGTCCCCTTCCTCCTCACTGGAAGACGGATCCAACATGCTGCCGGAGTCGACGATAAACTCCTGTTAGGCTCAATGAAGCTGCGTTAACTGGAGCCACAGGAGGAAAGAGGCGCAAACGGCGCCTGATTAACGCCACAGGCTGCTGGTGGGGGAGGGGGCAGGGGGGATCCGGAAAAAAAGAAAGAAGAAAAACGGAAATACTGTTGAGTCTTCTTGGTTGCGTGATGTTCAAAAAGCCTTGCAACTACAGCAGTGTGTGACAGATGAGAAGGATGTGTGATGAGAGCACATTTAAAAGGGGAGGGGTCGCAGATGGAGGAAGCGCTGGTGTGTTGATGCTCGGCTGCCTGCAGGAGGAAGAGGCAGGGCTGGGAGCTGACCGCGGTGCTGAAACACCCGCCTGTTCTGGGATCAGTTCGGCCAGCAGTCAGCCAGCGACCACCTGATGATCCACAGCTCAGTCAAAAGAGGGGCCGGTTTTAGAGAGCAGCAGCAGCAGCAGCAGACCGGAATCGAAACTCATTTATTTTCGCAGTAAAAGCTTTCCGCTTCGTTTCAATGGAATCATGTTTTATAATTTTAAAGCTTATGGAAACACTTAACTGCAACCTTTACAAAAAAAAACAAAAGTTGCATATGTCACTCGTATTGGATCAAGGAATGCTTAAGAACTGGGGAATTTATTATTATTATTAATTTTTTTTTCTGGATCTTATGTAAAATAAAGTGTCTTAGAACAGCATTTCCCCAACTCTGGTCCTCAAGGCACATTTATCTGCATGTGTTACATGTCTCCCATTCGGATGATTGCAATTCAGCAGAAGTGTGTTCAACAGCCATCAATTGAAACCGCGTGTGCTGAGGGAGGGAAGCATCTAGAACATGCAGGGCTGTGCGCCTTGAGGACCCGGGTTGGAAATCACCATCTTGGAAATCACTTGACAAAACCCGAAACATTTCAGTGAGATTGCCATGATGTGTTGAACACAGAGATGGCAAATGAATTTGAATGTTTAATGAAAAAAAAACTCACAAAGATCACAGGAGGTGGAATAGAAGAAATAAATCAAAATCCAAGAGAAAGAAACCAACAGGGAGAAACTAAACACATCCCACTGAGCACAATGGGGAAGTGATGGGAGTTGGTCAGATGATGCAGCGAGAAGACGCTTAAATACTGGGAGGTTGAACGTTGGAACAAAGGAAGTGGGCTGGTTGCTGATGGGTTGCAGGTGTGAGTGAAGGGAGTAAGAGGCAGACTGGGGAGAGAGACGGTGGCACAGCGGGCGAGGAAATGAATCTAACACTAAAATAAAGAAACAATCAAACTAGAGTGACAAACAATGACTTGAAATGAGAAATAAACTAAGGAAGAACTAATGTGGAAATGGAAAACTAAGAGAAAAAACTAAGAAACACAAAATATGACAAAACCCCAAACCAAACTTTAACGACCAAAGATCCTAACAGAGTTAAAACGTATAAATTAATGGGGTTCTGATGTGTTTTCCTCTAGCCGACACCTTAAAAATAGCAATTATTAAATTACTGAAAAGGACAATCTGGACAAGTTGCTAATGCAGAATTACAGACCAGTCATCCATTCATCAATAAGGTTATTGAAGAAGCTGCAATTTCAACAGCTAAATACCTTCTTAACAATGACCAGTTGCTTTGACGTCTTTCAATCAGGTCAGTCAGTCAGTCATGGATGCAGGTTGTAGAAGAACCATATGGTTCTGGTGTTTTTGGTCCTGAGCGCAGCATTTGAAACTACTGACATTGGGGGAAGTGATGGGAGTTGGTCAGATGATGCAGTCGGACTCTCCAGCCCAGTACTTGACTGGTTTGAGTCTTAAAGGACAGGGACTTCTTTGTGCCAGTCGGAAGCGGCTCTAGCTGTATGTGTTTTTACACAAGAAAGGCTTCAAAGTTTTACATCCAAGAAAAAAAAACATCACATTGGGACAAATTTGTGTACTAAACCACTGAACCAAAGGCTAATGGATGGGACTGTGGTTAAGATTTTTATCTTAGTGTTTTGTATTGCTCCTAATCAGATAAACTTGAATAATTTAAGAATATTTTCTAGATTTTAAAATAGGCTATAGATCGGATCCAATTCTTGAATTCTGAACAACAAAATTTTGCAGAAGTTTTAACTGTAACACTTGGCAATGTATAATACATATTTCTAAAAAGAAATTCTCACAACTAACATGTAACTTAGGTTTTATTGTGTTTCATTTAGACAGAACTGAAAATTGCTACTTTGTGCTGCGTTGTATTCTATTATACAAACCATGTACCACTGCCACAGTTCACTCAATACACTTTACAATCAAAACACATAATCAAATTTTCTCATTTTGCTTCAGTATATTACCACAGTGAATTTTAAATGAAACAAGTCACATGCAGGTAAAGTGCAGACGTTCAGGCTTAACGCAGTCAATTGAGCAAAAGAATTGACAAAACAGAAAAGAAAAAGAGAGGAACTAAATCATTTATAACATAACTCCTTCATTTCTGACATGGAAATATAATTGGCCAAAAGAAAAAAAAAATGAAATGTTTATTTATAATGTTTGATTGAAAACTCTTCAGCAGCAGACCATATTTTTCAGAATTTGTTCAGTTCCTTCTGTCCTGTGTCAAAAAAAAACCAGAGTTCCTGTGCCAGGGGCACCCATGCACAGACAAGCCACCATATTGACTCTGCAGTGTTTTTCAAATGATGCAGTTTGCTTCACTTTCATCCACTTAACTGATAATGACAACAAAGGAAATGCTGACATCTTCCCATGAACAATTATCCAATAGCTTTTGGTCTCTTTCAAACGAGGGTGGCATGTGTTCACAAGTTGAAATTTCTAAAAGCCTTCCTCTGGTTTGAATGTGGTTACATCCCCCCAAATGAAAGCTGTACCTTATTTCCTTTTGCAGTTCTGTCATATAACTAAAATTAGAATATGTTTCAGTAAGGAGATAAAAGAATAAAACTTATGCCAGTTATCAAATAACTGTAAATTTGAGGTGCATAGATTTGCAGAATTTTGTCAAATACACCCACTGAAACCTTACACTCTACAAACCTCCTCTATGCTTTCATTTTCAAATGGAGCGTGAAAAGGTCACTCAGCGTGACACCTGCGCAGGACGGTGTCATGTTGCAGTTGTTTCTGGAGTTTAATTCTGACCTCTGTGGTTCAGACTCTGTTTATTTGCTGCTTTGCATTCCCAGGATCCACATATCAGCTCACGAGCTAACAAGGCCCCACCGCAATTAACTGGAAAATTGGTCTGCAACCTTTACAGTCCAAAGTTACATTTTCACAATTGTCACAAATGTTACATGACCTTTGGGAAAGAGATGAATATCTTCTCTAGGAATTTTGTTGTCATTTGTGAAGACTCACTTTCTTCTTTCTATCTTTAGGTTTCAAAATAAAGAAAAACATGAAATTTGCACAAAAAAATCTTCTGTAGGATGTTGATATTTGTGGAAAACTATGTAAAAATTTCTTTAAAAAAATAAACAAAGCTTAACAATTACCTTCTGTTGTGTAAATTCACAGCAATTATTCAATGACAAAATAGGGACTAATACTAAACTCACGCATCTGTTATCAAATCTATATTTAAAAACATTAGTTATTTCTTTGTCATTTTAATGGTGGAAGGTCTAAAGAGCAACTGGCGACTAGGTGGCGTCACGTCCCAGAACCCCAGCTGAGCGAGGAAAGTGAGAAGGAGATTTAAGAAATATATTGCTAATGTCCTACTGCCTTTGAAGGCAGCATGACGCACCAGGTCAAAGAGGAGAGAAGTGGACGTACGCGCAGCCCGCCCCGCCCCCTTCCAGCCAGAGAAGCAACTGCTGTTTGCTCGCTCACTATTTGTTTGAGCTCGTGCAGCCCGCCGTCCTCGCTGTCGAAACTCAAATTCAGGTTTTAAGCGGCTTCCGTACGCTGCCTGTCTTCGTCTGCTTTCATTTTCGCTGCGTGGTCTTGGTTTGCGTGGTGCGGACGGAGACCGGAGGGCGTTTCTACTAATTCATTCACAAACGGCAACAATGGCAGCGCAGGACTTTAATTTCTTGCTCGCGACGGATTCGTACAAGGTGAGCGGATCTGTCCGGGGGGTTCTGTGCTTCGTGAATGTTTCCAGTCGGTGGGGAGCATTTAATCTGAGTGCGGCTGGTTGCGCTGCGCCCCACCGGCTCGGCGCTGCTGCTCCTGCTCTCTCTTTATCTCACCTCGCTGTGGTGACAGACGCGGTGAGCAGCAGATGGATGACTGCGAGGGCAAGAATCGAAAGTTAAGCCTGGTGTGAACCGCGAGTGCTGGAAATGGAAACTGCAACTGATCACCTGGAGCGGCAGCTTCTTCTGCTGAGACGCAACTTTGACATTTTTTGTCGTTCGATCAACTAAATCAGATTAAATACTAAAAGGTCAAAGGTGGCATGTGTTTTTTTGGTTTTGTTTGACACTGTTTTGTGAATGTTGGTGAGATTTTCAGAAGAGTTTTTGTGACTGTGAGCTTTGCTGGCCAAAATTGTGGGCGAAAACGGATTTAAAACAAATCTGCAGTGCAAAAGGGACTTATTGAGGCTGCTGTGAAGGATCAAAAGCAACACAAACAGAGGCGGACGCAGTCAAATACAACAGTCACCAATAAAGTGGATAGTGAATATCTGGTATTTCGTTATTTAATTAAAACGTATGCAAGAGCTGGACAACTTGACTTAAAAACATGTCACAATATCAACTTTATATTGATCATTATTGTTAAATATTTGAAATATCTGACGTACTGCCTGTTTTATACACAATTTCCTATTGAGCTGTTGATTCCATCCTTGGACGTTTGGGTTGTATGAAACCAAATTTCTTCATTATGCGCTCCTTTCAGTTGTTTACGGGAAGTGAAAACTGGTATACAAGTTCCTTTTCTGTTCAGAGATGTTTTCTTTTTCTTCTTTTGCTCAACAATTCTTTATTTATTTTTTTAAATTATGCTTTGTGAGGGAAATATCACAACAACCACATACTAAAGAACATTGACTCTGACAAAAAAGAACGCAATAGTCTGGTATTTACTTCTGGGTGCTGTGATTTTTATTTTTTTAAATTTTATTTTCCAAATAAAGCTGCTAGTGAGGACCGTATGTCTTCTGAACTACCGAAACTTTGTTGATAAGCAGATTCAAATGATTCTCCTTTTCCAAAAGCTCTCATTGCCCTGAGGGAGCTGGTCAAAACTGCAAAATTTCCTTTAGAAAATATAGAAAACTATCTTTGATGGATGATCAGCTCTTGGTGGTGAGAATGACAAAGCTATTTTCTACAGTCCCTTTCTTCTACCCAAAGGTCATATCGGGTCATCCAGATAAAAGGGAACATTTTCAGTTGATATAACGCTGTATGCTAGAAAACAACTTGGTATTGTAATCTTGCACCCTGAAAGCAGTGGGTTTGGCTCCATCCTCCAACATATCAAGTTGCCCCTGTGTAAGGCTCTTAACTTCAGATTTGCCTACTGCAGGGCAGTGTGTCTTGAGAATCAGGGTTGGGAAACATATCAACCTCACTCTTAGCGGACAGAACAATATGAAACTATAACATGGGATATGTAGTTTGTTTGTTTTTTAGTGAAACTTTAAAGCTGCCACAACACAAAAACACACAAAACACCAGATTGCACAAAAAGGGTCATTTAAGTTTACCTTTAAATGTGGCTGGTCCCTTGAACTTGTAAACAAAAGTAAATATTTGTTTTGCACACGCACCTAAGCACACTTCCACCACTGGGCAGGGGGCCACAAACCCAGAAAGCGTTGTCTTCCACCTAAAAATCTCATCCATAAAGAATTAATTTCAGATTCGTTCTGGCATGAACGCCGTCTTGGAGCGCAAATAAAAACCTCTGCAGTGCCAGCTATTAGTCCCCTTTGTTGCACCTGTGCAGTGTCACGCTGTGGAGCATTTAGTTTTTCTCACTAGTGACTCCTACTGTTCTGGAAAAGAACTGCAGTGAGAAGCAAAAATAGGGAATTTTTTAGTGCATCGTCTGATCACCATGAGTATGTGTTTTAATATTCCTTATAAAACCACATTGAAGTCTTATGGGCAAAATATATTGCTAATCCGTGTGCAATTCTTTTTGCACTGATCATAAGTCAGTAGTTTTACTGTGACAAGATGTGCTTAATTATTAGCTAGTGACTGCTTATGGATTATGTTAATTACTTATATTTCAACTCATAGTATTAAATTAGGAAATCACCTCTGCTTCTATGCCCTATTTTTATATCTAGTTGTAGTGAGGACTTGAGTTTTCTACAAATTTCACCTAAAAGACCAACTATTACTAATGTTTTGATCGTAACGTATATCTGCCTGAATACCCTGCTCTCACCAGCCTCCTGAACCTAAATTGACTCTTTGCTTTTTTCCTTTTCCAGATCACACACTACAAACAGTATCCTCCAAATGTCAGCAAAATTTACTCCTACTTTGAATGCAGGCAGAAGAAGGGCTCTCAGTTCAATGAGGTGGTGTTCTTCGGTCTGCAGTATTTGCTGAAGAAGTACCTCACAGGTGTGTTTTCCCATCAAGACAACAACTATGAACAACAGTTTAACTGCAAATAATATTTTAGAAAAGCACCAATCCAGTATTGAACATTCAGACACACATAATGCGTCACCATAAATGTTCCGTAAAAATTTGGAGGCAACATTTGCCGTATGTCAAAATGATGCTAATAAGGCAGCAATGTTCACTGAATTGTAAGGTTCTCCTGTTTTCCCCCATTTCCTAGTGGAAATATTCCACACTTAACAAATTAGAAAATGTACTTGACAATGACACTTGGCAAAGAACTAATTCATTTGAAAGTATTAGACTTCCAGGACAAATGTGATGATAAAAGAAGAATCACACTTTCTTCCTCCATCCGCATGTGCATAAATGGTGTAAATGTAAATTGCACAGAGCTTTAACACTCACATCTTTCCTCCGCCTGTCAGTAAATAGTTACTGTTCTCCTTTCACCAGTAAATCTTGGTAAATACATGAGAACAGAAATAAGACTAAAACAGCAAAAAATTACTCCAAGTTGTTTTTCCATGAAAAATTGCTTTTTTTTAAGTACCCAGAGAAACCGTTAATAGCATAGAAATGCCTGCCACAGTTTTGTATTTTTTTTTGGCTTCATTCATATTGACTTTGATCGACTCATAGGGGTTTGACAGCTTTGCTAACACTTGGTGCTGTTTGCAGGCCCAGTTGTGACCGAGGACAAGATTCAGGAGGCCAAGCTGTTCTACCAGATGCATTTCAAACAGGCTGTGTTTGATGAAGAGGGCTGGAGAAAAGTCCTAGAGGTATGCACAGACGGGTTCAACTACACCTGTGTTTCAATCATTTTACTATGTGAAAGATGTTCAAAGGAAAAGTTGTTTTTTTTTCCTCTGTCAGAAACACAATGGTCGTCTTCCTATTCGCATCAAAGCAGTTCCAGAGGGGAAGGTCGTACCAAGAGGCAACGTTCTGTTCACTGTGGAAAATACAGATCAGGATTTCTACTGGCTCACCAACTACATTGAGGTAAATTTGAAAAAAAAAAAAAATAAATAACTTGAAGCGTTTGTTTTTGTTGAAATATGTCAAATTAATATATAGTAGCAAAACCTGCTTGCACAGACTGAAACTTTAAAAACCCTTGAGTGTCCAGAGAGACCCCTGAAAAGAAAAGCGAATAACAGTACCTTGATTCTGACTCTGAGAGGCGCTAGTTGGTATAAATGTCTCTGAGGTGAACAATTCTAGAAAAGGAAGGCTGGTTCTGTTGGAGATGATGATGTAAAGAAGGATTTTCCATAAAATTGTGGACAGTCCTCATTATTCTCTTCATGACTGTCATAGAAAAGCAGAGTCTTCAGTCAGACGCTTCCTCACATTCGCTGTTATACAGACTGCTACAGGAGATCCTTCCTGTCCACAGCATCTAGAGTAACTCTGACAAATTTTAACTTGATAGGAGTTCCAACATTTGAATTTGAATTGTGCTTTCAGTCAATTGTGACTTATACTGGGATATTTGGTATCTGACTTCATAATAATTTATATGTAGGATTAAGAATAAATAACAAGGAAATAATTTCAGGCTTCCACTCAAGACGCAGGATTTTTGTTCTAAAAAAAACCACGTTGCATCATGTTTTTTTCTTATTTAGAAATGTCAAATTTGAAGCTTTGAAAAACCTATTGATGCAATGTCATCGTAACGCCAAGAACTGGGAATTGATTTTTTTGTAATGTGATCTTTACGTCATGTCAGCTAATGGTGGAACTGTGGCCAGTAAAACCCAGCCCCTCTTACAACACTTGGCCTTCATGCAGAGGGCCTGGGCTTTCTGCTCTCCAGAAATGTTTTCTTCCTGGAGATATGGAGCGTGTTGAGGTTATTACTCAGTGTTTGCCCGTGACGTACTCAATGCACCAGTTCTCTGCTGCGATTCTTACGGGAAACCATCCTCCACTGCGAACAGAGAAGAGCTGAGCTGCACGAGGTGCTCGCTCATGTCAATTCAATATTTAGTAGTGTGACCAACATTGACAGAAAGGCTTCCTTCACTTCCTCTGCTACAGACGAGCTACAATTCTAAAGCAGCAGAAAATCAACATCATAGATTACATCATCTTCTGTTTGCCGATTGGCCTGGTAGAAAATCAACCGGCAGGAATCAGAGTGAAGGGGAGAAAACTAAGACTGTGCTGGCAGCGAGATTTTATTTTAGGGGAATTGGACAGGAAGGCCAAAGCCGGGCTACAGCAGTGCTTCAAATCAAGAAGAGGTAATCAGCTTAAACTCTGAGAACAACTAGCAGATCTCACCTTTAGGAACTGTTTTAATTGTCCGCCCTAATTTGTTCATTACCATGTTCGACGTACATTTGGACTTAACGTCTTTAAATTTCTGCTTCAACTTACGGTCACGTTTAAGCATTTCACCTGCCACAGAACCTTTTGCATCCAGAATAAAAGGCTGGTGGCTCATTTAAAAGCTCATTGAAAACAACATCAGACTCTGTTGGGGCTCTCCCTGACCCTTGTCGTTTTTGTTTTTTTTAATCTGCTTCTTTTTGGGCCATAGACCATGCTGGTGCAGATGTGGTATCCCATCACAGTAGCTACCGTATCCAGAGAGTTTAAGAAGATTCTGGCCAAACACCTGAAGGCTACTTCAGGGAGCCTGGAGGGCCTGGAGCTGAAGCTGCACGACTTCGGCTACAGAGGCGTCTCATCCCAGGAGGTCAGGAGACTCACTGCCTCTCTTCACCATATGTGTCTCATATGCTGGTTCTACATTATATATTTTTTTATTCTTCAAGGCATCTTTATTTAGAAAGTATGACACACAATATAATAATAATAAATGATATCAAAATTATTATTACTTAAGTTAAAATAGAGTTTGACAAATATCATTAATAAAAATGTTTCTAAACCTGGACAAAATTTTTATGTCAAACTGAAAAGAAGTCACTATATGTGATCCTTTTGCCAGGTTTATAGAGTGAAATTAATTTTTTGCTTTTTTGTAATTGTTTTTGCAATAAAACCTTTGTAAATATTTTTGGAGTCCCAGGCAAAAATCTGATTATCTGATGTTTTGTTTCTGCATGGAAAAGAAATGTTAAGGATTTTAAACTTTTCCCACTTTTTCATTTAAACACTATTATTTCACTCTGAGCTAAATAAAACCTTTTGAAAGTGTGTGCATGACAGAATTAAAACATGGATAAATACATCGGTCGTTTGTAGTAATCTCACTGAAGGGTCTGTGGCGAAGGTTGTTGCAGATAAACTTTCTAAATAAACTTGTAGAACATTTTCTTTTCCGTGAATCTTTTTCATTGTTTGTATTTTTAATTTGTAGTCTGCAGCATTGGGTGGAGCCGCTCACCTGGTTAATTTCTGTGGTACAGACACGATAGCCGGAGTATTGATGGCTCAGCGGTATTACGGCTGTCCGATGGCTGGCTTCTCCATTCCAGCGGCTGAACACAGGTAATCTAAACATTGTGGACAAGTGGAATAATGACATGCATCAAGAATAGAGAAGGCCCTCAATGCTGGTTTCCAACCAGTGTATTAAAACGTGAACACAGTTTCCTTTTCAGGTGCAAAGGTCACTTCTGTTTCTTGCCCCTCCATGACGTATTTCATCTCTTCCTTCCTTTTTGCGTCCTGTGTAGTACGATCATATCCTGGGGGAAGAACAAGGAGAAGGAGGCCTTTGAGAGGATCCTCGACCAGTTTCTGTCGGGACCGGTGTCGGTGGTCAGTGACAGTTACGACATCTTCAATGCCTGCAAACACATCTGGGGAGATAAGCTAAAGGAACGCGTGATGGAGCGCAGTGAGGACTCCTGTCTGGTGATCAGGCCTGATTCTGGAGACCCAGCAGAGACTCTAATTGAGGTAAATAACAGATCAAGTGTCTGGCTTCATTTTTAAAAACCTTCTGCTGCAGTAAAACTGTAAGACTGCCACGCTGCTTGAGTATTAACCAACATGCAGCAGTGTTGATTGCACCATCGTTCCAGATCCTAAACCCTTTCGGACCACAGTAGCTCAGCACAGTACAGAGTTCAATCTCCAGCTGCTAAAGCCAGATTGTGTTTAGGGAAAGCTACGAACTGCATCCTGAGTGCAATATGACGTTCTCAGTTCACCATGTGACTTGTATTTGTTTTCATTATCAATCAAAATGCCACCAAGAAATCTGAAATTAAATATTTGTATAAAATGCTTTTCAAACGACACATAATCTCAAGCCAGGGCAAAGGACTCTTCCAAATGAGCACCAAATTAGTCTGAGTGGCTCCAGGAGACCTATGTTTTAGAGAAGCCATTACAAAGCCCTGTCTCAGTCCCATAGAAAGCTTGTTTAGAACTGAAAATGTGTTTTAGAGCAAACCAGAAATGGGCCTCAATTCAGCAAGATGTTATGAGAGACTTGTAGGAGTATGAACATAAAACTTAAAAAAAAACAAAACACACAGCTTAAATGCAATTATAAAAAGTGTAGAATGTATGTGAACTTCTGGGGGAAATGGGGAAGATATATGAATATCTGTTTTTTGTTTTTTAATTTAGCTGTTAACTTTTGCACAGTAGTTTTCTATAAAAACCTAAAGATTATTGTCTGAAAGTCATGTTACAGTAGATTCAGACTGTTACTGCATCACCAAAGCATGTTGATCGCTTATTTAAATCTGCTTTAGTTGACTTGAGATTATATGACACATTTTCTTCTAAAAGTGAATGATTTCACCTTTAGGTCATCAAGATTTTAGGAGAGTGTTTTGGCTACAGTCTGAACTCAATGGGATACAATGTTCTTCCATCTTACCTGCGGATCATCCAAGGGGATGGCATTGACCTCAGCTCGGTAGATCAGGTAAGAGAAACCTGAAGATTGGAAAGGTTACATAATACCTGCATAATAACTGAAGCACTGTGCCATTTCAAGGTATCTTAATCCCAAATTGTCCTTTTAAAGAAGAATGTTTGTTACAAATAAGACAGGATTTCCAATGTTGGCAAAGCCTGTAAATACTTCTTTATTACGATAAAACACAGGCTTCAAAACACAAACTACTTCAAGGTGAGGTTGAGGGGTCTTATGGGCGCCTCCGTGTTCGAAAGGACCGATGTGACGAAGTGAGAGTCGGACATCCATCCACCTCTGTTACGCTCCTGACTCCCAAAGTGAGGAAATGACAGGCCTGAGCCAGCTGACTTGTACAGGGGCGAGCCAGTGGGAGTACCACCAGCCTGTAGCAGAATTTAAAAGCATAAAAAGACTCAAATCATCTTCAAGGAGAAGAGTAAGGAAGTGAGATGTAGAGTTCAAATTTGAAGCATTTGCTCAACCAACAATGGGATCTCACACTGGTTTAACCTGCCAGGACTGTTTTGAAAAGATTGGTACAGTGAGACCTTATTAGTCAGTCAGGATTATGGCCACTGAAACAAAAGAGAATTCTGACTTTTTGTGAAGTGCACTGAGACAATATTTGATGTGAATTGGCACTATATAAACAATGTGAACAATGACAAGCTTAGCATCAGAAATGTGCCTTTAGCTTCAGACAAAATTATTATTGTTTATAATTTTGGTTTTGACCCTTTTTTTTTATTCTCCTGATTTCTCTAGATTCTTGCTAAACTGAGTGATGAAGGCTGGAGTGCTGAGAATGTTCTTTTTGGCTGTGGCAGCTCCTTGCTTCAGAAGCTAAACAGAGACACACTGAGCTGTGCATTCAAGTGCAGCTATGTAGAGACCAATGGCAAAGGGGTAAGTGCTACAGCTTAGGCCAGACACTCAACCATTCTAGATTTCAGAGCACACATTACAATTTTTTGATCCTCTCCTGCCACCTGTACTGCCATTGCTATGTAAAACGTCATGCTAGGAAAGAGTTTGAAGCACAGCCATTAAAATAGCCACAACTGCAAAGTAGTCTTTTAGATTAATTGTATTGAGTCCCATTGAAACTGTTCTTTGTGAGTTTTCAAATAGTAAAAAGTACAGACTGTCAAGTAGGAGATTCTTTGGGTGCATTCACTCCAGCCATGATTAGTATTCTTTAATTACACTCTAGTTCATTTCCCTAGAACTAAAGTTTGTTTGGAGAGGTGTGAATGCGTAATCAAACTTTGACCTGAACCAAAAAGGTGAACTCTGGTCCTTCTAGGTCAACCGAACCTTGGTTTTTCAGATCCGGGTTCGGTTGACCTAGGCCAAGTGATCTCTGGTGCGGTTTGAATGCACATGCGAACGCCAATGTGCATTTGAACCAGAGACCGCTTCAAAAGCAGGAAGTGGATTACAGCGCTGGGCATTCTGGGTAGATGCAACTGAAACAAATCGGTGAATCGAGCACGAGTGCAAGAAGTGGTTCTCAGTCTTTGATTGAAGACAGAAGAGAAATCATCCAACCACCAAATCTGACACCTCTCCATCTTTGTTGACATTTTGTGAAGAAAGAAGTTGTGCTCAGTGTCTTCTTCGGAGGTTTTAGTGTTGTTTTTTTGACTGGTTTGCCCCCATGGGCAAAGAGAGGGAACAGTTTTTATTTAATGCATCTGGATCATGAGACACAGAGAATTGCAGCAGCTCAAAATGTAACAAATGTTGTGATCTTGGTCCAATCAAACCAAGTCTACTGAACTATGGTGTGAAAACACACTTAGGCTGTTGGGTGTATTGCTCTCAATCCCACTGCAAGAGCTTCACTCCATTCAAGTCCTCTTTCTTTTTTTAACCACTTCGTCTTTTGAAGGACAGACTTTACCGGCTTTTATAACAGTGGATCTGAAAAACTCATGAACTCTCAGGATTGTCAATTATGATATTCATTTTGTGAAGCATTTTCTTCTGTCATCAGCATGATTACCTCAAGCGGGTCCAGAGCAGTCTTCAGAACAGAGCCGGGCTTTTATAGCAACTTGTCTGTGTCGCTGGCTCTCATACTGCTGCTCTAGTGGTAGGTGACAGAAGGACTTGAGCTTTCTCGTGAATAACCAAGTTTTTCTACTCCTCCTCCACTTCCTGTCCCACGATGGAAACCGCAGTTGACTTTTTCCTTCTTGTCCAGCTCTGATGAACCCGACAGCTGCAGAGTCATCTGAGTATTTCTGCAGACGTGACCAGACTAACTTACGCTGGAGGCCTGAAGGGCACTGAGTGCAAAGGAATGCTAATATTACAGCCTGCTTTGGCTGTTTGGTCTGTTTGTCAGGTTGTCCGCTGCTCTGGAGCCTCTGACAGCAGTCAGGATGAATTGTGTTAAATGCAGCCTGACTCGTTTAAGACAAGGCTTGACCAAGCAGGCAGGACAGTGGTGCCTGCTTTGTTCAGATGGGCATGGGTCTGTTGTCGCAGGTGTATGATGGTGTTTAACCATCATACACCTGCATTGTGTAATAATGCCGCAATATTGTGTAATAATGCCGGAATATGTAATAACATTGGTATAATTGCGCTTCAGAATATAATAAAACATCAGCAAGGCCACATTTTATAGCACTTGACACAAAATGTAATAAAATCCTTAGACGTATTCTTCAATACATTCTGCCAACTATGTAATTACGCTGTTATTACATATAATAACAGCGACAGATTATTACAAAATGCAGAGGTGGCTCTTTATTTTTTTTTTAAAACTTAATAATGTGGCACATTAAACAGGACTAAGTTTCCCTCTTTTCCACTGGAAGCCGACATGCTGCTCTATGACCTGGTGTGTGTTGTAGATGGATGTGTGCAAGCAGCCAGTGACCGACCCGTCCAAGGGGTCGAAGCGGGGCCGGTTATCGCTGAGGAGAAACTCGGACGGCTTCCTCGAGACAATAGAGAGAGGAGCAGGCAAACCCGAGGAGGTCTTTCACAAACTTTTTTTTTTCTAATCACATTTGAAGTCACTTAATTAAACTTAAAATAGCAATTACAATTTAACTTCTTGATTTTTTTCTTTTTCTTTGTTTCTGTGTTTCTTTTGATAAAACATTTTGTTTACCTCATTCACAGCCTGGCCAAATATGATGGAATAGTTGTTTTTGTGTGTTTTGTCTAGTTTTACAGTGACAACACTAAATTAAATTATACGTATAATTAAAACAGTTCTGTTTACTAACACCTTTGGAGTTTGGTGATGAGATTCATATCTTTGATTTTGGAAGACCTGCATGTTGTCTCCCATCAATTTAGCTCCATCCACAGATTTTGGGCCACTTCACAATATTATTGTTGCCTCCAGTCAGAAGAAAAATGCTGGTAATATTGAAAGATAACTTTAAACCCAGTGTTATAAATAACATTGAGCTTAAATGTACAAGTTAACACAATGTTGGGTACAATAATTTCGGTCAAAAAGTTGTTTTTCTAAGGAACCTGGTTGATTGCATCAAGCTCTTGGATTTGCAGAAATTCCTCGCCCTGAACAGTCATGTAATTTGATTTCACAATCTGAAAGGTTCTGTTGACAAGCTAATCACAAACGTATGACGTGACACTTTCAGATCACCCACGGCAACCAACTTTGATGTCAGATGCAACCCTGATTTAATAAAGTTAATTAAGCAATTAGGAACGTCCTCCAGATATTACATGGTGGAAAAAAAACATCACCTGAACTCTTTAAAATGAGTGATCTGACTTACTCTATCACTGAACTTTTGCTGCCTGATGATGTGAGTCTCTCTCCTAGACCCTGCAGTTGAAAGAACCATATATGCAACTAACTCACATGTTTGCCAGATTTTAATTGCTTTGACATTCCTGCTGGCTCAGCACTAATCTGCTTATCGGTGTTTCTCCCATAGATTGAGACACTTCTATAATCAACTCTTTTTTTCATGAAAATTGAAATCACTCCTGGACTTCTATTTTGTTTAATTTTTGTCAGTCTTTTTGTGTCGGTTCTGTCTTCACAAACCCCTTGGATCTGCTGCAGGATTCTTCCTGTTAAAGGGAAGTCAGGCATCTTAATTGAAAAAAATTTTTCGCATCAATTTTTGATGTAAAATTCTTTTTGCATCATGAACAAATTGATGTCAAAAGCCCAAGATTCCAAATAAGCTCCCTCTAAAAGCTTTGGGTTGACAACATTTACCCACTTTTTCCACATTGCTGTACTTCAAACCTCTCTGACTGCATTGCATTGTAATGATAAAATACAACAATGAGGTCGGAGGTTCAGTTCCCCCAGGTAAGGGGCGTGACCGCTGATTGATCAGTTGCTGACAATCCCACCGGAGGGATTTATAGGTGGCTTCATGTGAGTTAATAGCACACAGCTACCAATAGATCCATTCTCTAGCATCCAGAATCTGTAAGAGTGCTGAAACTGGAATGTGTGTGTTGCCGCATTTACAGTCACGTCTTCTCCTGTTTGACTGGATACGTGGTGCACTTGTGAGTAACATGTCCTCTGTGCTCTTCAGGACCTCCTGGTGACAGTTTTTGAGAATGGCAGCCTGCTGCAGGACTACTCTCTGGACGAGATCAGGAAAAACGCTCTGCTTCAGGACGACGAGACAAACCCAAACCTGTACAACCACGAACAGGAGCTGCTTCACAACCACATCATCAGCAGCATCCATTAGAACACCCGGACAACTCGTAGGACTCACGGTACTCTGGGCACAACGGGGAGTGGAAGCACATAGACTAGCAACTTTTTTAAAGCACCAACTACCAACTACATGATGAAACTCTTGATTAGTCACTGCCAAGAGCCACCAACAACCCACCTCTGCAACCTTCAAATCGGAGAGCCACATCATGGCTCTCTGAGTGTTCACATGTTCACGTCCATCTGCTTCCCTCACTCCCATAATTCTTGCACAATCACCTGGTGTTCCATTATGCTGCAGCGGTGAACACAGCAGCGTTTTCTTGACACTAAACGTGACCAACTAAAGCTCAGGTTCAGGTATAAGCTAAGTTACTCATTTCCAAAAATGTCTTGTGCTCCTATTGAGTTCCACATCAGAGACAATAAACAATATATCAGCTGCACACAGGAAACATTTGCACTTGTTGTGCATCAGCCGATGTTCCAGTGAAGTTCGGTCCCGTCGCTCTCTGATGGACGTTTAGAGAGCAGGAAATTTATGAACGACAAAGAGCCATAAAAAATTTAAATATCTGCCCTTTCCTACTGCAGTGTTACAGTATTGTGTTGTAATATTTCCATATATTCATCAATCTTTGAAAGCAAACGCATCCTGTCACAATTCAACACCGGAATATAAATGTGATTCTTAAAGCTGCTTTTTACCTCAACGTGCATCTCGTTTTGCCAACTTCCACATTTTGTGAACTTCAGTCTGTTTATTTTGGCGTTCACGTGAAGTAAGAAGGTACTGAGTATTTTTTTAAGAGCAGAAAATAACTATGAAATACTACAAACAGTTGGATCATAACAGCAATTTATGTTCATACCATTAGGTAGGCATGTACTTTGTAATGTTGCTCTGTCCAGAATCCCAAAGTATAATTATTCTTATTATTCCATAACATTTAAATTGTCATAAGAATGCAACATGTTTTTTTTTTCTTCTTTTTTTTATGTGGAGTGAAATATTTTTGAAATGACATCCATTTCAGTCGTTTTCAGACAGCAGTGTTGTCTTCAGTCAGGCCCTCTTACCACCTGCTGGCTCTTAAAGGAACAGCGCTTTGCTGCGAAGAAACCCATTGCAATTATGACGTTTTGTACCAAAAAGTACTGTGTACTCAGCAGCTTATCAAGAGGGAAACTGAACTCTGTGTAAGAACAATAACACAGCTACTTCTGTCACAGCCTTATTAATACATACTTAACATTGAGCTTAATTAGAAAGCCATGCTACTGTAAGCTGTTTAGATTAGAAACATGTTTTTATTGACAAACTGGGATGTTACAAAGTGCTTTTAATAATCTTGCACAGCTCAATATCATGGCTGTACTTTTTAATTGTATAAAATTATATTTATTTGACAGTATTTTTGAAAATAAGTAGCGTCTGGTTTTCTGATTAAAAATGTCTGATTCACATCCATACAACAAACTTGTGTTAAACATCTGGCTTCCTGTTTTCTCATCCTATAATGTTGTCAGTTTGTCATTGATTGTACATTCTGATTCCATGTTCAATAGAACTGCAATAGTTTTGATTACCAGTATGTGATGTTTTTTTTTTTAGGTCAGTGTTTTATTTGGGCATTTAAATCTTTAACTCAAAGTTGATTGGAAACTTTAGTTTTTTTTCTTGAAACCCCTTCCTGTTTGCTGCGTTGATCTGAGAAAAACAGTCAGTTTGTTTTACTACATACTGCTTGAAAAGATTAATTTAATATTAAACATCAATTACTGGCTGAAATGTAAGTTTGCATGTGGCATCCACAAAACATATTTAGCTTACTGATTGATGTATTGATATAAACATAAGCTAACTTTTGGTCAATAAGCTCTTTTTTTGATTTATTTACCCAGAATGGCTTTTAGAAACCGCTGCCAAAGATGTTTTATTATTATCATTATTATTATCATTATTATTATCATTATCATTATATATATAATAAATATAACTACAGCTCAAAACATTTTTCAAAAATGATTTTCAAACCCCTGCATCAACATGTCAGCTGTTTTAGCAGATTCAAAACTCTTAAAAATGTTATGGTCTGAACTCCTGAGCTGTCCAGGGTGTCCTCTGCCTCTCAACCTTTGACCCCTGGAGACAGGCATCACCCTCCCCATGATCCTGCAAGCCTGAAGTAGGTAGAGGAAGAAAAATCTCCAAACTTTTCACATATTTCCATAGTTTAATTATGAAATGCATACACTAGGTTTTAAGAACAGGCATTGGTATATGACTTCGGTGTATTCACATTGCAAAACTCTGAGTTTGAAGTTAAATATTACAGAAATATTAGGCAACTGGGTCTCCCTTTGATTTTGTTCAGTTGCCTTCTTTACAGGAACTTTAGATTTTCATAGCTTTTCATTTTATTGTCCATCTTTTTAACAGTCATTTAAGTTTGAGACTGATTGTTGACCTGCTGTTCTGCAAGGAAATGCTTCGTTAAAGAAATTGTTTTGGAGAAAAACTTTAAGAAGATTTCAAAGATAAATGCTACTCACAGAAAGTTCTGGAAAGATTTAAGTAAGGTAGGACAATTTCTTTTTTTTCTCCAACTTCCTCAAAATTCATCCATCCATTCATAAAACCCGCCTGTCCTTGCAGGTGATGGGATGGAACAGGTTACCAGGAGCAACAATGACTATAAACATGTTGGTTGGTGAATACACTGAAGACTTTCTTTTCTCTTCACATTGTTTCATTATGTGGATGTAATTTTGTGTTTCATGTTTGTCTCCAAAGGTGACCACCTTTTTATTTATTTATTTTTGGTAAGAATGAACCGTCCCTTCCAGCCTGAGTGTGGATTTTCTGCCTCAGCAGGAATCCTGCCTCCTGGCAGGATTACAGATGTAGAAGCTGTTATCACAGCGGGTTTTTCCCAGAAGTAGTTCTATCCACAGGTGAGCTCAGACAAGGCATCAGACAACATGTAGCTGTACTTAATAAGAGTGTCGTGTGGTCCTTTAGCACTGCAGCAATATGAATAATTTAAAAAAAAACACCTGAAGCTTTTAATAATGTCTTCCTACATTATGATTGAGGGCACTAACATGAAAGGCTCAAAAAGAAATTAGAATCCAAACGTAGAACTCTTCAGCAATTTTTTTAAAACTTATTTTATTAACTGATGAATAATAAATAGCACAAATTATTTTTTTAACAGAATATGAACCAGTAGAAGGCAACATTTTGCCACTTGAGGAGTTCTGTGTAGAATGTGTAAATAGAAAAAGAAGGGTTTTTTGTTTTTTTTACAGTTTTATTCTTTATTATTGCTCTGTATTGTTTTTTCTGTAAATCACCTTTTTAAGTCTGCATGCTCCTGTTAACATTAATCAATTACTAAATTATTTGATGATTATTTCAATAATCGAGGCATAGAACATTGAAAAGTAGACAATGATTTAAAAAAAGGGCTGTTTTTGTTGTCCACACTTGAAGTAGGGAGAGTGGCCAACAGGGGGCACTATGTATCCTTTCCTTTCACTCCCTAATAGTTCTGATAGACTTCAGCAGTTGGATAAAATGGCAGGTTTGTGCAATATAACCTAATCCAATCAACTGAAAGCGCCTTGGATAAGTAATGATGAGCAGTGGAAACTCCTGCCACACAGTTCAGTTCTAATCCCACGAACAAGCTCGAGTTGGAGCTGAGACTCACAGTGCCTCACTGCTCCTCCTGCTGTTCCTCCTCCTCTCCTTTTCCTCCTGTGGAAGTCTGAATGATGGGGCTGAAGCCTCCGAATCGCTATCTGCTGCTCCTGCTCTGCTTCAACTCTCTCTGTTGTTCAGCCATCGAATCGGGTAAGACTTCTGATCCCTGTCAAAAGCGAAGAGGTGATTGATTAGCTGAGCAGCATAGAGAGTTGTGTTGACAGAGGGGAGTCAGTGAAGCTCAATCTGCTGTTTATGTTGCCTGTTTTTCTGTTTTTTTTTTTTTAAGCAAAACAATAGATGCCTGACATGACACAGGCAGGTTACTCGTTAGTCCTTGACGTCTAGCCTGTGTATAAATGAAGAAGGATCAAACTAAATCCACAAAAAACTACAGTAGATAAATAAATGTTGTCAGTAGTTAAATTACACAGTGAGACATACATTTCTATATCATTTTAATTAGTTTTATTTAATCATTTTTGTAATAATTACCCTACCAATTTATTTCAGCTGTATTAATTGCTTGTTTTTATGTATTTATGTATTTGAATATTTACTGTTTATTCTTTCTTTGCTTTTTTTAAAACCATATTTGTTTCTTTAGTGCTATTTAGTTCTGTCCTTTTTACATTTCTGTATGCATTTCTGCCTCGTTATGCAAATGAGGAGGGCCGTTGTCTTCAGACTTCAGGTTCTGCCTATTGGTTAGCCAGCATGAGACTCCATTAGTGCCAGTCAATGTGCGACCAGCTGCAGTCATAACAAAAATGATGAGCCTATATTTTTCATCAGCTTGAGGAAGTCAGCCTCCGATTGCAGCTTCCGGTTCGAGAAACGTTTTTAATGGCGATTCCACTTAATTTTCATCACCCTGAACTAATAATAGTGAAAGATCAGTGGCTATTCTATTGGCATCAACAATGTGCATTATTGCACTTTCACTTATTAATCCCTGTTTTCTTTTTTATGAACATTATGTTCTATACATTTGACTGTGCTTAACTACTTCTGTTAAATTTAACCAACTGTGCTAAGTCATCTACCAAAACATTCTGCTGGACATTTGTGCTATATCTCTTTGTACTTTTTGAAATATTTCAGGTTTTATTCAAATTTCTGCTTCTGCTGAATTATGCTGTAACTTTTGCTATATTTTACTACTGTAAAATTGAGCAAAAGCTATATAGCAAAATATAGCAAACCGTTTTTAAAAGTTACAACTTTTTTAAAAGTAGTTTTTTTTTATAATAGATGTTTATTATTAAATATTATGTAATCATAATGTTTAATAATTAACGCTAAGTGTTGACACGTTTTGCTCAGGATATCACCTTGTTGTCTGTGGTTATGAAACTGCAGGATGTTCCTTGTATAATATATTCTGAATCATTTTGAGGTAATAACGAAAACGATGAGATTCGTCTTACTTCTTTTGTTAAAAGAGCCAACTTTTGCATCTCCATAACCTGCAAACTGAACCTTGGTGCCACTGAAACACAAGAAAAACAAAACTAAAAATAAGTCGCATTGAGAAAAATGGCTAACCCTGGGAGACCAGAACTTGATGAACTTTGCCTCATCTGGCAGATCAAGAATCAAATTCTGAAATTTGAGAAGATAAAACTTACAGTAGGAGAGTATCTGGACAGTCAGGTAGTTTGATTGGTCAGATTGTTGTTTTGCTTGACAGCTTCAGGAGTATGATGTCATGTTGACGACCGTTGCTGTCTCTAAACCTCACGTTGAGTGATTGGATACCTCTTCTGTGAAGCATGTTTAGGATGCTTCACAGAAGCATCCTAAACTAGAAAGACACAATTATTAAAGAAACAATCAGTTATTGGTGATTTTTCAGTAAAACTTTTCCTCACTCACCATGATAGATCTGAGATCCAGCAGTGAGCTGCAGTCAAAACCCACTGATCACTAGTCAAAGATCATCCACAGATTTCATATTTTGTACGAATGTATCTATAGACCTTCATGTGATACTGCTGTTCATCATATTTATTGTTCTGACCTCCAATAATCCTCTTCTGCAGAGATACTGAGCTCACTGCAACACCTGGAGAAAAAAACTGCTGTTATTTGCAAATTAAATCCACACAGTAGAAATAAGGAACCAACATGACAGCTTTATAATAAAAATATAAGTAAAGAACAGATCAAGATCATCTATAGCACTGAGAGCCAGTGGAAGTGTGTCCAGTGTGTCCAACTCACCCAGCCCGAGCAGCAGCAGAACCTTCAGCAGAGCCATTGCTGGTCCATCTTCCTGTGAAGGTCTGCAGTCCTGCAGCAGCTTTTAAACTCTGTTCAGCTTCACAGCTTCTTGCTGGGCAATCACACCAGTCACGGGACAGACTGAGTTTCTAGTTTGGTATAAGGTGAAGCTTATGTGCTAACAAAAATCCCGTTAAGGACAAACACGGCATATATATGTAAAAAAAAAAAAAAAGAAAATCGCTAATTCTCCATTGTGAAAAATAAATCGACTAACTAAAATGTCCTCAAAAGAAACAATGAATCTTATGACTTTATAGACTAAAAATGTTCCAAGAAATTTATAAGGAACACTGTGTTATGGACAAAAGGACTTTGTCTTTTCTTTATCTGTTTTGTTTGTTTTATCTGCTCACATGCACATGACTGCACATGTTTCTGTTTTTCTTTATTATTGTTTCTTTTTTTTCAGTGTGTTTCTCTCTTGAGCTCTTTTTCTATCTGTCAGCATTCTACTACTCTACCTTTCTGCAGATGCATTTTGGTTTTACTGTCTACAAAGATGTTTTGCACACTACTTAATTTTAGCAATTCATATATCAACATATTCTGCTTCTGCTGCATTATGCTATATATTTTGCAAAATTTTGCTATTGTACTTTTTCAAATATTTTACTATTGTACACATTTCTCCTTCAGCTAAATTATGCTATATCTTTTGCTAAATTTTCCTATTGTACTTTTTCAAATATTTCAAGTTTTATATAAATTTCTGCTTCTGCTGAATTATGCTACATTGTTAAATTTACCACATTGCAAAAGATTTCTACTATGTATAACTGCAGCTATCTTCTGCTTTTTTCCTACTTCTAATGCTTTGTTCTGCTTTTTCTTGCAAATGCTGCAGCAATCATTCTGCAGATTTGCAGTCTCACTCCAGTTTCAGGAATTTTTTCAGTTTCTTTGGAATTATTTCCAACTCTTCTTAAGAATCAACTTTTTTTAAGTGACTTTGTAACGTCATTGAATTAACATATTATTAATTGAAAAAATAATAATATGTTAATTATTGGCATAATTATGAATGTAATATTATATTAATAATATATATATATATTTTTAAAAAAACGTATTATTGAACCATAATATATTGTTAAATATTGATCATTTCAGCCTTAATTTATTTTGCAAGAAAAATTCCCTGAGAATTAAAATTGTAATTCTATCCAGACAGTTGGGGAACACTCGTGATGATAGATGGGAAAGAAGGTTTGAACTTCCTTGTTCTCTCTCCTCTTTGGTCCTCAACTTCCTTTCCTGCTCCTCTGGGCAGGAAATTATTTGAGCTTTTGAGATACCACAATAACAACTTGAGAGGAGCAACCAGTTAACATGCAAAGCCAAAGTGAGAAGTAAGGTTGGGTGATGTGCAACCAATATTCAGTCCAACAAATGACGATGGGTGATATATTAGCATAGGAGGCATATTTGGACGCACAACTTTGCCACTGATGTCACACCAATGACACAAAATTGAAAAACGACAGAAGGTTTCTAATTTACTCAGAGAGTAGTGGGCAGGATTGTGGGTTCAAAATATAATTTTGGTAAAGTTTCTAGCCCATTTCATAACATAAGTTGGATACATGACTATTGTACCTGTAAAAACTAAATTAGTCTAGTGTTTTGTGGGGAGAGGGGTTACACACAAAGTATGAGATGAGTCACCAATAAGAAAGCTTTTCCCAACTCATAGTGCTGCCCTTTTCCTCTCAGTAATGTTCTATTGACATCAGCACTTCGGTGAGTCAACAGAGTACTATACGGTTTTTGTAAGCCCACACCACCTTTGATGTTTCGTATTTGTTTTTAGCCATTTCCCATCAACAGGGGCTCCTGTCTCTAGCCATTGGGACATTCCTAGAGGTCGGTCCAGGAATATTTAGTTATTGCCAAGGGAAACGGAGCTAATAAACCCTGTGGTGGTCATAAATTTCTTCATTATTTGGCCTGTGGCCCAGAGCCAGTAGCTGGTAGACCAGTGACTGGATGTGGGGCTGGAGGAGCTGGATTTCACCACCGTCTGTTCTGTTTTTGCTTAAAGATGAGCGTTGAGTTGCTCCTCAAATTGTCTCCAGTCTGATCACTTTGCTTATTTATTTGGACAACCAGTGTGATCATCTGTAACATTATTGAAATATTTAAGGTGGCTGTTAAGTGTTCATTGTTAAAGTCTTTTTTTCTATTTTGTCAGTCTTAAAGACAGAATTCAATAATGTTTTATAAGCTCAGTGGATTTGGAGTGATGCGTTTAACTGACCTAGTTCATGTTTGATTTGTCACATTGCGTTATGATAATGTACAAATGATGTCATAGCAAGTGTGAGTCAACCAAAGTAAGAACAGTTTTTGGTGAGTTGCCTATGCCTTTGATATTTTATATTTGTTGAGCAATTTCACATAAACAAGGGTTCCCAGGGTTTGGATCATAGATTAGTGCAAAAGGTTTTAGTTGTTCCCCTTGGAAACAGAGCTAATAAACCCTGTCATGGTCGTAAATTGGAAAAAAAAAAAGAATCATGCATTAAATAGGTCAGTTTTACAAAAAATATGGCAAAAATGATTTAAAACTAGAGACAATATTTGTTCTGAATTGGCGCTGAGTGAATAAAACTGAATTAAAACCAATGGTGCACTCTTTTCATTTGCTTATAAAACACAGGTGAAGCCTCATACCGTTTTTTTCTATTCACTGGAATAATTCTGTAACTTCTTTTCTTCTTTGTTAGTGAATCTGGTGGATTTCTGTGGCCAAACAATCCGGAGAGATGGAATGATCGTCAAGTCACACCAGGAATCCAAAAAGTACTACTTTGTGACCATGGGAACCGACTGTCACCTCACCATGCAGGCCAGCTCGCCTAAAGACAAGGTCCAGTTCTACTTTCGCTTCTTCCTAGTCTACAGTTTGCTGAGAGTGGCTCCTTTAAGCCCCGCCCCTCTTGTCCAAGAGTCCTCACGTAGCTCCGCCTTTCTCAACTCAAGACTTGATCCCACGTCCGGTGTAAGCCCAGAAGACCCGTGTTATGCCGGCTCATTCCTTCAGTTCTATGACGGAAGAGACCGGAGCTCCCCAGCTCTTGGGCCTCCTCTCTGCGGGAAGTCTGCTCCCCGGCCAGTTCTGTCCACGGGAAACTACTTGACCCTAAGGCTGGTGACGCGGGGGACTCAGCCCAGGGTTGATTTTGTTGGAGACTTCACCTCCTTCAGACTGGGTAGGACAGACACAGCGACGTTCTGAATAAAGGTTCAACTCATGTTCAAACAAACTGAAATGTAAAGGTAGAAGGAAGTCATGCAGTTTTGTCACTTTGCTGCAGAAGTTGTCTCGTACTTCTCTTCAGTGGAAACATTTAACACACCCTGTCAGAAATTCATTTATTAGATGGTTTTAATTCTTAACAGAGAATCAGGCAGCCTGAATGAAGAATTATTATGACACCTAAGCAAGTTAAACTCTCTCCGACTTAGTGTGGCTCTCAAGAAGGAGAGCACTGCGAGTTGCAAAATATGTCGTTATTGTGGCAGTTTCCTTTTTAATGTGAACTTCTTGACACTTACATTTTCAGGGTTCAACCAATCAGAGTGTAGAAGTGAGCCCTACTTCAGCTGCAGAAATGGAAAGTGCATCCCAGTCAGTCTTGTGTGTGACGATAAAGACATTGACAACTGTGGCGATGGAAGTGACTTGGAGGAAAATCTAACAACAAGCTGCAAACGTGAGTTTATGCAAAAACTAAACAAACCCCTCCACGCCAAAATACATTTTCACCAATTTATCATTTTAATAAAATTGTGGCTGGTCATCAGGTCAGCTTTCACCCACTGCACGTCCGCCCCAGATTTCTACACCCACCCTGTCCTTGGTGAGTCTGCCAACCCATGTTGGTGGGACGTGTATGAACTGCAGCGTAACGGGTAGCAGTCTGAGGCGGGAGTCAGTAACCGGTAAGTACTGCCTGAAAAATGATCTTTCCTCTTTTTTTTTTCTTTTTTTTTATTGCTACTTCTGATTGCTAATACTCCTAAAGAGTTATTAAAATCATATATGTGGATGGCTTTATATAGCCTGTAATACTCAAATACCAATTCCTGTTTTGGCTGGCCTATGAGTTCCTGGAAGCGTTTTATTGTCTGCTGTGAAAAGTGGCAGGTTTATCAACTAAAACACTGTCAATTTCAGACCACATTCCTCCAGCCCTATGAACAACGATCTATTGGCTCTGTTGGTGGAACTTTACTTTTGTATAGAAAGCTTTACCTTCAATCCCCTGGTCTTTTCCTCCTCTCCACCCCATTTTACGTTCGTTCGTTCGTTCGCCTGCCCCCGCCACCCAAAGCCTATTTCCCATATTCTCAAACCCAAAGCATGGGGCAAGGTTAGGATTCATCTATTAAACTGACTGAAGATGAATACATAAACTAAAAGCTGGAGTACAGAAATGTTTTTATAAGCGTATTTGTGAGCCTACCTCTTTATTATTAAATTGAATGTAATTTAAGATCTCTGTTTAACTTTTCTTGAGGTTAACTTAGAAAGTGAGCTATCATTGTTACAGGTTAGTTTTCTAAACTACTCCCTACATCCCTAACAATAACTCCAAGGTTATTGTTAGGGACACTCAAATGTGAAAAATTGGACTGATATTGATATCCAATAGTAACACTGGTATTATGTCAGATTTACCAATATTTTATTTAATAATATTTTTTGTCAGATTACTCGATTAATCGTGAGAATAATCAATAGATTACTTGATTAATAAAATATATGTTTACAACAGCCCTACTCGCCACCAGCAATTAGCAAACACCTGATGGAGCTGCACATCAGCTTAGCTGGTTATAGGAGCCACTGGATAAACGTCTAAAAGGGTTGATGGAGGTGGCGCTTCAGAAAGACCAGGAGTTTTCAAAAATAAGAAAAATCCCAATTCCTAGTCTTTAAATTGCAAAGTCAAATTTCTTTTTAGTCATATTTGGTAAATGCAGCATCTTTAATAACTCACGGTAACATGGTTCCTTGACTGCGCTACAAAATGTCACTATGTGTCTGGAAAACACATAACACTCCTGATGGCAAACATTTAGACAGCGCTGTAGCTCTCCATTGTTTTTTTTTTTTTTCTTTTCTTCCTGTCCTGTCTGCAGCCTCCTCCCCGTCGTCCCTGCTGGCTTTATACATCATCCTGGGTGTAGTGGCGGGGGGCTTGGTTCTCTGCTGGTGCTGCTGGTCGCCTGCTTGGTTCCTATGGCGGCTCAGCGTCTGCCGCTTCTTGCCATGCTGCAAGTCAACCTGCGCCACCTGCGCCTTCTTTCCCTGCAACCGTGCAAACGCCAAGGAGCAGCGAGTGTCAAAGGTCAGTCCTCACATGCCGGTCAGCAGGAGCCCCCCGGACCCAGCGGCCAGCGCCGGCGACAATCCGTGTTGACTGTGTGGACCACTTTCCACTTCCCGCTTTGGAAGTGGAAGTGGTTGTTCTGACCATTGGTCATGACAGCAAAACTTTTATCCGTAGAGGTTGATCCTATGAGGTCAATTTTGCCACACCGACGTTAGAGGAAAGCAGAAGCAGTGGGAGCTGGAGAAGCACGGTTTAGTTTTTGTAGCCTGTCCAGCCCTGCATCAGAAACACCAGGCTTGTTTGAATCTGTAATTAAATCTGTTTCAACTGTTTTCTTGAGCCACACATACTTTAACTCTCCAGAATCAGCTAATAGATTATTTGAACCCTCATTATTCACGTATTCATGTTGGCAACAAGAATACATCAAATAGCAAGACCGGCTTGTTATTACCCAGTAAAACTGCTTAATCTGATGTGTTTATATGTCAGAGCTACTCTGTCGCTTTGCTTATGTAATATGGCTGATCTATAAACTGGTAAAGCAGGCTATGGTCTACCTGTGTAGTTTGAATGTGAGCTGTTTAGTTGAACTGTAATAAAACCATATTTATACTCAGAGTAGTTTACAAATATCTCTCGTTCAGCAAAATGACTGTGGAGAAGGAAATTCAAAATAAAATTTTTTTTTATTGTTTAATGAGTTTATGTCTGTGAATGGGGTCAGTACCTTGAGAGGGCGCTTATTGCAAACATGTTCCGTGCAAATAAAACAAGTTGAATTAAAGATTCAATCTGAAAGAGTTCAGTGGTCTTTTGCTCCGTTTCTTGAAGTCACAATGCGGTCGAGCGACGATTCGGTCGAGCGACGATTCGGTATCCGGTCTACGGCTTTGTAGACCAGAGACAAAGCTGTAGAGAAAATAGCCTAAAGATTTGTGAACTCTGCTGAATGCTTCAGATCTGACATGTGGAACAGAAATTCTTGTCCTCATTCATTACAGTGCGATTGTAAAATGGCGTAAAGACCTGCACTCATCATCATTCATCCCTATGAGAGCGTGAGCCAATGGGACGGCTCCTCCTTGGAGCAAATGTGAATGAGAGTAAATCTCTGGGCTGAGCATTCACACAGCTCAAAGTAATTAAAGAAACTTTTTGTCCCCAATCTCAAACCAGGATGTATTTACATCCTTGTCCACATAAAAAAAAAAAACCCGCCTCTGTTGTTCTGCTTTTCAATCCGAGATTGCTCAGATGAGTCAGAGTGGGGCTTAACAAAGAGTATGTGTTAGCTCTGGTAACTAATGGCAACCTTTTCTAATCCTGTCTAATCCTTAAAATCGGAGCCAAAGAAATACGTCTCATCAACCCAGTCATGTTAATTTGACTTTTTTGGGGGGTTTTTTAGAATGGTGCTCTAAGCTCTTGCTAAAGTGCAGAGCGGTCGGGGGACCAGAGGGATGTCATGGCAACCTTTATGTAAAGGATTTAATTGACAAAAAAAAGGAAAAAAAAAGTTAAACATTTTAACATCTTGATCATCCAATAAGTTGTTTTCGGACTGAGTCAGAAAGGATCCATCTTAAAAAGTGAATCTGCTCCAGGTGTTGTGTGTAAATGTTCTACTGTTGATGATCAATTCCTTTTTACTATAAAGCTTTTCACTCTGTGGCTTTATGCTTGGAGCTTTACATTGTTCCTTTGTTCTGTTGTTGCTGCTGAAAGCAAAACATCCTATAGCCTACATAAAAAGGAATCTGCTAGGGCGCCACCTGCTGGTTGTAACTCTGCTGCAAGCCCTTCAGTCCTTTAATAGAATAAATAGTGATCGTTTACGGCCCTGCTCTTTGTTTGAGCTTCGTCTTGAAAGTCATAAATTCATTTAAAAAATCGAAAAACAACAGTGTATAATGTTTCTCATTAATTCGTTACTAGACCTGCTCTGTTTGCTGGAGAATCAAAGTGCAGAAGCAGCTTTATGAGTCCAGACTTGACTCCTGCTTCATGTGCTCACAGAGTATAACATAAAGTGTAAGTATGCAAATTTAGAGCAAATAAAATGAACAGTTTATGGGTACAGTCATTTAATTTTTCTATAAAGAAAGAAGCAGCTCGTGGGAATACAATTTAGGCCAATGGATTTGGCCTGATTTAATCAATTTTGGCTAACATAAAAGGAAATATGACATATAGTTTTGTTTGTAGTCTGCTCACGTTCAATTCCCTGGTAACAAATTTGCTAAGCTGCCTAAAGTGTGTGTGTGTGTGTGTGTATGTCTATATATGTATATATATATCACATTGAAATATATGTCTCAGTCTTAATGTAAGTTTTGTGTTTGACTATTGCCACTGTTTTTGTTCTTATTGGTTTTCATACATTTAAAAAATGATCAATTACATAAAAAAATTATTTGTGTGACCGCAAGTCAACAGTTCTACAGCTCTGCCCTGGTCTGCAGTGGGAAGGTGGGACACCCAAAACAGTGGAAACAAAAAAAAACAAATAGCCTTTTTTTTTTTCACCAGTCATTCTGCTTTCTCCATTGTTTCTGCTCTATCTCAGAGCCCAGTGCTTCTGGGCCTGTTGCTGATTCAGCTGTGACCCAACACAGCTCACTGTCAGCCAATCAGAGCAGCGACACTGCAGGGCAAACAATTAGCTCTGCAGTGTAGCTGAAGCAAAGACAAACATATTTCTTACTACTCAAACTGAGTTTGAGTAGTAAAGTGTGGCTGTATGGCATAGGAGTCATCTTGCCATCGGAAGGTTGTAGGTTCGATTCCTCCTGCCACATGTCGATGTGCCTCTGGGCACTTAACCCCAAATTGCTACAGGTTTCTGTATCGATGGATGAATGTGACTTTAGCCTTACTTATTTATTTATGTGCTTTTTCTCGGCTTGTTTCTAAAGATGAAGTTGCTCATTTGGGCCTGGAAATAAGCAGAGACACATAATGAGACCCAGATGTTGTCTCACATCCAGGTAGTTTTAGTCAGGCTCTCCTGTTCACCATTTCTCAGATGAACAAGAAAATGTTCATCTGTCTCTCTTTGTTAATGTCTGACCATTGACCACTTAAGAAAATCAGAGAAAACATCACTTTGGTAATAATTTGGTGTGAAACGTTCTGGTGTCAGACAGTTTTAATCTAGAGCTGAATTCTTGCCTTTTTAGCTGATTACTATGTTTGTGGCCGTAAGTGAAAAAATCCGCCAGTATTAATCGTACCTTTTCATCAGTCATTGACTTGAGACAAGCTCCCACATATTGCTAAGTAAAAAAAAAAGAAAATGTCAAAGTTGCTGTATGTAACTTCTTAAAAAATACATTTTCTTTGAAACTGTCAAATAATCTGAAAAAATTGAGCTCCTCTGCTTTGCAAACTGGAGTCTGTCCTCCTGCTGGTGATCCCAAAACCTGATCTCAGAAAAATGTTTTTTAATGATATGTCTGGAGTTCTGAATATGGATTATTCCTATAGATTCCTTGACAACAAACTTATATTTATTTGCACTTGATTTCTTGGTTGTCTGTGCCTTTTGCAGTTTAGTTTTTTTGTGTTTTTAAAGCGTATTCTGTAATTTAGACATCTACTTAATAAGATTGCCTTTTTAGCTGATTACTATGTTTGTGGCCGTAAGATTAGCTCAGTCCCAAAAGGAGACATTTTTTCAGCACTACACAGAGAAAGATGCAGACGAAAAGCCACTTATTTTTATTTGTTTCATTTTAAGTGGCCCGATGTCTCTGAGCTGCCATGTATGCAGCAACGTTGGGGATGAAAACAGGACAGTGTTGTTCTACCTCTGAGTGGTTCTCAGACGTTGCCGACTTCTCAGATCTGTTGCATTTTTTTAATGACCTTGACCACATGATTTATGACAAGGGGCCACCTGACTGAGCAGAAACATACAGCAGCGTGTTTGTAAAGACAAACCATGAGCAAATCAGACGTGAATAAAATTAACTTTAATAGAAAGTAACAAAATGTTGCAATATTTACAGTTGGATAAACTTCTTCCATCTCCTCCCACAACCACCTGCCAGTAGGTGGCACTACAGAGTCAATTCCTCACAGACTCACTCATCATGTTGGGGCTTTCAGGTACTGCTTAATAATCCCACTCTCTCTGTCTCTGTCTGTTTCTTTAGAAACCTCTGAGCCTTGCAGTCATTCTGACAGTCCGTCGGTTCAGACACCTTTCCTCTGAAAAACTCCAGTCTTTTATGTGAGTTGTGCAACAAAAATAGTGTCTCCAATAAATATCTCCAGCCACTTTGCTTTGACCCGCAGTGGATTTAGGAAGCATGCAGGCGATTGGCCAGGTTTCGCTGGCTGAGTCTGTGGCTCTTAGCCGGGGTCAGGTTCTGGGTGTTTGCTTGGCTCTCTAGAACAAGCTCCTCTTCTTGCTCTTCTTCCTCCTCCTCCTGTCCCCCGGCTTTCAGGGTGGGCTGTGCTTGTGCAACGGCTTCAGCTTCTCTCTGCTCCAAGGCCAGCATGAGGAACATCTCTGCATCCAGCGGCTCGCCCGAGGAGAAGGGCTGGCAGAGAGTCTCAACCAGCCCGATGGCCGTGCCCAGCACTGCCAGCACAGAGCCCAACAGGTAAACCTTCAGCAGCTTCCGGTTGGCTCTCTGCCGGAGCATCTCCTTCGCAAATGGAATCAACTCCTGCATGGTTTCCATTTCCGGCGGCTGCCTGTCAGTGAAGGCAGAAATGATGGAGCCATGTGGTAAAGACAAATAAAGCCTAAACATGACATAACATCCGTCATGAACATGTAGAATGCTTTGCATGAAAAGTGCTTACAACACTTTTCATGCAAAATTGACATTTTTAATGCAACTGTTAGTCCAGAAAGTCGTTTACCAAATAACGCTTCATGAACACAAATACATATTCATGAACAGTCCTTCATGTTCATGGCAGTCGTCATGTCAGTCTTACGCACATCTAATAAATTGTTACCTCAAAAGTTATATTTGCCGCAGTTCTAAGACTAATGCTGTGCAAAGCATTGTAGCTTTAAATTATGACCGCTTCAGCAAATTTAAACATGTTTTGAATGGCCACTACTAGAACTTTCAAATATTACATTTTCACTAAAACAAAGCTTGTGTCTGCAATCATTAATGTCTTCTACCTCCAGGTTCAAACATTACCAGGCACCTTAGAATTAGGACAGAATATTTGGAGGGGAATGAAAAGACGTACTTACTGTAAATGGTGTTCTAGTTTTGCTGATTCTCACGTTTGTCCTGTTGGTCAGTCCCAGTCTGTGGAAACTTGTGGATTCAGTGTTCATTTATAACCCAGATGTACTCTCCCTGCCCTCCCCTGCAGCACAACCTGCTGAATATGCATGAGGTCAAGCCTGGCTCTTAACCAGAACCTTTGACCCAGTTGGTAGCAAGTAATGTTCAAATCAACACAACCTGACAAGACAAGAGAATGGAGCCCCATCTTTCAAAAACCCAGCTCATTTGTTACATGTAAACTAATTAAGTTGAACAAATATACCTTGTTTAAATTTGTTTAGTGTGACAGCTTAGTAAGCTTAAATCATTTACTTGGATACATTTAATTTGAAATAAATTAACTCAGTATTTTTTTTTCCAAGTTGGGTCAACTGTTTTCTTTTTTCAGTGCAAATGAAAAATAATAAAGCTTAGAACAAGTGTGTCTGAAACACTTATTTTAAGTAAAACATTGCAGTGAACGCTGAAAACAAAAATATTTTGACACAGCAAGATTTAAACATTCTGAAAGCTGTGTCATTCTTTCTCGGACTAACAACAGATGAAGAAATGAGCAGAAATTCAATGGGATTTCCAAGACAGACGCTGTACATGTTGTCACTGTACACTATGTGACCTTCAGTTTTATGGGATCTTGTTTGTATACAAACAGGTGATCAGGGTTTTCCCGCCTGCTAAAGTCTGGATGGGAATCCTCCACATGGACGTGCTCAGTCAGGGCAAAGGTTGTGTAAACCAAGTCGCCTTGTAGCGTAAACCCAACGCCGTCTGTGAACTCTGCTCAGAGTGGCGCCGTAACAGAGGAGACAGGCACACTTTGCTAATATGAGCATGCCACACGTAGCACACACACACACACACACACACACACTGGTGAGGCAAAGTAGGGAAGTGTTTGTTCTGAATCACAGCCGTCACACTCACGACTCACGAGACCCTTTAATACCAGTTACCTTTGAACTGTTACTTCTTTAACTTTATATTAAAATTCATTTGCCAGGGTTTTTTATTATTATTATTATTTAGATCAAACTGTTTCTTCTCTTCCTCATTTTTAGGCCAGAATAAAATACGTAGAAAAATGGCAACAAAAAAAAATGGTTTCGACCAGGCAGCCATATCAAGCTGGTCGTCCTGGACATCTGATGAGAAAACAAACAAACATTCAAATCGATAGTTGGTTTTGTTAATTGCTACATTTATTTAAAATTTGCCGGTGTTCTTTGCCGATGTGTCACCTCTAAGACAGATAAAAGGTTTGCAGCACATTCCAACAGTGAGCGCTCATGGTTTCCTGTCATCAGCCAACAATGTCTGAGGGAAAATATGACAAAGAGTTATTATTTTAACAATTTGGGGGAATTGCCAATCATGTAAATGTCAGATAAATGAATTAGTTGAACCAACACCTTCATTTCGTTTTGTCCTTGTGTTACATTATAGAAAATTGAAAAAAATCAGCCAAGATTTCGGGAACATATCTGGACCTCCAGTTGAGATGAAGCTGCCTACACAAGTTCCTTTTTGTTCCTGTTGTTTTGTTTTGTTTTTTTCTTGTCCTGCTAATAAGTGCTATTTTGGCTTAAATTTAGTTTTTCCCTTCTTACTGTCTCTAAAGAACAAGCTGGTCTGTCTGGTCACTTCACAGAGAAAGCCTGATTGTTGGAACACAATCAGGCTTTGTGTTCCAAAGCCTGATTTTCCCCATCTTGGGGAAAAATTATGAGGGGATATTTTTCCAAGTTTCACATTCCAGTGCATTTGAAACTTTTAAACACTCTTGGAAAGAAAGTGAAGGATGTCTTCACAAAGCAAGAGATGAAGTTCAATAGTCTTGCTGGCTTCCAGTAAATCTGTTGGACTTCTCGCGTTCTGTTGACCTTTTTTGTACCATTGAAAAACAAAAGCTTTCCAGAAAGAAGTGGAGAGCGGTTTACAGATCTGTTTGGCTGGAAGCTGTTCGATCCTAAGTCTGTGGCTGACGCTGAGCAGCACGTGAGTCGGCACGGCCTCACTGCACAGGTCACTCAGCAACAAGCAACAAGAGGCTTTGCTAGGACCTCCACAATGTCTTTATTCATGCCGATGAAAATGTCACCTGCAGCTACGTCATCTTTACAGCTTCTCATTCTTCCTTCCACCCAGACGGATTGCACACGCGGCAAGCTGTCATCCCGTACGGTACTGCATGAAACAAACACTAATAATGCAAAATAGAAAAAAGGTACATTGCTTGACTAAAATTTTACAAATAAATTGCATTAAAAAAAATGTAATAAATTTTGAGCTGCTGAATCTGTGAAGGAGATCTGTGAAAAAACTAAAACCGACATTGCAGTGGGACAGTAAAAACTTATACCATTTTAATTCCAATGTCCAAATAATCTGTTGGGAAAATGCCTTCTGGTTTGTTTTTTTTTTTTCCTCTACTTTCAGGTTTCGGGCAGTTAATACATCTGACTATGTGAAAATCCTCAGACATTGTGTTTCCTGTTGCTGAATCTTGGCTTCTCCACCTGCAGATCTGCGTCAGCTGAGCCACATTTACGACGTCTATTGCAAAAGACGATCTTAGTTCCTCCCAGAACTAATCAGCACCAGGTCTGAGCTGTCTGGGACGATCACAGATGTAGACTTATTTTGTTTTAAATCCTTATTTGTTTTGTTTGTTGGCATTTGTTTGTCTGTTTTGGAAAAAATTTTCTTAGATTTTATGCCACAATAAAAAGAAACAATGGGAGCAACAAGACATGTGAAGAAAACTTTTCCGGAAGACTTGAGACTGGAATGGCTGGAAACATTGGGCAGACATTATATTTAAGAGTTGAATATTACTCAGTTTTATTGTGTTTGTAAAGGTAGTACTTTAACTTCACATGCTTTTTCACAGAACCTCGTGTCCAGGACACCTGCAGTGTAGTGAGAAAACTGTTCACTTTGTATTCAGTTTAACTTGTAATCTGTAAGTCCTGTTTTACTATTTTGCCCTAACACACAAGTCGTTATCGATATCTATACATATCAATACATATTTTCACCCACATGAAAAGATTTTACATATAAATATCAATTATTTCACATATTCCACTGTCATGTTGCTGGAATACGTCATTCTCGGTGCATCTCTCACATCACAGTTAACTTGCACAGCAGCTGGTGCATTTCTCAAAGCAATTCGTTCGACCTCCAAAACCTTTCTGATAACCTGCAGTCCCGTGTGTTCATGAAGGTGTCGTCGTCATCAAGTCCTGACATCATCACATGTGAACAGGATGGTCAAATGGCCTTGTTTTCATCGCGAAAGTGCAATCTGAAAATGTCCTTTCTGGTTCACACAATGGTCTGTTCACAGTTCACCTCCAAGTTATTCTCAGCCTCCCTGTAAATGAGGCGTCGCTGGATGTTTACTGTGTCTTTGGTGGCATCTTAACCACGGCAGCGAGAGTTTATTTGGATTAGAGTTGTGGGCGTTTGAGCGAGGTTACATCACAAAAGGCTCGGCTCGGTGGAACCAGCTGCGTAGCGGAAAGAGGAAAGTCTGGTGCTTCAAAAAGTTTCAGCAATTCAAAAACGGCCAGCGGTCTGCTTCACTGTAACTGTTCAGATATGAAGAATCAGACCGAAGCTCAGAAATGAATCAGAGCCGCTGTAGATTGACTGAAGGCAAGCCAGCTCCTGTCTGAAGGTGTGTGTTTGTCTGACTGTTTCAGCATTTCTCATCTTGTTTGCCCCATGAAGATTGGAAGAAGTGCTGCTTTGTTGTTATGGTTGAGGTTTAGGACCGAGGCATGGATTGAGTTTAGGTTAGGATCAGTAAGGCATGTGCTGCAAATGTTTAGGCTACAGAAACGAATGGAAGTCATTGTAAAATCCTTATGCAGGTAGAAAAGCACACTGCGTGCATGCGTGTGTGTGTGTGTGTCCATGTTGAGTCAGAAGTCACACCCTGTACTTTGCCTTAGTCAGTGTGTCTGCAGAGGGTAGAAAACCCGTTTGTGTTTCTCCAGCCCTGGAGCTACGGTTTTTCGTTGCCCGGGTGACGATCATCAGCGTCAGCCTGACTGGATGAGGAAACATCGCCTGCAGCGTAACCAATACCTCTGTGAATCGGTGCTTCGTTTTCACTCAACTTTGTCCTTTCGTGACGGAATAAATCGGACTGAACAGAATTTTGTCACATTTTGTACTGTGACGAGATCTCACAGTACAATTGCAGCGTTTGTTTTGTGATACTGTTATTTTAAATATAAAAACAAACAAAAAAAAGATCAATTTCATCAAAGCAACTAAACACACTGCAGATCGATATTCTGACACAATCTGGTTGTGATCACTGGTTGTTGTTCAGACATGCTGGTCGCTTTCCCACTGAGCAAAAAAGAATCCCAGACATTCATTCTCTACCTTTTCTGCTAAACTCTGATAATATGAAGTTTCAGGTGAGGCGTCAGAGCAAAACGATTTGTCTAAAACCAACATCTGTATTGGCCTGTCTGCTCTCAGCCACATTTCTGGAGACAGAGTCTGCAGTAACTCAGCAACAAGCAGATTTTATTCACTTTACGTTCAGTACAGATGTTACTGACTGTTTCCGTGGCAGCTGTCTGGGCAGAGGCTTGTTTGCATTTGAAAATAGTTCAGTATCTTTTCTAAAACAATCTTTACAAGTGTTTGGATTTTTTTCAGCAAATAAATAAATAAATAAAAATCCCAAAAAGTTGTGGATCAGTGTGAAAGTTGAGAAAAAGTTTAGATATCAAGATAAATCCCTGAAGCAGTGTGTCATTAGACGCTGGTAAAACAAACACATCTAAGGGAATTTGTTCTTTCCTCAGGTATGTTGGGTGAGGTTCTTTTCGCTCAGTTACAAACAGTGATGTGTGAAGCCCAGTTCAGACATGTTTTGGTTCTCCTAAGTGGGTTTTTTTTTTTGCTTCCTGTGTCTGTATGCATGGGTGTAGGTTTGCGTGTGTGTGTGTGTGTGTGTGTGTGTGTGTGTGTGTGTGTGTGTGTGTGTGTGTGTGTGTGTGTGTGTGTGTGTGTGTGTGTGTTGATTCACGATGAAGGGAGTGGTTGTGAAGGTTGGGACTCTGACACACGCTGTATCACCCCGTCCAGGTGAGCCGCTGTATAAGACAGCAGTGGGACAGCGGCGCACTCTTTGACACGAACAGAACCTGACCTTTAACGGATTCAGTTTCCAGGTCTGCTTCACTCACTCACCATCAGCCAGAGCTTACTGAGCCGTTTCACGTTTGCTGATGCTCGGCTCTCTCACCTGTTCCACACTTCCTCTGCCCCAGGAATCCAGGATGAGGATCCTTTTGCTTCTAGTTGGTGAGAGCTCTTTGGTTTTTGTTTTGTTTTTGTTTTTATTTACCCTGGATGTACTGGATATACTGTAGCTTCTTCAACAAAGTTTGAACAAAGCATCAAGTTTGATGCGTCTGAGTTGACAGCATGTAAAGCTCGACATGGAGATGGCATGAAGGTGTTCATGTTGTGACTTTGTTGGAGTTAGGAATTGTCCTAATTAATCATAATTGAACAATTTTATCTTCTTAAGATAATTTGTGTCTGTTGCTCAGGTAGCAAAAAAAATTTATGATTCTCTGATGGAGTAAAATAAATAGATTTTGGATATTTGAAGAATTGTTTGTACATAAAAGCAAGTTGCTGCCGCAGACTGGCTCATCTGTTTGGCATGGTGGGACAGGTATAGACCTGCGGGCTCCTGGGGAGATTCACAGTTGGTAGACGCCTCCTATCCACCCCGAGTGGAGGGGCCGGGTGTGGCAGACCCCCAGGGGCTCATCCTGCTGTCTCTGTCTGTAGCTGTGTGCTGAGGCGGTGGTAATGATATGTTGCTGACGGTTTTTCGCAAAAACACAAAATGGTTTTGTCAAAATCTTTCTCAGGCATTTTGATCTGGCTCCTAGTCCAAATATCTCAGTACACTTGAAATGAGACAAAACTAACTTACAAGTAACTTTTTAGAGATATAAAAGTTTGTTTTTGGTAAATAATTGCTCATTATTGACATTTTTAAAAAGCAGCAGTTCCTATTGGCAGATTATTTCTCTTATAACAAGACATTTTCCCCATGAGACAGTAGCTGTGAGGGAACAGTAATGTGAACCCACAGCAGTCATACAGCTGCACTGTGGAGACATGAATATCCAGGAAAGACCAGTAATAAATAAATAAATATATATATATATATATATATATATATATATATATATATATATATATATATATATATATATATATATATATATATATATATATATATATATATATATAATAATTAATAATCTTAATTCATATAGCTAATATTTATTAACAAGAGAGTGACACTTTATCCAGGCACTATTGAGCTGGATTATTAAAACTTTGTTTCATTTATATGTATGCTTATGCATGTTTTTACTTATATAGGTACTTTTATTTCTTTATTTTAATGTGTATTTTAGTATTATTATTATTCATGTTATTATTATTATCAATGCTATTATTGTTTAGTTTTCCTTTCCTCATACCCTGAGTGTTGCTTGTGGATGGAGTGTGGGGGCGTTCAATGTTCCATATGTGGAAAAACTCAATAAATATGATGTTTTAAAAAAAATCCTAGTTAATGTTGCAAGGAATCCCTGATTGTTCTGCCTGTTTCTTGACAGCGGCGGTGGCGGTGGCTGCAGCCCAGAACGACTGCTCTCTGGGAGCGTGTTACCCGCCGAGCACAGACCTGCTTCTGGGTCGGTCTCAGCAGCTCCGGGCCTCCTCCACCTGCGGCCTCACCGGCTCAGAGGTCTTCTGCACCCCATACCAGGTAACCAGGCTCTGCAGAGCCGTCGTCTTTAATGTTTCCTTTCCTTTCACCCAATCTTTCTCTGACACAGAGCACAGAAATCGTGGCACCAGCATCCGGAGTTTACAGTAAAGAGTAAAAAATAAAAAATCTGAGCAGTTCTTCATGAGAAAATGCTGCTTAAGTAGTGAGCAGTGCTCAGGGTTCATTTCAGGCAGAGGTCACGGTGGACAGAGATGAGGACGTGGTTTTAGCCACGTTACCTGCCCACAGTTTGTGAAGCTGTCTGATTTTTGTGCCAGAGAATCGTTATGAAACTGCACCGTCACACGCTGGGCTGACTGCGGGCTCAGCAGAACCAACCCAGAGCTGCATCCAGGGTTTTGAAATAAGGGTTAGTGTCCAGAGCAGAGGGCGTGCAGTGTGCAAGACTCCAGCAAACGGTTTTGCAACTTCGATTTCTCCTCAAGTGAGACGGAATAAAGTTTTTTGTTTGGCAGCTTTTGATTACGCTGCAAGTGTTTTCAGTCTAATTTCTAGAGTAAATGTCTTGTTACACTTTAAATAACACTAAAGTAAATTAAAAGTAACTTTTCAGCAACATGTACAAGTTTGTTCTAAGTCAATAATTAATCAATATTGATGAAAAAGTTCTAGATTTGTTGGCAGACAAATTGACTTATAACAAGATATTTTCAAGATATTTTGACTTAAAACAAACTTGTATATATTGCTGCAAAGTTACTTGTAAGTTAGTTTTGTCTTAATTCAAGTGTATTAACTAGAAACTAGACAAACAAAAATACTCGGTGAGATTTGGTGTTTCTGCACTGTTTCGTTGTGTCACTTTGTTCTTTCTTTGCAATCGAGTTGAACTGTCTGAAGTTTATGTTTTACGTAGCTTAATTGTTGTATTTTGTGTTATGTCTGTGTTGTGCTGTCAGAATTTCTTCTGACGATAATCTTTTAAAGTAGACGCTCTGGACTGTGTTGCATCTTGGTTGTGGAATCATAAAAGTCCCAAAATTGAGTAAAGCAGCCAAACTGTGTCAGCATAACCCCTGAGGACACTGTTTGTTTGAGGACTATTTATTTATTTATTTGGTTAGAAAACATTATTTTTATCAACGTTCTGATTTTTCTTCATGGCAGCAGAATTTGTAAAAACTCCCAGAGGATTTCAAGTCAGTACTTTTAAACATTTTCAGATTTGATCCTTCTGACTGTTGACTTTGCACATTCTCCTGTTTCACTGATTCTGGTCCGGCAGTCTTTGACATAGCTGCTGTTTCTGCTTGAATATGGACTTGATTTTAAAGGAACTGGTTGTGATCGGACCTGAAGAGCAGAAACCTTTCAGTCATTTCAACCGAGGGATTCCTCAGGGGTCCGTCTGTGGTCTTCTGCTGTTGGACAGATTTTGGGGTCAATCATTCTAAAGAGTAATATTCCCTTTTGGTATTTTCGTAGAGATTCTGCCACTATAACTACCTTTTAAATTTTACAGAAGAGCAAAACAAACAAACAAACAGAAAACGCTTGTTAACTGCTTACGTCATCAAAACTTGCATGAGGCCGGACTTCCTGAACCATGGTGATTAAAAAAAATCAAAGTGATTTGGTTCGAAAATTTGAAACAAATGAATAAATAAAGAGGAAAGTCCGTAGCTATTCAAACTTTTAAATTGTTTTAGAGAACCAGTCGGATAAAGGCGTTCCATTTCACACGCTCAGAGTTGCAGAGATGTCACTTTCACCGCCTCTGCTGCCTCTAGAGCAGAACTGGGACTTTAGACCTGTCTGTGAACTGCATGCAGGTGAGAAGTGATTCGACGTGGAACCTTTTCTGCGGAGAGTTGTGCAAATACACGGTGTTTACAATGACTGTGTGCCAGCTGCCTGCGCAGAACAAATGTGCCTTTTGGCTTACATTCAGGGTGCAAATCCACAGTGGACTCCGAGATAATTTTAGTGACAGAATATAAATAAAAAGAGGTGAGGTGACATTTTGACTGAAAATGTGATTTGAACTGACTGCCATCATACCAAATTTAACAAGTAAAGATGCTAAATATAAACTGATTCAAGCAAAATTTTGGATCCATTGTGCATGATGGGTTGCTACAGTATTACACTCTTATCATCAAAACTTACCATAAAAGACTTGCAAAATCTCTATTTATGTTTATATGCGCATCGATGCATCACAGCAATATTGTTCTACAATAAGTGTATGCCGTCTGACACTGCTTGGAGTCATGAGTAAGTAATTAAGTAAGTAACATTTTATTTGTCCAGCACATTTCACAGGTAAAAACCACAAAGTGCTTCACAGAACATAAAAGAAAAGCAAATCAAACAAAACATCAAATTATAATGAGAAAAAAAAATTAAAGATGAAAGAAAATCATGGGTAAACTTACAATACAAGGGACATAAAGAAGCTGCAGTACCTTTATGTTCAATCAGCCACGACAAATTCAGTGCAGTTGTTTTTGCTAAAGTAAACATGCAGCCTAAATTGAAATTGAACATAGATTTAATGTTTCTATGGGTGATGACAGAGAATAATTTATACTTGGGGTTTGATTTTATAGGAAACACGTATGTAACTAAACAGTTACCTATAAATAACTGACCCATGCTCACGTGTGTGCGTGTGTGTGAGTGCATGGGTGTGTGGGTGTGTATGCAGAGGCGTGTGCAAGTGTGTGATTTGTTGCTTTGTTTTGTTTCTTTTTTTTAGACCAGACAAATAGTCTTGCATACTAAACTTATATCATTTAGTTTTTGTTGTTTTGTTTTTTTTCTTCCAGATGTAGCTTGAGAAATAATGAACACAATTTGTCAACACAATCATTTCTCTGCAAAAGTTTCAGAGCATTATGTAATAAAAAAATTGAGTCGGTTGTATTTTGTTGGATCCACACCAACTTTTGTGACATATATTTTAAATTGAACATAATTATTCCTGAACAACATAGCTGTAATGTAGCCATGATCACATAAAAAAATAGAGATTTTGCAAGTCCTTTAAAGCAAGCCATGATCATAACATCAGAGTGTGAGACTCTAGCAACCCAACATGCACAATGGATCCAAAATGTTGGTTGAATCAGTTTATATTTAGCATCTTTACTTGTTATATTCTGTAACTAAAGTTATCTCGGAGTCCACTGTGGACTTTGCACCCTGAATGTAAACCAAAAGGCACATTTATTCTGTGCAGGCAGCTGGCACACAGTCATTGTAAACACCGTGTATTTACACGGTGAAAGTTACATCTGTACAACTCTGAGCATTTGAAATGGAACGCCTTTATCACCTGGGATATGATCATGGTCTGATTTTTTGTTATCTTTAAAAGGAACACCGTCCGTGAGGCTGAGCATGATAACAACGTGTCTGAGATAATGATGAAAAACAAAATTTATTGACTCTTTTATTGTGTAGATGTTATGTTAGTCTGTAAGAATTTTTCTTTTAAATGTGTTTTTGGTTTTATTTTAAAACCTACTGCAAAGTAGCAATAAATCTAAAACACAGCATTGAAAGACATACACATTTAACTTTATATGCATATGTGTCAGTATGACAGGCAGGTATTCAGAGGCACTTTATTGGTCTCCAGTGCATACACTGTCACCTGCTGGACAAACAGTGCGTCCTCATGTTGAGAAGGGTGATGAGAGTGACAGACCTGGGCCCTGGCTGTTTGATCACTTCTTGTTTCTTCTGCATTATATATAAACATTGAAGCTCTAATTCTGAAAGGTCTGGTCTCTCCTGCATTCACTTCGGTTCAAATCTAACTGGGACAATGTACATATAACGTGAAGAAATATTCCATCATCTCCACACAGCATTGCATCAAGGTTGGATTGTAAGGAATCCAAACCAGGTCTGGATGAGATGGCTGTATGTGCTAACTGAGGGAGGCATAGCGTAGCTAAATGCTACTGCAGTATGTGACATACGGGAAACCGTGGTGTGCAGTGATCATTGTCTGAACAAGTTGCCAGAGAAAGTGTGTGTTTGCCTCGTGTGTTTGAACCCGGTAAATGGCTTGAATTGACATCACTCTGTGTGTCTGAACCCAGCTGGTCTACAGGAAACTCTTGACGTTTCCACATTAGCCTCTCTGACCCTGGTGGCGCCTCTACTGATCACAGTGGTTCTAGATGTCCTCCACTGAACAACGGACAATGAACAATGTCCACTGCACATCATGAACCCAAAAGCCTTTAACTGTAATTTAACTCAAACTTGAAACAGTGTGTCCCTCTCAGTCTAATGGGTGATATTGCCAAGATGGCTCAGAGTTGATCTGTTTGTGTTGCTCTTGATTGATGATGTCTCTCAAACTCGCTACATGGGAGTTTGAGAGACCAGTCAGTGGACCCAGCAGAAGCATTTATTTGTTTTTGGGGTTTTTTTTTCTCACAGTGGAGAATGAAATGCTGCCCTTGTGACTCCAGGAACCCAAACGGTCAGCTGGCCCACACAGTGAAAGAAATCCTCACGACTTCTGGCCCAAACCGGTGGTGGCAGTCCAGTAAAGGTAAAAAATAAGAGAAACAGCCTGAGCTTGTACTCCCTGCTGATCACTGGAGCTGTGGAAATACTCAGTGCTCCAGTTCATAAAAAATATTTTTCATGAAGAACACAAAGACCTTGTCTTCTTCCTATAGGCGTCGATCCAGTCATCCTTCAGTTTGACCTCAACAATATGTTCCAGCTCGACAACCTGATGCTCACCTTCAAGGTACGAAGATCCTCCCTGAAGTGTCCTAAACAAAGAACAATCTGGGTTTTTGTTTGTTTTGTTTTGTTTTAATATGTGGACAGAGGAACCTTTGACATGTTTCCCTGCAGGGTCCTCGTCCCAACGCCCTCCTCATAGAGAGAACTCTGGACAATGGACGGACATGGCAGCCTGCGCTCTACTTGGCCAAAAACTGCGAGGAAGCTTTCCCTGGGATCCAAACCACCAGCCCCATCAGTCTGGAGCAGACATACTGCCACCCACTGCAACCGCATGCTGACCCATACCAGGAGGAAACGGTAAGGACAAGCTCTCTCATGCCATCTGTCATAATCCACTCTCAAAGGTTTGCCAGAACTCAGATAATCCGAGTATCTTCCAAGAGTCGGTGTGGACGGTGACACTGTGCGCAGGAACAATCTCCAGTAGAGGTCAGTCTTAAAAAGAATCAAGAGGCCTCTGACTGAAGACTGTTGCTGCCAGTCAGCCTCATGACGACCGTGACACACCTGACCTGCTAATGGCTCAAGTTTTGGGCAGCAGATACGATATTCCACAGTAATTTGTTATTCTGTTACTGTGGAGTCTGGGATGTGATTCTTGCCCTCTTGCCTTCTTTTCATTTCTTTTCTGCATCATAAATATTTGGCCTCATAGTTCAGGTATTACTTTTATCTTTTGAGAAAAAGATAAAAGCTTCTCAAAAGAAGCTGCAGCTGGGCAAATACAGACCCTATGCATTATAAGAACTATCGGAAAGTAAAAAAAGAAAGAAAGAAAGAAACACAAAAGCAAGAGTGAAAAATCTCCCCCCTGCACAGCATCCTGAACCCGAGGGCAGAGCTGTCCAAACATGCAACGTTTCAACCGAAACCAAAAAAATGTTGAAGTGTGCAAAACTTCAGAATCACAGTGTAACAGAGCTACTCCAGCATGGAGTAGCTCTGACCAGCACAATCCTATAATTTATTTATGTATTTACTTCAGGCTGAGAATGCTGCCATTTCTCAGCAGCATGACGTCTCTGTGTTCAAGACACCCTCTGAACATCAAACTAATCCTCCTTGTCATCCCCAGATCGAGTTCAGCCCGTTGCGTCAGTACCTTTTTGCTCCAGTTTCCAACAGCCAGAAGATTGAAGGTGTGTGTGTGTGGGTGTGTGTGTGTGTGTGTGTGTGTGAGTCGTGCTGCTGTTAACCTGACGTGTGCGCGGCCTGCTGACTGTCTCTTCTGCCCCCAGATAAGGCCGGTCTGACCGGCCTGCGGGTGACTCTGACCGAGCTGGGCGACGTGCCGTCCTACCCGGGCAGATCCCTCAGTAGGTTCTTTGCCCTGAAGGAGATGAGAGTGATGGGAACCTGCATGTGCCACGGACATGCCGACCGCTGCCAGGCGCAGGAGTACAAATACCCCGGAACCAACACCATCCAGGTAGGAGCGAGTAGCAAGTTATCACTCTGCTTCAGTGTCATGTTTCATAGACACGACATCGGTATTATTATATGAATTTACCACCACACTGTAAAACATTTGAGCCACGTTCAGTTGTGTCGACTGTCTATTACTCTTCAAGTCAAACAAATTTGGTGAGTTTTAGATTGTGTGAGTTTGTGAAAGATCAACTTACAACAGCAAGTCGTGTTAACGTTTTGTTGATTTTATCAAACCGCCAAGGGCTAAATAAAGGAGAGATTTTAGGTTGGCACTTAAAAAAACAAAAAGAAAATAATAAAGACAGGAGTGGGAACTATTTCCCAGAATGCTTAGTGGCACATTTTTGTATCCTGTGTCACATTGATCTGCCTCTTGTGTGTTACTAAGTTAAAAATGTTCATTTCAACGTAATTCTTGGTCAGCAAAGCTTGAGGATGATGTCCCATTCACTCTGAATGTTCTAGAGCAAAATTCATTGTGATGTTTAATAAAATTCATCATTAGATCAGAAATTTTGTTCCTGCACTTTGAAAAATGGAATATTCTAACGTAAAATAAGTTCTAATTTTTAGCTTGATGCCTTGGATGGAGTATCTTGTCAGCCAATGAGCAAATTCTCCTTAGGGATCAATAAACGATATTCTATTCCAGATTTTGCCTTTCAGATTGTAGTTCTTTGGGCTTCGGGCACAACAGCCCATCGGAGAGAAGAACGTGTACGTTTGGTTTTTGTCCGGACCGATGAGTGAAGCTCGAACCTGTTGACTCTGAGTGTTTATCTCTGTGATCTGGGCAGGTGAGCCATGTGTGTGACTGCAGACACAACACCGTCGGTGAGAACTGCGAGCGCTGCGCCGACCTCTACAACGACCTGCCTTGGAGACCCGCAGAGGACAGGAACACGCACACCTGCCAACGTAAACTTGCTCCCGTGTCTTTACATGATTTCAGGGAGTTTCTGCCAGAGTTGTGACAAATAATCTCCAGTCCTGGAGGGAAACCTGAATGCATAGTGAGAAACTCCGGTTTCTTTACATGAGACTCCCACGGTCGTCCGCTGTCAAATAACGCTGTGGAAACCTGTTAGCCAAAGTTCTGACCTTTTTGAAGAGTCAGTTTACAGAAGCTGAAAGGTCACCACTGTTATGCGTTTCCAGAGACGTGTTTATTAAAGTGGTGGCCGCCAGAGGGCGCCAAACACGGTTTACAACGATGAGGATGAGGAGGGAAACAAATGATGCAAACAGAAAAAGTTATAGAATCCACATTTCAAATCATAGTTTGTTTGCATCACATTTTAATTAGTTATTTAAATATAAAACTTAATAAAAGTTTTCCTGACAGCATTACTATTTCAAAATAAGAAAGAAATAAAAGCGTCACACCCTTACTAATCTCATGAATTTGTGTGACCATAATTCTGCCAATCTCTGTCTTGTCCTCAGGCTGTGAGTGCAACAACCACGCCCAGCGCTGTCACTTCGACCCAGCAGTGTATGAGGCCAGTGGGCGGAGGAGCGGCGGAGTGTGTGAGGGTTGCATGCACCACACCACAGGGCCAAAGTGTGACCGGTGTGCCCCGGGCTACCAGCCAAACCCCCGGAGCCAGATGGATCGTCCCGATGCATGCATACGTAAGTGAAGAGGCCGATTTAAAAACAATCAATGAATATTTTAAAAAGCCGTGTTTGAGACAACCCGGGTTCTGTTGGCTCCAGGCTGTGCCTGCAATGCGGAGGGGACGGTGAACGGGGGCCAGTGTGAAGACAGCGCCGGCTCCTGTCAGTGCAAAGCCAACGCGGAGGGCCCTCTCTGCGACCGCTGCAAAAAAGGTTTCCACAGCCTGAGCTCGTCAGACCCCCTGGGATGCAAAAGTGAGTCGTCTGACGCACAGAGAAGCAGCACAAAGGAAGGCGGCTGCATGTCACGCTTTCTATTCCTGTTGAGAGAAACTATAATTGGGGCCTGCCCATAGCAATGCATAAGGAGAGCAGTGACTGACTTGCGAAGCAAGTCAGTCACTGCCTCCATGCATTGCATGGCAGGCACCTATTAATCTTCACCCAATAGAACGCTTCTTTATTGGGGCCTGCCCATAGCAATGCATAAGGAGAGCAGTGACTGACTTGCGAAGCAAGTCAGTCACTGCCTCCATGCATTGCATGGCAGGCACCTATTAATCTTCACCCAATAGAATGTCTCTTTATTATTATTATTGGGGCCTGCCCATAGCAATGCATAAGGAGAGCAGTGACTGACTTGCGAAGCAAGTCAGTCACTGCCTCCATGCATTGCATGGCAGGCACCTATTGTTCTTCACCTAATAGAACGCCTCTTTATTATTATTATTATTATAGAACTTTATTTTTCTTCCGTAGACCGGAATGCGGCTCGCACCGCTGCGAGCCCACCCACAAAAGTGGTATCAAAACGTGCGGCTCGTTCCCGGCATTGGAGCTATTACTTTTGGTGGGATTCGGAGTTACGATAAAAAAGTAAAAGCGAAAAACCATCAAAAAATTCTTGTCAGTTAGAAACTGCCCAAACTAGAGTGTAACTGACGTTTCGTTAGAGTGTGGGAAGCAGTGCGATTCTGACCCCAAATAAATTTTGAAATCGCCATCACGCCCACAAATATCGCCCTATCGGTATCAAACTCGGTCATGACATAGATACGCATGCCTGCTCCGGTAAAATGTTTTCAAAATTTTTCTAGGGCTTATGGTTTTCTGTCTAGGGGCTTCAGAGCAAAGTGATGCGACAGGATTTCGACTCGCTCAGCCAGGATCACTTCCATGTATTTCTGAAAAATGTCAGACCTCAGCGCACACCATTTTTATCTTGTCGCTGTTATTAATGTGAGTGATGTACAGATATGAATAGCGGGACTATCGGAGACGAAAGATAGCCCTCTTATACGCTTCAAACGGTTTTCCGATACGTATCACGGTTTCCGAATGGGAAGGAGTTGTTTGGACCGCTTTTTTCAGTCAAAACTGACTGGGTGTCTCACAAAGATAGAATTCTTTCTGTCTCACACACATGACAGTTGCAGAGGATTAATTACCATAGCAACAAAGCACAGCAGGGCCGAGCAGCTAATTAGAACTACAAAAACGCATCACTGTAGTTTTTACTGTGGCAGAGCTCTGAGGAAGGAGCTGGCCTGTAGAACTACTTGTGTTTTGGGCATTTTATAACTGATTTTAACCAACCTTTGCTACACATGGGATTAGTGTTAATTAAGTTTAATTAATCTTAATGAAATTAAGCTTAATGAAAATTTCAAAATAAAGCCTTGACAATTTTTATATCAATTGCTGTTTGGAGCATTTTAGAACTGATTTAACACAATCACTGTTACTCATGTGAATAGATTGGGGCCATTTAAACGAGGCTTACTGAAAATTTCAAAATAAAAGCCTTAATATTCCTTTCTGGCTCATGCCTATTTTAGTGAAAATGGCTGCCTCAAACTGATAGAATTATGTCTCCCCCTGTCTGACTCACAGCATGCAGAGGATCCATTACCATAGCAACGGAGCACAGCAGGGCCAGTGGTTAGGACTACAAATACGCATCACTGTAGTTTTTTATTATGGCAGAGCTCTGAGTAAGTTGTTGGCCTTTAGAACTACTTGTGTTTTGGGCATTTTATAACTGATTTTATCCAACCATTGTTACACACAGGATTAGTGTGGTAATTTTAAATTAAGTTGAATTAAAATTTCAAAATAAAAGCCCTGACATTCGTTTATATTATGGAATTGCTCTCTTGGGGATTATGTGACTTTTTTATATACACCACTGTTACACTTTAGATTATTTTGGAAAGTTAAAATGAAGCTTACTGAAAATTTCCAAATAAAAGCCTTAAGACTCTTTCTGGCTCATGCCTATTTTAGGCAAAATGGCTGCCACAAACTGATAGAATTATGTCTCCCCCTGTCTGACTCACAGCTGGCAGAGGATCCATTACCATAGCAATGGAACACAGCAGGGCCAGTGGTTAGGACTACAAAAACGCATCACTGTAGTTCTAACATGGCAGAACTCAGAGGAAAAAGCTGGACTTTAGAACTGCTTGTGTTTTGGGCCTTTTATAACTCTTTTTAACCAACCATTGTTACACATGGAATTAGTGTGAAAATTTTAAATTAAGCTTTAAAAAATTTTCAAAATAAAAGCCTTGACAATTTTCCCATCACTTAAGTGCTCTTTTGACCATTTTATGTCTGATTTAACCAAATCACTGTTATACATGGGATTACATTGACCATTTAAAATTAAACATTCTGAACATTTCAAAATAAAAGCCTTAAGATTCGGCCGTGGCTAATGCAGCGCCGCAGGCGCTGCAATGATATTAGCTTGCATTATCTTTTCCTCTCAAGTTAGGGCACTGTCTTGCGCAGCAAGACAGTGCATTAGCATTAGCACAAACATTAGCATTTCTCTGTTTCCCATCAGTGCACTGCCATAGGCAGTGCAATAAGATTATCCTGCATGATCTTTTCCACTCAGGTTAGGGCTCTGCCTTGCGCAGCAAGGCAGAGCATTAGCATTAGCCTTTTACCTTGCATGAGGTATTAGCTATTTCCCTTACTTATTACCCATATTTAGTGTACTGAATGCAGTAAGTCATGCTTGTGACTCTCCACATTGTATTGATGACATTGCAGCTTTCTTTAGCATGGATGCTAATGTTTAGCATCAGAAAGCTGGGTCAAAATCGACGGGCACACTTTGGCAGGCCCCGGTTAAATTTCTTCAGGAATTTTCTAGTTGGGGCCCTGCCCATAGCAATGCATAAGGAGAGCAGTTACTGACTTGCGAAGCAAGTCAGTAACTGCCTCCATGCATTGCATGGCAGGCACCTATTGTTCTTCACCTAATAGAATGCCTCTTTATTCTTCTTTATTTTTCTTCCGTAGACCGGAATGCGGCTCGCACCGCTGCGAGCCCACCCACAAAAGTGGTATCAAAACGTGCGGCTCGTTCCCGGCATTGGAGCTATTACTTTTATGGGGAATCGGCGTTATGACGGCGACGTAAAAAGCAAAAAACGAGCCAAATTTCCAACTGCCGAACCGAAAAGCTCAACTGCCAAAACCTAGAGTGTAACTGACGTTTCGTTAGAGTGTGGGAAGCAGTGCGATTCTGACCCCAAATAAATTTTGAAATCGCCGCCACACCCACAAATATCGTGCTATCGGTATGAAACTCAGACATGACATTGATACGAATGTTTGCTCCGGTGAAATGTTTTCATAATTTTTCTAGGGCTTACGGTTTTCTGTCAAGGTGCTTTAGAGCAAAATCAAGTTCCAGCCTAACTGACGCTCTCCACCATATATTTTCATACTTTTCTGGAAAATGTCAGACCTCAGCACACACCATTTTTATATCATCGCTGTAATTACTATGAATGAGCTACAGATTTGATTTGCAGGACTATCGGAGACAAAAAATAGCTCTCTCATATGCTTCAAACGGTTTTCCGATACGTATCACGGTTCCCGAACGGCAAGGAGTTGTTCGGCTGCTTTTTCCATTATAACTGACTGAGCTGTCTCACAAAGATAGAAATCTGTCTCTGCCTCACACACATGACTGTTGACCTCTTTAGAACTACAATTCCTGAAGGTTAGAACTACAACATGGCGGAACACTCAGTGCCTACAAAAGAGATCAGAGCTGATTCTAAGAACTACAACATGGCGGAACTGTCAGTTACTACTGAGGAGGAATGAGCTGGCCTTTAGAATTACATTGTGTTTGGACTTTTTATAACTGATTTTAAGCAACCATTGTTACACACAGGATTAGTGTGTCAATTTTAAATTAAGATGAATGAAAATTTCAAAATAAAAGCTGGAATATTTCCCTCAGGCCTGTCAGAAAAACTAACTGCTTCAAGCATTTACAATTAAGTCTCTCCTTGTGTGTCACACTGACATGAGAGTTGACCTTATCCTTAGAACTACATTGACTGCAGGTTTGGACTACAACATGGCAGAACACTCAGTGCCTACAGAAGAGGTCATAGGTGAATATAAAACTACAACATGGTGGAACTGTCAGTTACTACTGAGGAGGACTGAGCTGCTCTTTAGAACTACAATGACTGCAGGTTAGAACTACAACATGGCGGAACACTCAGTGCCTACAGATGAGGTCATAGGTGAATATAAAAACTACAACATGGTGGAACTGTCAGTTACTACTGAGGAGGAATGAGCTGGCCTTTAGAATTACATTGTGTTTGGGCTTTTTATAACTGATTTTAAGCAACCATTGTTACACAAAGTATTTGTGTGGAAATTTTAAATTAAGCTTAATGAAAATTTCAAAATAAAACCTTGAATATTTCTCTCAGGCCTGTCAGAAAAACTAACTTCTTCAAGCATTTAGAATTAAGTCTCTACTTGTGTGTCACACTGACATGACAGTTGACCTCCTCTTTAGAACTACAATTCCTGAAGGTTAGGACTACAACATGGCAGAACACTCAGTGCCTACAGAAGAGGTCATAGGTGAATATAAAAACTACAACATGGTGGAACTGTCAGTTACTACTGAGGAGGACTGAGCTGCTCTTTAGACTACAATTCCTGAAAGGTAGAACTACAACATGGCGGAACACTCAGTGCCTACAAAAGAGTCAGAGCTGATTGTCAGAACTACAACATGGTGGAACTGTCAGTTACTGCTGAGGAGGAATGAGCTGGCCTTTAGAATTACATTGTGTTTGGACTTTTTATAACTGATTTCAAATGGTTGTGTAACAATCATTTGTTACACACAGGATTAGCGTGGTAATTTTAAATAAAGTTGAATTAAAATTTCAAAATAAAAGCCCTGACATACTTTT